CCAAAAAAAAAAGATAACACCACAACAGCCCAATTCTGCGTAGGCCGCTAATAGGAAGCCATGTCTGGCATAGAAATTGTTTCCAAAGACAGGCTGGCGTCACGGCATGGCAGGCAGACTCCGTGTCTCTGTCAGAAATAGCGGGCTTTTCTCATTACGGGCTCATTTGAGGGTTAAACACGAAGTTATTACTCTGCTGATACTGAAATTGGGACAGACACACAGAAAAAAATGGCAAAAGAAGACTCTGTAAAAAGAGACAGTCTTCTGTGTCTGCATGTATCTATGTGTGTATAGCCAGTAAACGTAACCCCGCACTCCGATCTTCTGTGTTTCATTTTATCTGTATCTGTATAGCCGGTATAGCAACTATTCGCCGTATCACATTAACTTCTGTATCTTTGTTTTTTTATTGAAGCATATGGAAAGCCATCGAACATAAAGCATATGTATCTGTATCTGTATCTTAATAGCCGGTATGGGTAACCGCCCTTCGTTGTAACACACCGGCATCTGTATCTGTTTATCAGGTATGATCGCCATTTGGCATAACACACCAGACACTTAATTCATCAAATGGAAAAAAATATGATGAAATGTGCTATTATCGTACTCTCCAAATCCCCAGTCAAAACAGTCTAAAGGTCCTGACAGATTGATTGTGCGTGGCTAAGTACCGGCGGAGTACACAGAAACACAAGGCAGAGCACTTAGAAGTCTGGAAAACCTTTTAGTAAAACCCATGGGAGCCATTATTCTCGCAAGCTTCGTCTGTCCGCGAAGAATGAAAAAAATGCCGTAAAAGCGCTTTTGTCCTCAAGAGAGAGAGAGAAACCCTTTTTACTTGAAGTGGTGAAGGCTTCCTTGGTGTTTTCGCGAATAGATCTAATTTTGTGCTTCACTCGAGTGGAAAATAGTTTACCACCATTGTGTTTTGGAATCTGATTGGCGAAATATATGTCGTTTATATTGTGAAGAAGACCTATTTTTCAGATTGTCTGTGCTATGGCTAGGCTATTAGACACTTTCAAAATTGATTCTGGATATTCCTGACTTACAGACGTTATGTCTTTGGGAAAGGCACTTTATACAACTTTCTTCACTCTACCCTTGTGTAAGATGGGTACCTGACTTTGGTTGGGGAGGTAAAAGGTAGTAGGAGTTGTGGTACAACCAGTCTCATTTCAACCTGGGTTGGTGGGACTTTTCTTTTTGTGTTGAATAAAAAAAAACAAAAAACAAGTATCAAGCAAGACAGGTTAGCTTTCATACTAAACCTAATGACATATTTTGCTATTTTTGCTTGTTTGTAGTGTTCACGAGAAACCACAGTTAACTAAACTCATTGACAAAATGACTAATAAACTGGTGGACGTCCCAACTACTAGGTACTTAATAACAGCCCAGAAGAGAACAAGAAATAGCCATACCTTCAAGTACCAGAGTTTATCAACCAAGGATTGAGGTGTTCAAGAATTCATTCTTTCCTAGAACTGTCGCAGATAGCTAGAGTGGAACTCGCTGTCACCAAGTACAGTAGGGGCATTGTCATTAGATAGCTTTAAACAATGTCTAGAGCTAGAAGTTCAAGGGTTAGGTGTAACAAGTCGATCGGTGTAATATAGCCAGCTGCCGCCGCGCCGCGTGCCTGCGAAGCTGGTGTGTTACGCCGAAAGGCGGTTATACCGGCTATACAGATACAGATACAGAGACAAGTTTGGCCATTCCTTGCTTGTTGTTTTTCCAGTTCACGAGCTTGTTCAGTCTGTCGAGGCTTGGAGAGATTGCCCAGAGGCCACCCTGTATCAGGACTACCTGAAATACTGCACGTCAATTTTCGTGGAAAATCTGCGCAAGCTGGGCAACGGGAGCGACATTTGCCTCTGGCCTGACGCAACTCCTGCAGCTATGGAGTAAGTACTGACTCAATCATTAACAGGGCTGGAAATACAACCTGCAGGTAAGATTGGAGCTGTGCAGGTATTTCTGATGTCTACCTGCACCTAACCTGCACTGGTCCATGTACTGGGTATATGCAGGTTAGTGCAGGTAAAATTGGAGCTGTGCAGGTGTCTCTAATGTGTACCTGCACCTAACCTGCACTGGTCCATGTACTGGGTATATGCAGGTTAGTGCAGGCAAGGTTGGAGCTGTGCAGGTATTTCTGATGTCTACCTGTACCGAACATGCACTGATCCATGTACTGGATATATGCAGGTTAGTGCAGGTAAAATTGAAACTGTGCAGGCATTTCTGATGTCTACCTGTACCGAACATGCACTGATCCATGTAGTGCATTTATGTTTATTTGGAATTTGTATGTACTGGTTATATCTACCTCACCCATGAAGTGTAAAAGAAATAATGGCAATGGTTGCTGAACAGGTTTAGTGAGTAGTGCAGGTACTAGGTAAAATTTATCTGGTGTACGTAATTTTCAATGTTACACCTGCACCAGTGCGTATATACAGAAAATGCAATTCAAAGCCGCAATTTCTATTAGTAACACAGTCATCATGTCATCAGCATTGGTGTGTGACCCTTGAGTCAGCCCTTGTCAGGATTGTTATGATGTACCCCACACATGGGTTAAGGGCTAGAAGGAAGGGCCGCCGAAGGTGGCGGTTGTTTGAGACAGGATAGACCCGAATCGATCACAGTGGGCGCCGCCTTTCAGACGCTGGCATGTTTCATTTGTGACTGGTTCTTTGAAGCCAGAGGTGCTACTATATATACCCACACACTTTCTTTAGGTGACGCGTTTGGAAAATCAGTCACCCACAGGGTTATATGGTTGAGAAAAGTTTTATTTTGAACCTACATATTTTCGATAACAGCATTTCTTGTGCCTGAAGTGGACAAAATAGTTTCCTACTGCTATAGTCACGTCGGTCAAGTTTTTGTGACCACATTAGATGGTTGAGAAAAGTTATATTTTCAACTTACATATTTTCGATGATTGCATTTCTTGCGCCTGAAGTGGACAATATTTTTCCACTGCTATATGCCCAACACAACAGGATCATTCAGCAAATGTTTGACCGGATTCATCGGTCAGAAAGTCGAGCTACATTCCTGGCTCGCAAAGATGTTTGAGATATGTGACGTCATTAGGGGTCAAAGGTGCCTGGAAGTCTGTACCTGCCGCCTTCAGGGCGGATCATATTACATTGAAACTGGGATAGTGGCAGATTGAATTACACATCGTACGTACACACCTGATTCGTTTGTGAATGTTAGCCATTCAGCAACTATAACAGGTTTTTAATTAAACCAGTACACCTGGATGCATCTGAGAAAATCAGACGTTACACATCTGATCTTTCGTTCTAAAACGACCTTTTTTCCTTGCACAGACCGTACAACCAACTGACTCACTGTCTGGAAATCGTCGGCAACGAGACCAACTGTAAAGAGAGGATGGTCTTCAACAGGTTCATGCTGGCCATCCACCGACACCTCTATGCTATCTTTTCCACACAGCGAAATAACTCACAAGCTTTTTCACTTTGTCCTTTTGGCTTCTTCTGGGTGTTGACCTACTTCATTGGCCACCGCAATATTTAGGGGGTCAAAGCTGTCTACCGGTATCATCTTACATTGAAATCTAGTACTTACATACATCTGATCATTCATACTAATAAAAAAAGTTTTTTTTTTCTTGCACAGACCGTACAACCAGCTGACGCGCTGCCTGGAAATCGTCGGCAACGAGACCAACTGCAAAGAGAGGATGGTCTTCAACAGGTTCATGCTGGCCATCCACCGACGCTTCTACTCCAACTGCGAGACCCCGCCGGAGAAACCGAAGGACGCCCCGAAGAAGATCATAGCGTCCTTCGTCAGCCTGACGACCGTGACGACTCTGTTGGCGGCAGGACTGTTGGCGGGCTCCGACTACATCCACAAGGCCAGCTGACATAAAACGGGGTCCTGTACACAGCAGGACTCCACTGGCCGGGATTCAGCCGAAAACCCGGAGATGATACCTAACGAAAACCCCGAGACGACACCTGAAGATGACTTGAAACCTCCTGGTGAGACCACTGGCCGGGATTCAGCCGAAAACCCCGACACGATACCCAACCAAGATTTAGGCGAAAACACCGAGACGATACCTAAAGATGAGTTGAAACACCCAAGTGAGACCACTGGCTGGGATTCAGCCGAAAACACCGAGACGATACCTAAAGATGACTTGAAACTTCCTGCTGAGACCATTGGCCGGGATTTAGGCGAAAACCCCGAGACGATACCTAAAAATGAGTTGATACCACCTGATGAGGTAATCGACCAGGGTCTGTACGGTACGGAGGTATAACAAAGACTGAAAAGTTGTTTGCTTTTGGTTTTTACATTTTCTTTGTACTTGGCGGCAACAAAATTTCGTTTTAGCAGTATATTACATGAATATGAAAATAAATTATCAAGCTGTAACATTTTGTAACTAAGTGATTTACTAGGTTAATATTTTGGCCAAGAAATCTAATTTTCGAGTGGAATATATTTGAGAGTTATTCATCAGGGAAAATATGTTACCTTGTAAATTTTCTTTATCCTTTTTCAATTGATAGTTAATGTACATTGTAATTGAGTTTGGTTACTGAATTGTTTGTGCACAACATGTAATTCTATATGCTTCAGACGGATGGCATTACATTTAGAAAATTGCCAGCCATATCAATTGTGTCTACAATCAACGTAGCCTGTTCGGATATATATTGGCTGTACTGTTTCCTATGTGTAATGATAGACTGTTACAGAATTTCTTGATGTGAAGGATTAAATATGAAAATGATGAAAATACACCAGTTGTCTGCTGTAAGTAGTTTTATCAGTTTTCTACAACAACATTGAAAGAAATGGCCATGGGAATTGCATGGGAAGACAGTTTTGTTATTTTCAACTTAAGCTAGTCATGGCCTGGGTATATATCAGCCCCTATCACTTATTGAGTGATAATCTCCTTTGGCCATGGAAGCCCTAGTCGACACCCTGGCTCTGGAAGATAAAAGGCTTGGGGGATACTTTTGGTTAGGTGGACATTAGGCTTTCTCCCCCCCCCCCCCCCCAAAAAAAAACTCTATTGCTCATGAAACGCTAGCGTCCGTGGCACCCGGGCAAGCTAGTCACAAATCCAGCCTTTAGCTCAAGAACAACACTCAGACAAGGATGGTCATTTGTGCAGCACATAATTTATTACACCAAAGTCAACAAAATAAACAGCTTGCAGCATTCAGTCAAAATAGCAGTAGCAGGGTTTCAAATGCATGGCCACTTAAATTATTGCACGTGTGTTGGTGTTCACTCATTGTATTCTATGCTAGAAAACAAAGTGTGGTGGACCTAAGACTAACACACTACATGAAACAGAAGAAACTGGACGGGTATTTGGCATAACATTGACTTATGAGGTTGCCTTTCCAAAGGTCTACTGGGTTGCAAACTGTTTGCGAAATTTTCACTGGTTTCAGAAATCATGATATCGGATGTAGATGAAATTCTTCATATACCTTATTTTCAGAATTCCATAATATACTCTTTGCCACAAAAAATACTTACAGTAAATCATATAATACTGCTGCAGTACAGTATAAAGAAAAATCACTGTGAATATTAAACATTCTTGTAGCTGAAATAAAATCTCAGTCCTCAGTATTTGGGGTGTTGAAACTTGTTCCAGCAAGTAACAAGTCCCCAGAGGTACCCCCGACACTTCCCTGATGATTTTCCTCCCTCTGAAGCCTCATGTTGTTGGTGATCCCCAGAACATCCCGGTGAACTTGACCTTTGACCGGTAGTGCACTCAACTTATTTACAGAATCCAACGTACCAACACCTTCTGTCGCTGAGTTTCTTCTACCAATAGTGAGCGAATCTAACGCTGCTTCTGCATGCCTCAAACTTGACCCCAAGTTTCCACTTGACCCTTTTCTGACCTCTCTTGAACTTGACCCATCACCTCTGTCCTTTGACCTTTGCCTCACCAAAGTCTTCCCAGGGTATGCTGCCCTTCCACTTGACCTATCTCCACCTGAATTTGACCTTGCCTGTGACCCATGACCTGTACCCTCTAACCTTTGCCCCTGTCCAAGCTTTTCACTGGACGTTGCTCTTGGCCTCCCACTACTCAGTGTCCTTGACCTCTGAACTCTAAAAGGTGACCTCCTAGCCTGACTGCGACTCCTGCTGTCTCCAGAGTTACTGCGATGTGAGTCCGGAGAAAAGAACCCGGTGGGAGGTTTGCGAGACGGTGAGTTTCTGGTGGTGTCCAGCCCGACGTTGATGTTGTGAATGTTGGGTATGGAGGGGGGTACGGGGGTACGGTCTATGATGACTGGTCCCAGCTGTGCAGAAGTGTTGGATGTCTGTACAGCTGTGATGGCAGCAATCTCATCATTTTGGCTGGAAACAGGTAAAGAAACACTTTACTAACTCTTTACTGAGTTACATCAAACTTCAAAGTCTGACAGTCTGTATTAAAGAACCTTCCCTGTTCCTGTCCTTGGTACTGAAGACCCTCCTGAAGCCATCCTCTGTGCTACCGAGTAAAAGAATCTTTCCTGTCTATGTACTTGTCCTTTGTACTAAAGGGCCTTCCCTGCCTGTTTTCGGCACTTACGAACCTTCTTTGCCCCTGCCCTTGGTACACACTACTTCCCTGTCTACTCTCCTTAGAATAGACAACTCAAACCCTTTGTGCTGAAATATCCTAGCATGTCCTGTTCTTTACTTTTACAATCCTAGGTACTTTTAGCATACCTTTGAGAGCTTGGTGCAATTCCTCTTCCACTCAGAGCGAATCCTTCCGAAAACTGGTCATTTCCACCACCAGAAACATGGCCGCCCGACCTCTGACCTCGCCCTTGCTTCCTCAACCCCGGGGGCGCGAACCCTTGACCCCTGCCGTGAACTACGACCCCTATCCCAGGCACCACCAGTTCTATGCCCGTGTCCCTGTCGGCGGTGTCGACTGTTTTGGGCTTGTCTGTTACCCTGGCAACCCGTCGCCCCTGGTTACGGTGGATGGAGTCGAGCGGGTTTGCGGGGTCGTAGACCATCATGCCGTCTATGGGGCAGGTCGCTCGCTGGTGCAGCAGCCACTGGTCGATGCAATCCTTGTGGAACTGACAGAAAACAATAATAAAAGTTCAACTTGTTATTTACATTTAATAATTTTATAGTCTAAAAGCAACTTAGCAATGCTCATAGGAAATTCAAACTAATAGATAATTTCCGGACATTTCAAGTGACATCCACCACTCTTCTTCAGCGTCACTAATGAACACTAATGAACAGCTCATTAGTGACGCTGAAGAAGAGTGGTGGATGTCACTTGAAATGTCCAGAAATTATTCTCCGTAATTTATCCAGTAGTAGAGTTTGAATTTCCTATGAGTATTGTTTACCTGGATGTCTAACCTTCATCAACGTAACTAAGCAATGCTTTATGCAAAATTTGATGTCAATTCTTGATATCTCATTTAAAAGCTTAACCTTCTCCATGCTGCTTAATCTCATAACCAGTAAAAACATGGTCGAAAACTGCTACTGAAGGTTAAGTACCTTATGTTTGCATGGCAGCCTCCTCAAGTGTTGTCCCAATGAGAAGCCCCTCAGACAGACCCTGCACTGCTGCCCTGGTGCCAGTAGGGGGCTCTTCTGTCTCACGATCTCCACTGGCAGGGAGTTCACCACTGGCTCTGGCACTGTGCCGCTCTGATTGGCTGTCGAGCTGTAATAAATTTAAAAGTAGTGATCAAACACTCTGATTGGTTGTTGAGTTGTAATGACAATAGTGATCAAACACTGATTGGCTGTTGAGCTGTAACAAATTCAAAAGTAGTGATCAAACACTCTGATTGGCTGTTGAGCTGAAACAAAAGTATTGATCAAACTCTCTGATTGGCTGTTGAGCTGAAACAAAAGTATTGATCAAACTCTCTGATTGGCTGTTGAGCTGTAAAGACTTCCATGAAGAAACATTCTGATAATTGGCTGTTGAGGTATGATGACATTCATGATGAAACATTTTGATTGACTTTTCAGTTTTAATACATATTTAAACACTTTGATTTGCTGTTTTATTTGTCACTGTTACATTGAAATACATACAATGTTACTCTTAGACTACTACATAATTAAAAGTGTACGATTCACTGATCAAAGTTTTGGTTCGCAATTTGACCAAAATTATATGAGAAGAAAACAAACCTTTCCAGCAGTTGAGTCGTTGAGTAGTTAGCTGGTGTGTTACGCTGAAAGGCGGTTATACCGGCTATATAGACACAGAACAAGGACTAGTACAAGTCTATGAGAAGAAAACGAACCTTTCCAGCAGGTTGAGTAGTTCGTAGTCCTCGTCAGTCAGGTCGCGGGAGAGCATGTTGTTGATGACAGCTGACGGGAGAGCCTGCCCCCCTCCCCGCTGGGCGGGACGCCATCTCTGAGAGCTCTTCTACACCGGGAAGGAAAAATGGAAGTGAAAAAAAAGAAATGTAGCTACAAATGAAGACCTGAATTATGTCACTTGTATAATCTGCATAAATTGACATCACAGAGGTGGTGGTTTGCTCATTCCTAAGGACAAAGACTGGAGATACGTCAGTGAAGGTTAGACATCCAGCTAATAAGATGCGCCAAAAAACAGTTACTCAAACATCTGGATTTTGGAAGCGGTCAGACGTTTCAGGTATCATCCACTACCTTTCCTCAATCACACAAAGAGACTGCAGGAGAATTGCATGTTTATAAGCATGAACTATTGAGACTGGAGAATGTAAGGTCAATTATAAGACTGGCATTGTATGGCCAATTTCTTGTGTATGAAATTACAGTCTAAAAGTGCTTCATAATACATCTACCAACACAGATGAACTTTCAATGTATGACCTGAAACCTTTAAAAACTTCCAGAAAGTTTCTAATCTACTGCAGTACCGATTGATATTACAAGGTGGCACTCCTCACCTGTCTAAACTGGAAAGAGTGCTCCTTGTGAGTCTGGGTTCCTGAGAAACAGTTTTGGCACAGGTGATACTCAACACACACGATACACCTGGAAAAGAAATAAGAAATAAGACAAGTTAAAGACATTTTTGGAGATTCACTAAAATACCTTAGTACAGTGTCATAGAAAATGTAGAGTTTTATCAACACAGTTTTTAGTCAAATATCTAATTTCAAATGGAACTAGAAAAGTAAGTCTGCAAAGCAAATGCATATGTTCACCTTCGCATATGGTCTGCTCTGTTAATTCTTACTCGACAAACACATTATATATGTGGTCAGACAGAAGTCTAAATCCCTCCTGCTATAAAAATGCAACATGACCAGTGGCCATGATGACAGATGTTTGGTTAAGGTCATTGACCTTGTTGGTTTGGAAAAGAAAAAGAAGAAGCAGAGCAAAAACAATATGTTTTCCTTAACATAAATAGTGACTTACTTGTAACACTTCCCCTCAATAGGTCTCATCCCGCAGTTTTTGCACTCCACACCTAAGTGCTTGTTTAGACCAATCACAGGCTGGCGGCCAGCAGCGTTTTTAAATTCTTCCCTGTGTAAAAATAACAACACGGTTTATTCAAAGCTGTCACCATTTATATAGATGGTTTCAATTTTCAAGTTAATTTATTTAACCAGGGTAATCTCAGATCTGCGGGTCTGTTTTTCAGATATCCCTGGGCACACACACATTAAAAAATGCAGTCGTGAAAATTGACAATACAATAATATACATACAAGTACAGACTTATAGACCCAATCAGAAAAAAAGGTAAAAGTCCAAAAGCCTTGTTGAGGTTGTAGGGTCATTGGGTTGTAAACTTCCTAGGATTGCTGTGCTTTGGGGCTCAAACAAAATTTGATAATGGAAAAAAATTCAGGCTAACTAGAACACTGCTTCAATGCTTCAAAGAAAGCTACTTAGCACTGACTTGATCTCCTGGATGGGTCCAAAGTCCTGCCTACAGAAGGGACATTTGATTTCTGTCTGTCCTGTAGTCTGCTGGTGTTCTGCCCAAACCTTCATACACTTGATGTGGATGCTCTGTCCACAACTGTACCTGAAGAGACAAACAAAGTAACATGCTATTAGGTAATGAAAGGGGCCCAGAAGGTTAAACCAGACCGATACAGTTGGCCAATAATGATGATGAATATTCAATGTGTGCTGGTAATATTTCGTGCATGGTAGGAAGGAAAATGAGATTTTTGTGGAGTTTCATATTTGTATAGTTGGTGAATATAAATGTGAACTTTTCTACATTATTTCTAAATGAAGGAAGTAGAGAAGTAGATTTACAACAGTTCATTTCTCTCTTTGCTATTCAGTCTACATGTACATGGTGCATTCTATTACAAAATGCCATCCACTCTCTATTCTAATAATTTCAAATCACAATATTTACTTTTTAGTACATAATCTTTTTGTTTTCTACACGATACTAAGCAACACCCCTCGTGGGGCCTAGTGCTTAGGGGAGTGGTCCTTCCCCAGCGTGACCGGTGGTGGTGGTAAGAAACAAGTGCAGTGACCATATACAGAAGTCGTAGCTAGGGGTTGACCACATTCCCACATCTTAATGTTAATAAACAAACTACAGTACTGAATATCTAACACTTACGTGAGGAACTCCTCCTGACAGATAGGACAGATACTGAGGAAGACCAGAGTAACTGGTCAAAAGCTCTAGGTGTCCAATTTACAATCCCTTGTGTTGGATCAAAAGTTCAAACAAAAAAATATCTAACACTTACTTGCAGTACGTGACAGGCTCTCTCTTCCTGAGGAACTCCTCCTGACAGATAGGACAGATATCCTCCTCTGTGATTGGTTTCTGCTGCAGCCTGGCGCGCCCATCCCCCGTCCCGTCTGTCTGTGTGTCCGTCCGTCTGTCCGCAGCCCTGGCAGCCTCCTGCTGAGGCTGGTGTACGCCTCGCAGTAACTCATTTATCTCACGTTCTACAAGACCCAGCTGGAAAGACACTGAAATAGGATAGAAGATGATGTTGTCAGCTATTTGGACCTCTTACTATTACTTATTATATATACCTATTATATATACCTACCTACGAATTTACAATTGCTTTGAATATAGAAGTAAAAATCTGATTGGAGAACTACTCATTGACAATAATTACCTGGGTTGGTTCTTGCTACTCTGAACTTCCTCAAAAGAACCCTGGAAAAAAAAAAAAATACCAAACAGATTTAATGTATTGTTCACACTACACCTTGTAGCTTTAAGTTGTAGCTCTGCCAGTGACCAACATCAGATTAAGACAAGGCACACACAATTGTAGTAATTTCTGTAGTGGAGCAAACTTACCAACAGATGTGTTTACAGATGTCCTTTTCCTTAGAGAAGACAGGACAGGTGCAGGTATGGGGGTCTCCTAGTAGAACCTGTGTGATGACAAGGAAAGATACACAATTATAATGATGAACAAGAAATCAGATATTTCAGTCTTTTAGGAAAAGTTTGGGTTTTTGGGAATGTACTGGAACTGTGAAGGAAACTGTGTATGTCCTTTCTGAATTCCTCTACATACCACCCATGTACCCCAAACTAGAACGTTCAGAGAAACTTTCAGGTGTGACCTCCCTATCGATCGACTGTCAAAATCATCTCCCACCATCCATACAACAAATAGATGTAGATGTAGCTGAACAGTCACTACTTTGGCAAACGGACACACAAAAACACAGCTCAGCCACCCAAAACAATACCTCCATACCCAAAGTATCAGCACATTTGCCAAAATCTTGTTCTGAAAAATTATTTCCAGTCTTTGCCAAGCATTCACTATCTGGTTTATCATCAGTTGTTCCCCATCTTCCAAGGGTTAGATGTGCTTGCACACTGATGCTGAGGCTTGATGGCAGCCTGCCACTTACCTCAGCAATATCTGGGCCTTTGAAGAAAAAACATTGTCTTACCTTAAACTTCTTGGTCTCCCCCTCCTCCTTGAGTAGGAAGCCGGTAGGTCCGATCTCCCTGAGGATGTAGATGGTTGCGTTCAGTGCCTGGTCCTGTCTCCAACTAGCTGCATCACTCACTATGCGCTGGTATGGTGCAGTCCGAGACATGGCACAACTGTCACAGGAGAAATGTAGGAAGATTAGCCTGGGTACCTTGTTGTTGTCTTGGTTTCATCATCATCATCATGTCTGTGTTTAACATCTAAAATGACTCGCTAGACAATGAATCTCTTAGTGCTGGTTTGTGCATGGTTCACTTCAGTTCAGAGTCAACTACTTGTTTCTAGGTATTTAACTCTTGGTGCTTTCGTGTGCCTGTGTGATGGTGACTGTCTAACTAAACTATTACCCGGATGGTACCCAGGCTATAGAAAGACTGTTGGTTAATTGTTTCTATGTCTGACAATGGAAGATCAATGTCATATTTTTTTGCTTGATTTACTAAATTCTTGAAACCTTTGTCGTGTAAAATTCAGCTCAATGCCTTCAGAACCAATGCCATCAATTGCAACGAAATTATGAACGCGAATCGCCGTTTGCCCCCCTCCCCTCCATAATCATAGACGGTTTGTTTTCCAATCCAGCCCGTCCTAAATTTCCACCCAAATTTCTACCAAAAAAGAGAATGTAGAAAAACCTACAGCCTAATTTTCTAAATCCACAAAGTACCAACAACACATTCCAACATAATTGAAGACAAACATACCTTTGTCACGCTCAGAAAAGGAGAAAAAACGTGACAGTTAAAAATCTTTTCTTTCCTTTCATCGGCCGTCCGCCATCTTTGTTTCGTTGCTGTTTACCTACCTCGTTTTCGTGTCACTAAGGGTATTCCATTCGGTAACAAGGTAAGAAACGAATTTCCTTAAATTTAGGAAATTTAATTACTCGTATCACATCAGCATTATATTCTTATAAATATATTTCACTTATTATGTTCTTTTTCCAGAAATATTTGCTATCATTACGACCGAAATGTTTGCTTCATCTAAAAAATATAGTTACAATGGTATGTACCGTCCTAGGAGGTGCATTCTGGGAGTGACATATTTCTCAGGTGTTCAAACTTTCGTCAGGTGAGAAGATTCGAAAAGGTGTAAGGTTACAGTTCTCGGGTGTCTTTGTGTTCTTATAGGTTCTGAGAACCAGAATTATGTTCAGTTAGCTAAATGTGAGCCTGTGAAGACTGAACCATGGCCCAGCAGTATCATCTGAAGTTTGATGGCAGTGCTGCTGCTTCAGTGGACAAGTACTTGGAGTACAGAAGGTAATGTGTACATTCATACATACGCTCCAAGCAGATCCTAGGGTGGCATAAGACAGTATCAAATTGGCCAGGCAATCCATTGACCAGAGTGTCCAACACGCCTTGGGTGGCCCTCTCTGGTCAATGGATACTGCCTGGCCAATTTGATACTGTCTAAGTAGCCACCCTAGGATCTGCTTGGAGATGAATTCGTAACGTTAACTACATAAAGTATGCCTTAAATTTTTATCACTATTACCTAATATCCTTTTAGCAGACTTATAATATTTGTTGCTGTGTTTGTCTGTATTGTATTAAATTGCTTGTGTGTCTATCTACTAGTAACGTTACTATAGTTATTTAAGGATTTTATTTAGACTGAGGGTGAAATGAAGTATTAAACCACAGACAGTTAATGTTAAACTTTTATCAGATTCAGAGCCAATGGGAAAATGCATATGTCAATGGCAAGTTCACAATAAGAACAGATGAAAACTTTAACTACATAAGTTACACAAACTTACAGCAGATGTATGATCAATTGTTTCCTACCAGAATTGTAGGAGAGGATGATGGTGGCCAGTTGTTTACTCCAGAGCAGTATGAGGAGTATAAGAAGAAAGTTCTCCCCATGCGGCTGAAGAACAGACTGTACGTCAGGTTTATACTTGCAAGGCCGCGCTCTCTAATGTCCTTTCCTTGTTTTCTAACAGAATTGTAGGAGAGGACGACAGTGGCCAGCTCTTTACTCCAGAGCAGAGTTTAGTATTAATAGTAACTCATTTCTTGTTTACAGAATTGTTGGAGAAGACGACTTTAAAATCTTCCATTTCTTAAATGTTTTCTACCAGAATTGTTGGCTTGACAACTCCCAAGCTTGAAGTTCTCACCATGAGATCTGAGGTTTCAAATTTTTTTTTTCTAGAATTGTAGGAGAGGATGACGGTGGCCAGTTGTTTACTCCAGAGCAGTATGAGGAGTATAAGAAGAAGGTCCTCCCCATGCGGCTGAAGAACAGACTGTACGTGAGCTGGTCCTCTCCGACTGGCATGGACTGTAAACAGGTCGGACCAGAGACTCCGTGTTTCTGTGGGCACAGGTGAGGGTGCACAGCACGTCAGCAGAACATACTGCACCTGCGCGAAACCCTGATTTTTCACAGTTTTTGTTAGATGTAGCTGTCAAGGTTGCATCAGCATTTGGCCTGTTGCAGATGACAGCTTTTCTGACAGAACATTTGGAAACTGCAGACGGAGTGCTAACCAAGTATATATATGCAAATACAACCTTGTATGAGACGTTCTGTCGAAGTGCTATGCACAATACATTACGGGTTTTGCGCAGATGCAGTAAGGGAGCATACACTGTAGGTGTTGACTCATAATCTAAATTATGAAATCAAAGGTTTTGGGTTCAAATCTCTATTTAAAGTATAGATAGCAGGTCCCAAAGTTGCATCCTTGGGAAAGGCACAGTCATGCATTACAATTTACATAGTATACATTGAAATTTTCTCGCTTGGGATATGTCCTGGCCTGCTACAGCTGTTCTTAAGTAATCAATTTTTCTCTCTCACAGGTACAAGCAGCATAAGACAGATTTCCAGAAGCTCCCTGAGGATCGCCCCATCAGCCTGCCGTGCCGGGTGAACGGGTGTAAGTGTGCGGCGTACCACTACGTCCCTCTCAACGGCAGCCAGCCTATCAGGTGTGGCTGTAAGCACTACGCCGACAACCACTCGGAGCTGTTCCCGTACAGGTGCAGGAAAGGTGAGGTTGTAGGGAACTGCTTGATTTACTATCACTCACTCACACTCACACTCACTATCCAATTTAGTGTCTGTTGTTCCTGACTTCTGAGGGTTAGACATGCTTGCACTGCAATACTGAGGCTTGATGACAGCCTGCCACTTGCCTCTATCCCAACGTTATGTAGGTTCAAGTGGTGGAAGTCCTCCCTTACATCCCAGAAAATAAGTAATGAAAAACAGTAAAATACTTTTTCGACTGTACAACTCCAGTCTTTGTCAAGGAATGAGAATCCACTGTTTCTGTGACATCAGGTCATGCAGATGACACATGTGACTCGGTAAGCAGTGGATCATAGAAAGTCTGTGGCGCCCCCCGTCCTAACCATATCCACACCTGTAGTTGCCCCAGGTGGTGCGACCTGTAACTGTCCCGGGTTCAAGAGTTCGTTCACCTGCGGCTGTGGACAGGCGACTTACCGACACGAGACACTGGTGGAGACCAAGGATGAGAGGGAGGCAAGGTACAGCTGCAGGGCCTACATTTTTTTTTACTGTTAGTCTACTTCACTCATAGAAAATTCAAACTCTACTGCTGGATGAATTACCGGTAAATTCTACTTCACTCTTACTTGTAGCATTTATGGTCTTAGTAAGTGATTACAAATTAGGCTAGCAGGTCAAACCGGGTTCAAACCCGGCTCCTGGAAATTTTTTCTAGCTAGAAATCATCCTCTGGAAAGACACTTCCCACAACTGTCTTTACTCCAACCAGGTGTAAAATGGGGGAGGCAGTGGAAGAAGAGGGATGGGCTCAGCCTTCCCATAGTACATTGTGGATTAGCAACCCACTGCCCCTAAAACTGTAGGACCTTTATCTTTTTTTTACATTTATAGACAAGTTTGACAGTGTGCCCTGTGTTTGATCTCCTCTCCCCAGAGGCCACCCAGTGGGCTGTGACGTCCCGTATGCAGCTATGGGAGGACTGACTGGCTTCAGCTCTCTGGCTGATGGATACATGAGACTGGACCCCAGTGGCATTGGTGAGTTAACATCTGAAGTCATTTAAAAATTACAACATGAACCTTTTCAGTACAGGCCAAAAATACAGAATCATGTCAAATTTTATCTGTACTTTACCTAAATGGAATCAAACCCAAGTTTATTACTTATTTTGTAACTAATAACTAAGAAATTTTACACGTAAAAAGATAAAACACGTACATGGGAATTGAAATCAGTACCTGGATCTTTGATTTGACATCCTCTCACATGTACAAGAGAGGATGTACCTCATGCAAAAATTCTTTGCATGTGGTACCAGAAGCCCAAATAAACATTCTGTTTACTGTTTCTGTCATCAAAGAAGACTACACTCAAGTTACATACAATCAATCAATCATCCGCAGGCATTAGGTCCTGATTTGTCAAATTGTTCTGCTATAGGTTCTGCTATAGGTCTGGACCTATATCTAAACCTCAGTACAAAGTGTATGCAAATTGGTGTAACTAATACCCCCCCAGGTGACCCCTACCCCGACGGTTACCTGTTTGACCCGATCGGCGTGGACGACCACCCGTTCCTCCGGGCGCACGCCAACACCATCCGACAGGTCGAAGGTCAGCGGCAGCTGCAGGGGGCGGGGGGCGTGCCGGCGCTGACCAATCAGATGTCAGAGATGAAGATGGAGGGAGAGGATGACATGGCGTACTTCGAGAGGCGATACCAGGAGAGGGTAGGAACTCTCTTCTTGTTCTTGCAATAATGCCCATCTACCGAGAAACTGGAAATTACTGCATAGTATGCTGGGGGAAAGTTGTGTTGAGTGCCAAGGGCACAATGTCGGGGCACGTAGGTGAAATTGAAGGCCGAATGCCCTTAACCAGTATGCCATACAATGCCACACCAACTGCAAAGTTTTCAAATTGAAGTCAATTTCTACTAACTGTACTAGAAGGTCCCATTCCACTCTGTGCAGAGTATAGGGGTGGCACCCATCTCCATTTCTGTGGTAAAGGGGGATTGACAGACAGAGTGACAGGAGGTCAAAAGCTCAGACACAGGAAATAAGGTGAATGCGAAGCTCTCAGAATCTGTTCAGAACCCAGTGGTCGACATGGGGGAATTCAGGAAGCCGAGGAAATTGCATTCTTCTTGGTAGTCTAAAGTCTCACTTTTCGGACTACGAAAAAGCTTTTTGGGCTAGGAAAAAGTGGTATGGGTTGGGGATCCCCTAGAATGTTTAAGAAATGCAGAGGCATTTTTATTTGAAATTTTGGAAGAGTGTATTAACTGTTTTAATTGTTTTCCTTGCGTTTTTTTTTCAGCTGAAGGCAGAGAAACAGAGAGCGCGCCAGCCAGCTATCAGGTCTGCAACTTCGCAGCCTCGCGTCGGGGTGCGTAAAACACCCGCGTCCGGGAAGGCACGCGGGAAAAAACCTTGAAATATCAAACATGGCGTCAGAGACTGCACAGCTGTGCAAATACTGTAAGAGCAGAAACTTAAAGGGCAGGATGAAGTGGAAAAGTGAAGAATTCTTGAGATTATAATGTACATTTGACAATCCAGACCAGGGTTACAAATGGTTGCCTTCTTTTTTGATAGGGATTCAACATGGAAAATTGAATTCTTGATTTGTGACTTTTACCATACCATTGAATGCATGATAGCAATTGCATTGGTCACAACAGAGGTGTGCGTTGTAATCATGGTTAAAAATAGAGATATTCAACAAGTAGGTAAACAAATCCTGCACATGATACTTAAATAAACAATACATAGCACTAAATACTGCTATTTTACTACTGTGTCACATAAAAATAGGTACATGTAGATGCTAGGGTTGTTGAATTACATGCAGAGTTTTTATGGTTTTATTTTTCGTAACTTAGGGAAACATCTATGCAAGACTTATGTAGGCAAATAATGTTGCAAAATATACAGTGAGAATGTACATGTGTGTAGTTCTTCACACTTAACACTAAAGTTGCCGTCCAAACAAATACTTGTTTTGCTTCAATGTATTTGTTAAACTTTGTTGTTTATAGTTTTAAAAAGATTCAAATCTGGATTTATTTTCATAACTAATGATTAGTTAGTTTTCTGCAACAATTCTTTTGTGTCTTCCCAATATGTATGTAGGATTAATTCAGAAGATGGAATTTTTACTGTTTGTCATTACAATGAATTACTGTTGTAATATCACAATAATGACTATCTTATGATGTAAATGTGAATGTTCACACAAAGATTGTATATGTATATACACTTATTAAGAAGAAACTTTCACCAAAATCTATGATTGCCTGTCTTGAGGTTCACACAATTCTTATGTTGCAGTTTTGTTTCGCAATTAAAGGTTCAATATTCAATTTTTTTGTTTCAGTTCTTACATACAAAACTGTTATATTAAAAGTTCAGTTTAGCTGTGATCTCATGCTAGTGTTCCTGGCTATACATTGTATGCAAGGCAGAAAAATCAAAACAATCACAACACACTTATATGGATACATTAGATTTACTTGCTAAACGTTTCTGTCTGTGTGCAGATATTGTGGCTAGGATGTGTCCCCGTTGTTTAGTCTGCGCTCACTGCTTGCCGTTTCTTGCCTTCAGTCAAATAGCTCTACCAGACTAACTACGCTGGCTATATATAGGAGAATACTTGCCAGGGGAGTTTGGCCGCCTTGGGGTTTGACTGGCCGCGCAGTTCGGGGGGAAAGACACAACCTTCCACAGCCTGACTCCCTTGGCTAATTTCACTCTCCATTTTGCCAAGCTCTACAATCTGTATTCCCGTAGGAAGGCCTGTTGGAGGCCAGAAATACTCCATCTGTAAGTCTTCACGTTCCGAGCCAATACCCTTTGCCCCTGGTGCTGAAAGACGGGTTGTTTTTGTGGGCGTACTGTACGGCACGATTTTTCTTCGCGGCACTTTTAAATTTGCGGTTTTCGCAGTTATTTTGTACCGTAAACCGTGAAGAAAGTACTACCACGGCTTTCTTTCTTGTGCACCTACAACCACCGTGAACATATAGTTCCACGAACATGTCCATTTTTCTCAGACCGCGTACTGATGCTACCGCGAATATAGACTGATTTACAGTATGTAGCATTTGCAACGTGTTGCCTAACTGTATTTGTTTCCTTATTTGATTAATATATTTTGATACATTTTAAATCTTTTTGTAGTTCAAAAGGAGACGTCCAGTGCTAAGAACTAGGAATATATCATATTCAGGATGATAGGAACGCACGGTAATGCGATTGGAAGGTGTTATGCTATCGAAAGACTTGACGAATTATTATTTTGCGGGGACGCTTCCAATGAAAAACCGCGAAAAGATAACAGATCAACATTAGATTGATACGTAGAAACATGCAACAAAAAATTAAGGCCAGAAGAAATCTCATACTCAATAATCAATGTCCATTGGCGCCACAGAAAACACCATTACATGCCCACGCGTGTGCGTAGGCGCCAGTCTTAGGCGCCACGGAGCAGAAGATAATAGTCGTTGCCATAGTAACGTGACGATGTTGGCCCCTCATCCCCTGAATCTGCGTTCTGATTGGTCCGTTCTCACTCTGTGTTTTGGAGCAGAAGATGGCGACGGCTGCTGGATTCTTCGCACTTGCGATCATCGCTGGAGGATTTTCTGAGGTAAACATCTAGAAATTCTGCTCAACTTGATCGTTTCCGTCCTTGTTTTTCACTGGGGTTACCTTAAGAGGGAGAAAGAGGCGTATTAGGCCGCCTTAAGAGGGCGAAAGAGGCGCGTTAAGGGCGTTTTGTGCCCGGAGGTACGGTGTTGTTTACGCCAGACATATTGCTTGGGTTCTTCTCCGGAATACGTAACCGTACGGTTCTACTGATGTTCATGCAGCGTTATCATACGGGGTCCGTGAATAAAAACCATTGTCTATTTTCTGTATGCCCCAGGTACAAGGATTCCGTTCTTCATGTACACCACTTTCCACAAATCGTTATTCCAATACCCTAAACGAAAGAATTGGATGCAATTTCGCGTCTTTTAGCGAATTTTGTTAGTGCTTTGCTTTGACGGACAAACGTCAGTAGCAGGAGTGGCTACGAAAGCTGCATTTGTTGTCACGTTGTAGAGCCAGTGACTACTAGCCTAGATACCATCCGTATGTTACGTCGCTCCGCTAAAAGATCATTTCAAGCGCAGCGGGGCAAGTACTGGCGGTACCCAGGCTCATAGACAATGGCTACGTATCTACAGAATATCTTAAAAGCGATTCTCTTTAGTATAGTCACCACGGCTGGTGGTGTAGCGGTTGTTTTGTAATATGTTTTGCTTTACCATATAAGGGATTATCGTGAGAACGGTATTGTAGCAGTTGCTATTTTAAGAAACGTGCTTTATGTGCTGCCTATTAACCCTGCGGCTAGTCAAAATCTTCTAGGTATTATGTGAGTGTTAGTGTCATTCAATCAGGAAATACATGAATAGGACATACGTATTACATGTACCTTCCTCTTGTGCTTACAAGCTAATTCCAGCTGGGACTCAGGAATTAATTCTCAATTCTGCTGTCACAGTAGCTATCTTTAATCCACATGTCATGGCCTCTCCTTAGGTTTTTCTGATATCCAATGTGTACTTAAAGCTTTTGCAGTCTTCTTCACCAAGCATGTACCATGTTAGGAACAATAACACCTTATTGTTTATTAAGTAAGAAAATATTAATGCTGAGAAGAGAAAGAGAGAATCAATGCAAATAAAGATTAAAATTATTCACAAATAAACATACAGTATTTCAGTGTTCCAAATACCCATCTGCATTCTGTATTTGCAGAGAGATTTACAATATTGCAGAAAAACCCTACAATCTGCAATTTTGCATGATTAAATCAAGAAGGTTGTAGTATGGAGGGTTGGGTATTTACAGAAAGTGTTTCCAAATTGCAGAACAGAATTTTGACTCAGCTGCAATATTGCACAACATTGAAAAATGTATTTCTACCACTAGATAAGATGACAGTAAGATACTAAATGTGCCAAAAGTGACAAAAGTACAGAGATTGTTGGCAAACTGACATCATAGAAGATCATAGATTTGTATCTATGGCAGACTTGTATGTATCCTTCCATGACCACAGGTGTTTAAAGCCACATCAATCCCTTATAACCTTTACATAATGGCCATCATCATTTGCGTGGTTAGGTCCTCCCTGGAGACTCAATCTCCTGTTACAGAAAATTAATATACAGCTGCTCACATTGAAGTGGTAACATGTATGCTTGTATTCTGTATGAAGTGTACAAATGCTGGGGGGGGGCATTAAAACATTTACTATAGACAATTTTAACAATATAGAAATAAAAGAAAATGAGACCAAATCTCCTGTTACAGAAAATTAGTACATACAGCTGCACCCATTGAATCGATACCATGTTACATGTATGTTGTATGACTTTACAAATGCAGGGGTCATTGGAACATTTACTATAGACAATTTTAACAACACTGTAGAAATAAAACAAAAATGTTTTACATTTTACATGGTTTATGACAATACAGGATTTTGGAACATTTTGGACAATTTTAGCACTATAGAAATAAAACAAAATGGGTTACATTGTACATGGTCTAAAGCAATACAGGTCTTTTTTATGAATGTTACATCATACTTTTGTGAAATGTTATTTGTTTTTTTTTGTTTGATAAGCCATTGTTTATTGATGAAATGCTGAAAATTTAAATTTGCCTGCTTCTAAGTTCTAGACACTTTTCATTGAGGTCATGAAGAAAAGAGGTCAGGATCAGACAAAATATAACAACATATGGTTACATGTTCTGCCTTAAAAGCTATGCTCAGAGAAGGGTTAAGTAAGTATGATCACTTAGACTTAACTGATGTATTGTCCCTCCCACAGGTCCATGGCCGATACTGCTATGCTGACTACAACAATGGTCAGGGGCAATACTTCAAGTAAGCCTTAGTCTTCTATTAGATTTAACTGTTATTGGTACAGTATAATGATAGTCTGTTCTTTTACATTGGTATGAATTAATTTTGAAATACTATTTTACCCATTGTACATGTTCATGTACTTCATACATTGTAAAGTTAGGGGGAAGTTATATCGTCAATAGACAAACAAGAATGATTGAAACTAGACATCTGCTTGGAGAATAATCCTTTGCTTCAAAATTTATCAAAATATTATGTATCATTATATATATCATTGCATCTATTGTAGCAACACCTGTGCTGTGCAATGTGAACCAGTCAGAATTGCCCTAAGGAAGGTGACAGACAGTCACTCAAATGTTGGCTAAATAAAACACTTGGCTGAGTCTCTTTATTCTGTCTCTGTTCCAGTTGCCACCAAGGGGAGTACTGCTGTGGTACTAAGTGCTGTATCAACACTGCAGGGGCGTTCTACTCACTATGGTACTTCTGGTGAGTACAGAAACTTCACTCTTCAATTCTTAAGGATAGCAAATTCAACATTTACATGGTCTGTAATGGCATTACATTGTCTTAGAAGTATATTGCATTGAAAAATGTACATATGAACACCACAATGACTGTTCTTGGTGCTAAACATCTTCCACACACAGGTAAGCATGCCTGTCCTTGGTACTGAACACAACACACACTCACTCTCACAAAAACACACGGTACTACCGGCAGCGGATAGTCACCACCATCGTGACTCTGGGTCTCCCCCTACCTTTTTTCCCTTAGCAGTAGGCTCCCAAAGAACCAGATGGAATGCAGGATTTTTGGGGTGTCATATACAGTGACCAGCCAGTTTCATTTCGCACTGTTGTCTTTTCTTCAGGTTAGAGGTGGCAGACCTTGGTACATTACTGATAATTTGGTAGCATTTGCTGCCACTCTTAAAACTTACAACTTTATGGTATGTGTCCTACAGTCTAATTCCACCCTTTTCTCTCCCCAGGCTGATAGTGTTGATGGGGATCATCCTGTGCTCTAGCGGAGGATTCTGGTACCGGCGCCGGTACTACCAGCAGCGGATCGTCACCACCATCGAGAGGCAGGGACAGAACGGCTTCGTCGCACGCACCACTCACACCATGGAGGAGCTGCCCAGCAGTAAGTCTGCATTTTTTAACAATTTTTTATGTTTACCGAAAGAAAACATATTGTTTTTGCTCCATTTCTTCTTCTTCTGTTCCAAACACTAACCTCTGACCTGGCCAATGGCCTCTTTTGTTGCCGTCTGTCACCATAGTAACTGGTGTTGGGTTACATAATGTTGCAATTTCATAGTAGGCATTTAGACTCCTGTCATTATATACATGTATGTGAATGTGTTTGAGTTAGAATTAACAGAGCAGACCATATCCGAAGGTAAACATTATGCATTTGCTTTGCAACTGTTACTTTTCTAGTTTTTTAATTGTGACAATACAATACATGTGGGACAAAGGCAGCTATTGCTGGTGTTGTGTCCCACACACATAGAAACAGAAAAGACAGACAATACCTATTTTCACTTGTTCAGTGAGGAAAGTCGTGTAAAGTGCCTTTCCCAAGGGCACAAGATTGATGGCATGTCAGGACTCAAACCCGGGACCTCTTGGTTCCGAGTGAAGCACTCTGCCATTACGCCACACAACCCCACTTTTCACATGCAAGGGCCACTTCTTGGCACTCAGAACTAATGCTCACCGTAGCAAATGAGGGAACTCCATTTAACATCCTATCAAAGGGATGTCCCTAACCAAAGCTAGATACTCATTTTCACCTCCTGAGTGAAGTGAGAACACTTGTGCAAAGTGCCTTTCCCAAGGGCACAAGATTTCTGACATGGCATAATAAATATCTAAATTGCTTCCCTTGCAGGCACCGACAGCTACTGTGGCCCCAGAGCAGTCGCCATTTCACAGTCAGCGACAACGGCAAACGTTCCGAATGTCCCAGTCTACCCAGTCAAGTACACCATCACTCACACCGGACCCTACCCTTACCCCTATCCCTACCCCATGCCCCCACCCAACGGCCCTCCCCCTCCCTACACCCAGGCAGTGATAGGCCCACAGGCTGCTGGTAACCTGCCGCCGGCTCCCCCTGGTGTGGTGACTGAGAACTGCAGCTCCAGCGCCACTAACACGACCACTAACACCACCATCTTGTCTGGCTGAACTGAAAACAGGTTTTCAGCATACAGTTTCTGTTTGGATGCTACTGTAAGTCATTTGATATTCGCGGTACTTTCATATTCCCGGTTTTTGCAGCCAATTCTGTACCAAAAATTTATTATAATACCACGAACAAACAAATTGTTGCATTCACTAACTTTTTCTTCTGCACCTGCCACCAACATGATGATTCCGGGAGCATGTCCATTTTCCTCAGACCACGAAATTTTGCTACCGTAAATATAACATACTTTACAGTAAATCCATTGCCACTATGCCACCCTTTGAGGCTCTTGCCACATGGATAACATTACAAAATCTTATACAACATTTAATTCTAACTCGTAATTTGGGGATAACAAACAAGCAAACAGCTAGTAAAAGTTGCATGATATTAAAAGGTACAAAAAAGGAATCTTATTTAAAATGCAAGTTTATACCTTGATCATGATTTCCCTAAACACGTTTGAAGGTATTTGATGGTATAATTGCCCCATATTTAAAAACAAAACACCTCTAAGACCTATGAAACCTTTACAGATACTTTTCTGCAGGTTTTGATATTTGGAAGGTATATGTAGCTGTTGTGTTTACAAAAGAAAGGTCTGGATATACACATATCTGACAAACTCTTCTCAAGAGGAGTGCACATATCCTTGGGTTTGCAGAAAGATCAGTACACAGTAACAGAGTATCCGTTAGTGCAGTACTGAATAGTAGGCAGTGAAAAGTACAATATTAGTCAGATTAGACAGCTGAACATCTCAATGGTTATGGAGTCAGTAGAACAATAAAAGAATTAGAAAGACAATGTTTTTAACAAAAGCCAATATTCTTAGCATATTGATGCATCTGAGCTCTTTGAAATATATTTCAGAATGTACCATACTCTGCATGCTACCTTATTATGGAAACATTAGTCATAAAAGATGACAAAAATGAAATATTTTGAATAAAATGTTAGTAATGTTCTTAGCTGAGTTGAATGCTACTGAAGTACTGAGTATTGAACTACTGTAAAAGTGCCAAATGTATTTTTGGCATCAGGTGTAGGGTTCAAGATGACCTACATTTATGATATTGGTGTAGACATACATCTTGAAGAAATTTAAATTTGTGATAAGAATTTATTCTTACAGTATCATTTTGTGGAGTTGATATTGTCAGACTAGTACAGTTATTGATGTGTGTTTTGTATGTACTGATCATTACGTAAAACAAAGGACCAAGATGTTCATTTCGTTATTTCTTTTATTTCAAGAAATGTATCCTTCCCTATTGTAATATTGTTGAAGTCGATGCATGTTCTTTTCGCAAGGGGTCGCTCGTGTAACGTCGTCCAGTCACGAGCGCCACCTTGCGAGAGTGGACATTATTGCTGTGAAAATTGTGAGGTAAAATGTACAGAGAACATGGTAGGCATGAAGACAAAAATAGTGTTATTGTAGATTTTAAGAGATGGATTATAAGGAAGAATTATGGAGGAGCGAAATAAAGCCTTTAAATTATTTACTAATATATTTCTAACATAGATTGTAAAACTGAAATTCTAGCCTAAAATTTCAATTGCCCATTTTTTTACAGACGCAGACCCCCACAATCCTTCCTTAAATATTGTTGGCAACGAAAATGAAACCATTTTAATGTTAGATATTTATATCTGTTCTTAAAAGTATGATGTATATTGTAGGTTGGCAGTTAAACACTTGGAAGTTAAAATGTACAAACTATAGACTGAGATATATTATAGTACATATCTATGTTTGTATGAAAGATGACGAATATGAAAATGTGCCTCATGTTCTGATATAATGTTACCGGTGAAAGATGGAAAAAGTGGACCAAGTACTTGTGAATAAAGTTGTATCTAAGTGTCTGGAAAACAGTATGTCATTGTCTAAAAACAAATGGTGTGCAGGGTTTAAACCACTTTTACACTTATAACCAATTCCCATAAAAGTAGTATGGGAAGCTCCACGTAAATTTATACCGTAAGACATATTCAATTAATATGATTTAAGCTAAATATTGCCAAATACAGCAGCAAATATGCTTGAAATGTAGTTAACGCAAACGTGAAACGTTGATTTTTGCAAATCTACTAGACCCTACAGTTGGTATTCGAGCGTAGTTTCTTCGCATTGATGTTAAAGTTGATTTCTTGTTGCACAGCCCAAATGATCTACCCGACTATACTGACATTTACTATCATTGGTAAATCCAAACTTTCGTGCAGTGATATATTCAGTGTCACTTTTCCACCATGCGAGACTCTGCCACGAAGTTGACAGCGTTTCGGTTGTCCTTTCGCTACCTTCCTCAGTTCTATTTCGAACTTGAGGTGTTCTAAAGAGAACAGGTGGTTCGATGCGTTCGATCAGGAATGGTCCATTTGTGCTTTGGAAGGTAGAAAACGACCTAGATACGTTTGTTTGTGAAAGAAAAGTGTATTTTTCGCCGCCATAGCAACGCTTCATGATATCAATGCCACTTTTCTACCATGCGAGACTCTGCCACAAAGTTGACGAGCGGCCTCTTGGTCTTGAAGGCGTCTATAAATATGCTGACGGTGCGGTGGGAGGGGTTGACCATACGGATGTCTCTTAGGAGTTGGTAGTTGTTGTGTTTAGCTTCTTCGGATTGGTGCATAAATGGAAAATTAAACTCTGTGTTGCTAAGCTAAAATGATCTTACCTACCAGCGGTTCTAGTCTGTTCTTTCGCTACCTTCCTCAGTTCTATTTCGAACTTGAGGTGTTCGAAAGAGAACAGGTGGTTCGATGCGTTCGATCAGGAATATTCCATTTGTCCTGGGAAAGGTAGAAAACGATCTAGATCTGTTTGTTTGTCAAAGAAAACTGTATTTTTCGCCGCCATAGCAACGTTTCATGATATCAGTGCCACTTCTCTACCATGCGAGACTCTGCCACAAAGTTTACGAGCGGCATCTTGGTTTTGAAGGCGTCTATAAATGTGCTGACGGTGCGGTGGGAAGGGTTGACCATCCGGATGTCCCTCAGGAGCGGTCCGTATGTCTTCAGAAACGTCACCAATGCCTGGAACAACGTCTCCGCGTACACGTCTTTGGGGATCCCAGTCGAACCTAGAATTTAGGATAAACAGAAAATATATAGAACACTGAAGAAGACTATTTCTTGAGAAGTGTGAAGGAAGCCATGTACATCAGGGCCCATCACCCTTCATTGACCGGCGACGGGGGCCGACATCATCTACCAGATACCTTTGACCCAGTGTTGACGTCACACTTCAAAGAAGCCACGTGACAAGCTTCACTGGGTCAGTTTACCTGAATTTACCTGAATTGCAGAGACTACGTCTCTGCAAATCAGGAGCCAGAAGGCCAGTCTACTGAATAAGACCAGAGTGACTGGTCAAAAGCTCTATGTGAGAGAATTTTTTTTATTGGACCAAAAGTTTTAACTTCAAACAGGTAACTAACAACACAGATGAACTTTAATGATAGCAGAAAATAAATTGTTTGCGTAATAATGATGTAAAATGTTCCAGACTGTTGCTTGATTCTAGAACGTCAAAATTGAACGTAGATGTTCTATGACGTCTATTTGACCTGAGAAAACCTCAGAACAAACAATGTAACCTAGAATTTTTATGACGTGTTCTCGAACTGTTTTCTATCAAACAGTACTTTTAAAGGAGACACAAGAACACAGCAGCTATAGCCCTCGGGATAATATTTATATTAATTTTACAGTCTTCTTTTTAGTATAGAGGTTAGTGCCCTGCGATCGGTATTGGTTTATAATTATTCTTTCAATTATATGAAAACTGCTGATACGTGGGCCCGGGGAAATCTGGATCCGCATAAGAAGGAAGCATTTGTACACGGAACAAAAGTGAGACTATCCATTGGGCATTGTGGCCAAAGAAGACGTCAAAACACTCCAGTAATGTATGTAGGAATATTTCTTATATAATATAATGTTATAGACTAAACACTGTTTACTCTGTACGCTATCCCAAGTTTGTTTGTTTTTTCTTGCAATTAGCCATAGGACAAGAGTTTGCAGTAAAGTTTACAAAAATAACAGACAAACCAACCTGAAGTCTGTAGAGACAAGGCTATTGAAGTGACTCGCATCTTGGCGGCACACTTGAAGATGTTCTCGTAGGTCTTGTAGAGGAGCATCTTGCTCTGTCTGGGCTCGGCGGAGACCCAGTGAGGCACCACGGCGTGCAGAATGTGTTTACTGGGCAGCTGGCCGGCTGAAGTCGGCACAACCTGGCGGGAGGGAGCAGAGTTGTTTGTTTGTTTGTTTAATTATGTTTACCGAAGGAAAACATATTGTTTTTGCTACGTTTCCTCTTCTTCTTCTTTCGTTCCAGACGCTGAACTCTAACCTGGTCAATGACCTGATTTGTTGACGTCTCTCACTATGGTAACTTTGAAAGAAGATACCTTAAGAAGCGCGTTTTAAGATAACAACCAAACTTTTGGTTACTTGATACTCCAGTTAAAGATCAGGCGCCCTATACTGGTATATATCATGGAATATAATAATGAAAAAGGTCCGTTTCAACCCCCCTTGTTGTCTGAAGTGTTTGGACTCGCCCTTCTGACGTCACCAAGTACTCTATTGAACTGTATTGACGTCACTCACAGTAATCAGGATGTTTAATCCTACTCAAGTGTATAATCTGGTTTCTTTCTAAATTGCACAGCCAGGTGACCAAAGTTTGCAATGAAAATTTTTATATTTCTTGAAATAACGTTACATGGAACTAAAAAACGAAGCCATTTAATTTCAAGAAAGTGGCCCAACGCTACATACGATATATTTAATACAATTTTTCCCATCAGCTAAAAATATATCATAATAACAATAATTGCTTCTGCCCCCTCCAATGTTTGAAAATGGAATATTCTTTACTGCTTGCGATTCAATTCACAGTCGAGTATTTTTCACTCAAGTATAAAGTGAGCACTTTGAGAATGAATAGTTTCATTGTTTTGTGCTCTTGAGTTTTTCTGTGTCAAGTTCAGATAGGTCGTTATCGGTCCAGGATAACTGCTCATAAATCGATAAATAAAGAGGTCAATGACCTGTAGGTTTTTCTTTTCAATCATTCATTTCGTTCGAAAGGTCTTTTTGGTTAGGTATACAAAGTAGTCGATTAAACACGAAATGCAAATGTGGAGATTGAAACATTGAAAGCAAATAAGCTCAAGAGTATTCTGTCATTGAATAATTTTGACCCTTTAGTTACCTTGTTCTGAAAGTGAAAAAAATTCTGCTGCAATACCATAGAAAGCTGTTAGGAGTACCATAATTGAGCTTTTCCCCCAATTTTAATAACTAGACTATATATTTGCGTCTCTTTTAAAAAATCTTCGGGAATAGTAGCTTTGAAAACAAATGTGTATGAACCTGAATGGAGAGATAACTAGTATCCAAGTATGCACAATATTTGCATACCAAATATTCTATAAACTTTCAGTCTTTTCTACTGATAGAAAGTCTATGGCACCCCCTGTCTACATACACTAATATCCGTAATAAAATACAGATGTGTGACGTCACCTGTGTAGCCGTCAGTCTCCCGTGAGTCGCGATGTATCGTCTGCAGTCAGCCTCGATATCATTCCCTCCGTACTGCGCAAGCGCCCAGGACAGCTCCCCGGACAGCTTCAGTCTGTCATTGGTCTCATTCACGATGACGTCAACACACTCTTTGATGACGTCACCCTGATAGATGCTAATCTTGGTGTCCAGTGACGTCAGGATCTCAAAATACATCCTGTGCGCAAGTCCAATCTGTCTACAAGACACAACGCCTTTAAGGTTGTGATGTGTCTCCTTCTTTCTGGGGAATCTGGTCGTTCTCTGTTTGCTGTCTGATGCTAGTCTTGCGTTCAAACTGATCGGGGCTTCCCGCCTTAAAGGAAACTTGTAGTTCCTTTTCTCAACTTCAGGTCTTACGCCTAGCCTTTCGTCAATTTGAGGTCTTATGGCGTACCTTTTCTCAAGTTCAGGTCTTACGGTGTGCCTTGGTAAGCTACCTTGAATCTGATGCCCCCTTTCCAGGCCTCTGAAATTATCCAATCTTTCACTAGTGTTGTCGTTGTTTGACTGCCTTCTTCCAATAACCCAATTTGTTTTCTTATACCCATGTTGTCGCTGTAGATATGTTTTCACCTCCTCTACATCATGCACCTTGCCATAGAGGTAGATGTTTCCTTTGATTTCTTTGATGTAGACTTTCGGAAACATCTCTTGGAGTTTCTCACATTCTTTCTTAGCATTGGTGACTGTCATACCATGGTTTAGTCTATCTATCTTGCTACAGGTAAGTTCTGTTGAGGCTTCGTCATACAAGGCCTTGAATGCTTCCACACTCTTCTGAATGTTCACGTCGTGGAAGGGAATGTTGGGACGAAAGGTGACTGTATTACTGCCGTCTTCCCAAAACAACAAGACCCTGTGCTGCTTTTCTATTCTCTCCACCTTGCTTCTGCAAGCATTGGTAACATATGTCATGATGTCAGGTTCTACGATGAGTTCGGTTTCTGTGGGTCTGGTACTTTTTGTCGAGTCTTTGCCGTACTTCAATACCAGGTTCATCTCCTTTTTGATGGGGTCTCGTCTTGGGAGCTTCTGAATTGGTTGTAGGACGAGGTTCACTTCTTTGACAAGGGGACTCTTTGAGCGTTTTGTTTCTTCCACAGTCAGTTGGGGAAGTTTTAATTCATGGCGTGTTTCTCTGTTCTCTTGAACAATCTCTGTTGGTTTCACATCTTTTTGTTCTGTAATTTGGGTTGTAGTTTTATCCTCTTTGCTGTCTTGAACAATCTCTGTCGCTTTTGCACCTTTTGTTTCAGAACTTTTGGTCGTACTTTTGTTACTTTCTGTATTTTCTTTTGCTTTTTCTGTAGCGTCAGAAGCTTTTTCATTGTTGTCTGGTTCAGTCTTTGTTGCTTTTGCTGCTTTTTTGTCAGAAGTTTTGGCTGTGGCTGTATCCTTTTCTTTACTTTCTTTTGTCTTGTCCTTTTCTTTACTTTCTTTTGTCTTGTCCTTTTCTTTCTTGTCTTTAGAAGTTTTATTTGCCTTCGTCTCTTTCTTATCAGAACCTTTTGTTGCATTTTTGTCCTTTTCTGGATTTTCCTTAGTATCCTTCTTCGTATCCTTCTCCTTCTTTGAACTTTTGTTCATTTCTACACCTTCTTTCTTCTCTTTTGTGCTTTTAGATTCGCTTTTATTCTCCGACGATGACCCCTTTTTTGAAGCAGCATTTTCTACACTCTTACCGTTAGCAACTTTTGAGAGATATCCATGGGCCTCTGTTATCTGCTTGTAATCACCCTTCAGTTTGATAGATGTAGTATTTGATGATGTCTCCTTGATCCAGTCCACTCCGATCTTGCTGTGTAGCTGAGGCAGGACGCCATCTTTCTTTGAATTTTCCTGCAGAATATGCTTGACAAGGGTAGAGTCCAGGTCTGCCTCAATGGATGAAAAGATCTGTAAGAAAATAAAATATTTTTTTAACCAAATAAAACACCTGAAGCTCTCTTTTTACTTCTGTTTGTTTTTTTCGTCCAACGTGGCTCTTTTGGTGGCTTAGTCAAAGGCCTTTCCTATATTTGGAGAGACCTTGAAAAATATCTTCTTCCCGTTCGTAATGTAACGTAGAGGAGGTACTTATATATTGTATCAATACAAGTTACGCAGAGTCATTGTCATCTTACATGATATGTTAATGATATCAATAAGTCTATTGACCACTGTTAAGTTATAAGTGGTCATCGATCTAATTAATTACATATTTCCATTTTAAATGACATATTTTAAGCTACAGTGAATTTCAAAAGATGTAGACATATTTCTGGCTTTTGAATTATGTAATATCAGAATTTGAATGAAGGAAGATTTATCAACCAATTGATCAACATCGTTACATCTCTCCATCTAGCTATCATCGTCAAAACCACCACCACCATCGTCATCACTAGCACTATGATCTTCAACATCATCATCATCATGATCGTCCTCATCATGATCATCTTGGGCATCATTATCATCCTCTTCAACAAAATCTCATCATCTGTACCATCAGCACCATCATCATTAACATCATTATTGTCATCATCATCATCTTCGTCGTCATCATCTTCTTCATCATCATCATCATCATCTTGACCATCTCATCAACACTATCTTATTTACCATCGACGCCATTATTATTGAAATCATTATCGTCATCAACATCATCATCAACAACACCTCCATCACCATCTTCTTCTTCTTCATCATCATCATCATCATCATCATCATCATCAACTCCATCATCAACATCAACATGATATCATCATCAACAACAACTAGCATCCTTGCCAAGAATCGTAAAGAAGTCATGCAACATTCAAAATACTAACAGAAATACTAGCTCTTACATTGCATTAAGTTACTAGTTCCTAACGGCACCGAATTGCAGGTCAACTTGTTTATTTGTGTTAAACCTGCATCGGACGTTCTTATTCTTATATTTATATGGTTAATCTTGCAAGTACTGCCTTGCATTGTTTATTGTAACGCTCACATAAGCGTATCGCTTGACTACAGCATTATTTTCCATTTCCCTAAGTATGTCAGAAATAAACACACGCAAATGAATATAAAGAATTAAAGATTCAGTTTAAAATGATTGTGGTAACTGGTACCTACCTTATTTTCTTGGCTCATCGCGGACGTGGTGTTCGCTCTGACTTAGTCGTTCGTCCCGGCAGCATTCCGATGCAGATAAAACAGCCCATGGCACACGGACATGTCACTTTACAAGTGTCCAGCCGAAATCAGATACCTACAACAACTCTCGTTTGACACCACCTACTGCAATGCCACTAGCAAGAGCACTTCAAAAACGTAGACAAATTGGCAAAAAAAGGATTAATTTCAAGTTACGAAACGCGGACACGTTGGCTGATTTGGTTTTCCCTGAAACTGGTTCAAATGTTACTATTTTGGAGAGAAAACAATAAAGAACCAGCCTCGACCCGCAGTCAGGACGTTTGTATCCACAGCAGTGAGTAAATAGTGTTATCAACTGTCTGACGGGATAGTCTCAAAATATGCATATCCCTAAAAAACATTATTCTATTTTTTTCAGCCTTGCTTATGCTGAGGTCACATTGTCAAACCTGGGCCCGGCCGGACTGTTTCGATTAACGAAAATCATAAATTTATACAAATATTATGCGCAAAAAGTTCCCATTATTAATTTTTTCAACTTTTTTTGTGCTTTGTCTTTTAAATCATACTCTTCGTTTCATAAGACTGCCCGGCCGGGCCCCGGTTTGGAAATGTGACCTCAGCATTACTTGGTGTTGTATAGCATGGTGCGATTTGCTGAAAAGGCTACCATGATCATTTCTCTTAGCAAACATAGATGTCAGTAAAAATCGTAAATTTCAAATTTTGTTGATAAAATATCGTGTTGTTTTGTAAAGAATCAGAGTTTTGAGGTGTGCGCCGAGCTTGTTTTTTCAGTAATTTCTGGTTAATAGCGCGGAATTGGCTCTTCAGTTGGCAGGTGACCCGGCCAATTGACCCGGATGTGCTTGACAAGTCTACCGGAACAAAGCACCCTGGGTACTTGAGAACAAAACACTAACGAAGAGGCTTTTAGAGTGGGACGAATCAACAGGCACAAAAACGTGACCAATCATATTCTTTATTTCGATGAAGGTTAGACGTCCAGGTAATACGATACGCCAAAAAGCAGTTACTCAAGCAACTGGATATGATTTTAGAAACGGTCAGACGTTTCAGATAGTATCCAGTCACTGACGAAAGCTAGTGGATGCTATCTGAAATGTCTGACCGTTTCTAAAATCATATCCAGTTGCTTGAGTAACTGCTTTTTAGTGAAATATTATTCATTCACTGATGTAATTAAGTATCTAATATTTGGGGTGGAACCTTGATCGAAAAGCGTCATTAAAAAGAATGCAATAAAATTTTCAGTTTAACGTCACATGGTATAATTTGCTCCAAAAGTATCTTTTAAAAAGAAAAAAAAATAACAGTGCTTTAAAACTAGTCATTCAAACAAAGAGAGAATTAAGTATATAGTTTCATGTGGAGAACACATATAAACTCTTTTGTAGACTAGATTAGTTCAGGCATCAAATAGATTTACAGTATCAAAGCGGCCAGCGTTTTGCTAACAATCACACTGACTGGTCGTGCCAACCGGTCCCTGACCGTTGTTAGGTTACTAGAACCAACATCGGAATTTGATTAGGCTTGCAAGGAGCTTTGACTTCTCAATGCGGTTTCTAAGGCACAAAAGCCTACATTGTGAGGTTGGTCACAATGGGCGTAAGGTTTAGTATGTTAAGGTCTACACTGTGAGAAAGTATATAGCTTTGTACTTTGTCTATCATTACTGTTACAGTAGAAACTTTGTCACCAGTCTCTGTTGTAGAGCTGTAACGTTAGGCTTGTTTTTTTTTTTGGCATTGAAAATGTCTATTCCCGCCTGACTAACTAAAACCACATCTATGATTTTGCCTACTATCTCAAAGGGGCTCAGGCAGAATTGTCTTGGGGAAATGTTGGGCCTATATATAGCTTTAAGGCCGAAAAGTTGTCATGTTTAGTCCCTGGTACCGTGAGTTTGGATATTAGGATGTTACATTGCTGATTATCAGAAATGCGTGGTTCAAAACTTCAAATCAATATACCGCATCAAAATACACAGTCACACTTCAGGGGTTAGACAAAGAAATAGCCCCTCTGTTCTGACTATTTGACATGTTTTTAATGAAGTATTTGCAAACGTCAAATACTCGTCATCCGCTACACTTAGGGAAGTCGGTGACAGGAAGTTCCTTCTTAGAATTCCGGAAATGACGCCAATATCAAATATTTGATCGTGTAAAGCACTTGAAGTAAGGGAAGTTGAAAACAATCATATAGTTTGAATAGTGAATATGACGTTTACGTTCGTGTTTTCAAATACTTGAAGACCTTTACTGGGAAACCTACGAAATATTAGAAGTTAAAAATATGAGATGTCCCTTCCTCTGATTTCTAGAAAAACATTTACCAGACATTCTTAGTAATTACACACTAATCCTTTTGAAAACAATATTATGAGGCAAAACACCGTAGAACTTTTAATGTCAAAATGATAATACAGACATAGCATGGGATTTAAGAGAAAGACAGTAGTAATCGAGGCTGCTATATTTTCACTTAAATTTTGAAATATCAGTTCAATACCAACTCCTAAGCTCGTATAGACCGCAACGCCAAGCATATTTTTTCAACAGCGCCAAATTTCTTCTCTTTTTATGCTTGGTTGCAGATACAAGAGCGACTTAGTCTAGTACTTGTGGTGTAGACGCGTCTCTCTTTAATTCCCCACTTGAATATAGTGTTACTATAACACGCCTTTACACAAAGCCGTCCTGCAAACAAGCCATGGAAACATGGCGGCTCGATTACCGCCTGTCGCGCTCTGATTGGTCAAAACCAGTCGACCAATATTGGCACAGGTCGAGCGAGAAGGAAACGGAACAAAAGTCAAAATGGCGGACTTCTTCTCACAGGTGTTGGTCGCGCATTCTGTTCTACTTTTCTCATTTCTACAGGTACGTGTTCATTTTTATGCACAGAAATTCTCCCAAATAGATAGATACAGGTTGTATACGTAGAAAAGTGTGGAAAATATAGCTTATAGAGTGGCGATTGTGACATAATCTTGCCTAATTTCAGACACCAAGTTGTGTAAAGGTGCTATGAAAACAATTAAGAATACCGTACCATGTCGTAACATTGTGTAACGGCGTACCTGGGTACGTATCAGGTTTAAGGTGTACGTGCGGACACTCCCGTATCAGACGATCTATGTATGTGTGTACCTTAAAACCTACTTTGATCGACCCTTGTATCTGAAGATCTGTAGCTGTCAACTATCTTGTGTGTTAGAAAGTTTTGCTGTCTGTGACTCCACAACAAAGTAGTTAAAACGTCTACTCTATTGTACCGTGAAGGTCAATGTCCGAAATGTCAAACTGGCTGTCATCTTGTTTGGGTGAACCTTGCGACCTGTTCTTGAAGATATCCCAGCAACATAGGCCAAGTACTTGCACAAACACTGTACCAAGTACGCCTATACATATATACCTTTACACAAGTTAGAACAACGTTTCCCAGGTCTACAGTATATCTATGCCTATACTGAACGTTGTTTAACAATATCTTTAGGGTTAAGAAACTACCAATACAAGTCACTGAGCGATCAGTATCTTTGCAGACTTTGGTTTTTAGAAATGACTGTAAACAATCGGTGATTAACGACATTGTTTGCATAACTTTTCCTTCCCCGATAAAACTTGTTCGACCGGTTTGTGGGCAGTTACTAGTACTCAGAGATTAAGCTGTGATAGGTGTACTTTCTAAGCATGACCAGTAAACTAGATTCAAATTTTAGGGATCTTAGACCCATTCCGAAACAAGAAAAACTTGACGTTGCGAAGTACTCAACTGTCTAATGCTTATGCCGCAGCCCATTGCTAAGTCGTTTGCAAAGTTGTCCACTAGAGTAGAGACAGGAACAAGTGTCCTTTCTAGACGTGGCAAGTAAACTAGAGAAAACTCATTTAAGTTGTGAAATATTCAACTGTTTTGGTTATGCCGCTGTCAGATCATTGTTTAATTCGTTTCCAGAGTTGTCCACAAACCATGTACACACATACACGCCCTTAAAACCTCTGTGAATGCCTTATTGATGATCGTGTGACCGAGTCTAATCCAGTGGCAAACATTTGGAGATAATTACGTTTTCTTGAGCTGAGGTTTTGAGCCTCCATGTTGTATGACGTCAATGGTTATAGTCCGTGACTGTTACCTTGTCAGACTGTCACCCAAACCACCCCCTCCCCCATTAAAATGTCACCTTTTCAGGACCCTGTCACATACAGATTCTTTATTGACTTTCGTATGGTCTACTACGACTAAGATCAAACATAGCTAACCACATGCTAAAGTCCTATACATGATTGTACTCACAGAATATAGATATGCAGCAAACTACTTACAGAATATATGTCAGTGGCAACATATGTTTGACTATTCCCACGATCGCAAACTGAATGCATTGTAGGGATAGTTCTGCCGTTGTAGTCGTGAATGTATCCTAAAATTCAATGGTTAAAGTCCGTGACTGTTACCTTGCCCACGGAGGTCGAAAAACACCTCCGTAACTTGTCAACTTGTCACCCACCTGCCCATTTAACTGTGACCTTTCTAGGGACCCCGTCACATTTAGATTCTTAACTGACTCCACAAAAGTACAGGGAGTTTTGCATGGTCTACTACAACTAAAATCGAACAATGCTAAACACATTCATGGATAAACTAGATAAAGTCATCCTACTTATAGAATATATGTATACGGCAATCTACTTGAACTACAGAATATATGTAGGTGGCAACATTAGATGTTTGACTTATAATTCTTTAACATCCATGACTCATGGTCAGTCCCATGATCGCAAACAGGATGCTTTCTAGAAATAGCAGTCGTGCATGTATCCTAAAATTCAGATGTTTTGTTATAAAAAATGCTGTCTCATATCCCTGTCGACTGCTTGATTGTCGACTGAATGCTTTTTTGGGAAAGTAGTCGTGCATGTATCCTAAAATTCAGACGTTTTGTTACGAAAAATGCTGTCTCATCATCCCTATCGGCTGCTTGATACTAATATTTGAAAATTCTAAGGCATGCAAAACGGTCACACACAATGTATGACTCATGGTTCGTCCTGCGATCGAAATCTGACGGCATTCTAGGTATAGCAGTCGTGCATGTATCCTAAAATTCAGATGTTTTGTTACAAAAAATGCTGTCTCATCCTTGTTCTGTCACAACCTACTAGTATTTGAAAATTCTAAGGAGTGTATATGTCCAATATGACTCATGGTTGTAATAGTATCCCACACAGCGTTATGGTATGTCGTTAGATATACATTTGTACGTAAGAAGACTTCTTTTCAAAGTGTATTTTGCAGTGAAACTGACATTAGCAATTCTTGTTGTCTCCCAACAGAGTGTTCTTGGAGGTGAATATTGTCCCAGAGAGGATGGAACATAGTAAGTATTTTACTTTTACATCTATGCTGTTCATGTACAATCCATGTCATAAATTAGTTGACTTCAACAGTTTGTTTTAGATTTTTACCTCTGTGTACAGAGAAACTGTTTGGGTTGTGTTTGTATGTGTGTGTTCACTGGTGTCACATTAATGAACACAACGAGAAATGCACACAAAAAACTCTAAATATTTCACGTAGATATGAAATCTCCAATGCTGCCGCCTATATTATAAGAAGGCTTTTTAGTACACATTGTTTTCAAGATACTTGAAAGTAAACATATGTATCTTATGTTTTTCAGTTGTTCTGGGTTCTGTTGTGGATCACGCGATAGACAGTGTTGTGCTTCCTTCATCTCAAGTTACTGGTATTTTTGGTAAGTACCGCTACCAACAATTAATGTTGTACCTTAACATACACTACAATTTAAGTACAAAGCCTTTGCCAAGCTGCATTATTGAGAAAATAAGTAGCTGGTAACGGCACGACACAATGTAGTGGTATACCGTAGGTGCACGCAGGTTTGAATTAACGTAAAATTTATTTAAGAATTGTGATTATTTGTGAATCATGATCGGAATGAGAGGTGAAATTGTGTGAGTATTTTGTTATTCTGTTATTGTTGTTATTTGTCATTCTGTATCGTAAGTGGTATCGTAATATTGTACAGTCTGTTATTCGTGCTTTGTATACCCAGCATTGCCTGAAAAACAGGTTGTTATATACCTGAGCGTTACTGCTGGTGAGATGATAAACTTAACTGAAACGAGAGAACTACTCTTCAGGGTGTTTGAACTTTGAGAAGTTCTTTTAGCAGGTCTTGCTATAAAGAACAGAATAGCTAAATAGTTGCTCAAAAGATGATACTAGCATCATATATGGGGGGATTTTATGTATACATTGTGTTCTATATCATAATTGTAATGATTATAACTCTGTCTCCCCCCAGGTTCTGTTTGATTGGTTTCTTCCTGATGATGTTGATCGGAGTGATGTACGCCTGCTGCCGGCAGAGTAAGAACAGACAGACGGTCAGTACCACTGGCTCCAGCGGGGGTGGGCAGCACTACCCAGGCAGGACAAGGCAGGACGGAGTCGGTGGGTAGAATCTTACATTTATACTTCATGGTACGGAATAATTGTTTTAGGTGGATGGAAAAAAATGTACGACAAATGCGATAGCAGCACATGAACAAATGATGAATTTACGATACTTTTAAAGTTCCCCTTTCCCTTTTCCCATTTGTTTTGAAAAGGAAAGAAGGAAAAAATGTTTTGCTCTATTTTTTTCTTCTTCCACTCCAAACACATAACGTCAATGACCTGTACCAGACGTCTGTCACCATGGTAACTGGTGCTATAGCAAACTCCCTGTGGTGTTGGATTACCGTAGCAAGTGATGGAGGGGATGTAGATGAATGTGCACTCTTTTGAGTAAAGATAAACGGAAAAGTAGTTTGTTAGGCTATACCACAAGAAGGTTAACATTGTATGGATTGGCTTTTGTAAATTAATGTTACCTTTTATATATCTTTTATATATATATATATTTCTCCTGTTCCAGGTTACTCCTGCCACAGAGGAGAAGTGACGTTGCCTCCCCCGTACCTGTTCGGCCCGGCCCCTCCGGTGAAGCCGCCGCCCTACTCCGCGTCGGACCCTCCGCCTCCATACAGCTCTGTCGGCGACATCCCCACCGTCAGCGGCTCCGCTGGAATAGTCAACAACAGTTATGTTCACCAGCAGTGACGACGTCTACAATTTACATCAACAATGTACGTGAAACGTAGCCTCTACCAGGCTTCGAGGAGGCGGCTGGAAAGAGTAGAAATTAGCCAAAAGCGAGATAAGTTGGTCCACAACATTTTCAAGGCCGCATCCGGAAATATACTCTCCAGCGGACCAACTCCCTCGGCATGTTATCTCTCTATTTAGTCAACTTCTTAACTCTTTCCAGCCGCCTCCCGAAGCCTGATAGAGGCTACGTTTTACGTACACCAGTACTGTTGACGCCACCTTACTCCGCCTCGGACCCCCCACCTCCCTACAGCTCTGTCGGCGACATCCCGACCGTCAGCGGCTCCGCTGGAATAGTCAACAACAGTTATGTGCACCAGCAGTGACGACGTCAATAACTTACGTACATAGTAAAACGTTGAACTTTATTTCAACACACAATTTACACAGAGATCAAATTTTCAGCGACCACATCAGAACAATTAATGACCAATCACTTCACGACGTGATCTCGCGAGAGTTACGGTTACAAAGTTAACATGATTACTACCAACACAGATGAACGTTCATGATAACTTACATACATCATTATTGTTGACGTATTGCAAAGATAGATATGACACATGCCAACAAGTTATGTGCATCATCACTGTTGACGTAGTCAAGAATAGCTATGTACAGAAGGGTGAAGTATGCCAACAAGTTATGCGTTATCAATAAGTGATAACGTGGTTAATATCGGTTGTTACCACTCAGAGTGATGAAGTTACTTGTAAGGGGCCAAATTACCCACGTGAATTGTGACGCAGTGAAATGAATGTGTACATTGTGATTATGTATATACACTTTACACAAATTCTGTACAAACATTTTGACCTTGTATAAAACGAAATCATATCTTGTTATTCATAATGTAATACAACTAATACCATGATGTTGTGCCAACTTCTTTGTTCACAATTTGTTGAAAGACCAAATGATATAACTGCTTCTCACGGATTTTTTCTAGTGCCTACACTGTCTTTTAGCTGCCAAATTGTAAATATTTTCCATAAGAAAATGACATTTTTTGATTCAACAATTTGACTCTCATTTGTTCATATTTTCTAAATACAGATTTTTATATTGCTTGATATATGCTTGTAAATATGTGACACCCAATGTATAAAGAAAGCTCACATGTTTGTGCTTGAAAATAAAATGCTAAATTGTAAGTATTGAAAAAAAAAGTATGACAGTCTGTTCACTGCCCCCAGTATAATCGCCCTTCGGCGAAATACTCCTGACCACGTTGGATACAAGAAAGTGTTCTGAAGTCCCTCATCAGTAACTTTCAGTAAGTATACTTTAAACTTTCCGAAAGGTTGAACCAAATTACGCAAGCTTTCAGGTGCATATAGTACTGACCTCGCTACCTTCGACATGCCATCTTGCGGATTTCTGTAAAATATCATCCCCTACTTCACTGTATGTGTCTTTGTGTCCTTTGTTAATCTCCAAGCAGATCTTTCGGTGGTCGCAAAAGGCAGTATCATACTAGCCAAACTGTATCCATTGGCCAGACAGTATCCATACTGCTTTGCCACCGTAGGATCTGCTTGGAGATTATGTCTTTGTAATCTCCAAGCAAATTCTCTGAGGCAAGGGATAGCCTCTACCAGGCTTCGGGAGGCGGCTGGAAAGAGTAGAAATCGGCCAAATAGAGAGATAGCATGCCAGGGGAGTTGGTCTGCTGGAGAGTACAGTTTGCCGCCTCCCGAAGCCTGGTAGAGGCTAGCAAGGTGAGACTATTGGCGGCCTGTAACCAGTTAGCCCCTGTCTAAGACTAATGCTTGTGAGGCTCGGAAACTGAAACAAAATGATGAACAACTCCTATTGACATTTGAAATGAGATGTTTGCAGGCTATTCTGAATGTCTGTAGGAGAGATCACATTAGAAACGAGGAAATTCGAGCTGTAATGGTTGTGGAGAATACAATTATTGAGGATATCCATAAACAAAGGCAGAGGTGGTTTGGTCACGTTCAGAGAAGACCCCCAGACTCTTTTGTATACGGGACCTACCATCAGGACTTTGAAAACCCTAGGCATAGAGGAAGATCCCCCAAAAAATGGCGGGACCAAATGGTATATGACACTGCATGGTCCCTCAAGGTTGAAGAACAAAAGGCTAAGGACCGTGCTGCCTGGAGGGAAACAAATGAAGAGGCAGCAAGGGGACAGCTCTGGCCTAAGCATTTAGGCAGGTAGGAAAGATTAGTGTCCTTGTACGTGTCTACAGACTGATCGGTTTAGCGAGGCGGAATGCAGGGATGCACCAAAGACTGGACACAATTGATATAGGTCAGCTGGGATAGCACATCATCACAACCGAAGGACATAGGGAGAACAGCATATATAAGTATTCTTAAGTGTAATATGAACATGGGGGCAAGAGTGTCACAAGAAGACATTACTAATAACAAAAGATACGCAAAGACGTTTGCGTGGAGAAAGGTCTGTGCAACGTGGGATAAACTGAAAGAACTGCAGTGTTGACTTGAAAAACGATGTCACTTTCGCCTCTACCCCCCCCCCCAAGTAGACCCTAAATGGTACGTACCTGACTCCCTGACTAAGTTTAGAACGAGACATTGCTTTAACATTGCTTGCGACCACATATCTAACATGTAGCATCATACACTATAGAGGGATCCCTTCAAAATCTTAAACTTGTCTAGAGTGGATGGAGAAGAGGTCTACAAAGGTTTGGATACAGACGTTCAGAAACTATGTAGCAGAAAGAGACCAAATGTTTATTTGGATGTCACTGGCCACCCGGATAACCTGGATATGCAGGCAATACCTTGGTATTTCTGGTGAGCTTTTTGTTTAATTGTTAGAGAGAGTACGCTAAGAGAAAAGGGTCTACGGTCCTACATGTGTGGACATGGTATCATGTCACAGTGTTGCACTTGTTATCATCGTTTATGTTCGTGTTTGCATGGTACTGAGATATCAGGTTTTTAACATCTACCTGTATATTGACACCCTACCAATAGATACAAAAGAAAATTGTAGAATATATACGTGAAACGATTTTATGTTTTTCTTTATCTATTTCTAGGTTTGGACTGTCTCTTGGTCTAGTTCTGATTGGAGTCATCGTCCTCTACTGTCGACATAGGAAAATAAAGACAACACATCCGACAAATTCCCGAGCAGCAGTCTACGCTGTCGGTATATCTTTTACGGAGCCACTGACAAAGGAAACATTCGGTGAGGTTTTTTTTTTTTCATTTTTGTTTAATATCTGTTCTATTACGCATGGTGGCCTAACTCAGCGTAATAGCACTGCTTTACAATGGGGGTCATGGAAGACATACATAACAGTAACATGTAACAAATAGTATATAGAAATACAAACGCAAATTTAACAAAGCCATCATCCACCCATTGGTGTAAGTATTGCCGTCAAAATCGTCTGTCATCTGACACAATCCTACTGGTTCGGTTACTTTTTGAAAATTATGGTTAAGTGCTGATATTGGATTCTTAAGTTTATTTTACAAATAGACGTGAAAATATAGAAAGCACAATTGCTTTATTACTTACAAATACGCTCTGTCTTTTTTGTAGTTCACTTCAGCGAAGCGGAAACTCGCACAGTGCTCATACCGAGCGTCATCTTCCCCTGCCATGACACCTACAACTCGCCAGGTGGCGCAACTGCATTTGACAGCACTGGATACAATGGAAAGAAGTCGAGCTCCAAGATTACCAGACTTTGAGTGATGTGATTCTATATATCTGCAATGTTTTGATCAGGAGTTTTGGATACTTCAATACTTATGGATATGTCTATTGATTAATCTGTTACAAATTATTTTGTAAAAATAATTGTATTAGTAACATTATATCTTTCTATGGTGACAACATGCAATGTAAATATGCCCGCTTTTACGGATATGATTTTGAAAACGTCAGACGTTTCAGCTAGTATCCACTAGCTTTCGTCAGTGACTGAGAGACCAGAGGGGAAAGCAGGTTTTTAAGTACAACCTGTTTATTGATATGCAAATAAAGTGAAGACAAATTTTTGGAAGTCGAAAAAGGAACAAAAGTTAGACAAGTCAAGACAAAATGATGCAAATTAGTCTGACAGCTCCTGTTATACAGAACAGGAGCTTAGGTGTTGTCTGTCCTCGGGGCTGGGAGTGCCAAATCCCAAGTGCCGGAAAGATCGACTCGTAGCCCCCCTTCCCTGTTGAGGGTGGGGTTGTACATTCTTTCATATATTGCCTCTTTGACACCCCGTTCCCACCAGCGTGTTTCGCGGTCTAAGATATCCGTGGACTCGAGTTTGAAAGAGTGACCCTGGTTGTGTTGTAGGTGGTGGAAAATAGCTGAGGAGTAGCCGTTGGCACTAGGTCGGCAATGTTCTTTGTATCTTACTTTGAGCGGTCGACTTGTCTCTCCAATGTAGGTGTTGTTACAATTGGGCTCCTCACATTTGAGTCTGTAAATAACATTCGCCTTGGTACCTTTGTGAGGTCGGTCCTTAGGGTGTACCAGTCTTTGTCTGAGGGTTGAGTGAGGTTTGAAGTTAGTGGCTATGTTGAAGTTTTGGAAGATCCGTCGGAGTTTCTCAGATACTCCTTGGACATACGGAATAGTGATGTTGGCCTTGTTTTTGTTGGTCAATGGTTTGCACTTCTGGATTTTCTTAGACTGATCTGAAGGTTTGAGCGCTTTGTTGAAAGTCCAGTTTTGGTAGCCACATTTAGCCAGGGCACCTCGGAGGTGTCTTGGGATTTGGCACTCCCAGCCCCGAGGACAGACAACACCTAAGCTCCTGTTCTGTATAACAGGAGCTGTCAGACTAATTTGCATCATTTTGTCTTGACTTGTCTAACTTTTGTTCCTTTTTCGACTTCCAAAAATTTGTCTTCACTTTATTTGCATATCAATAAACAGGTTGTACTTAAAAACCTGCTTTCCCCTCTGGTCTCTCAGTCACTGACGAAAGCTAGTGGATACTAGCTGAAACGTCTGACGTTTTCAAAATCATATCCAGTTGCTTGAGTAACTGTTTTTTGGCGTATCGTATTACCTGGATGTCTAACCTTCATCGACGTATGCCCGCTTTTGTTTCCGACTTCAATTACAATAAAGATTTAATGATGTAATAATGTCGTGATGTGTTGGCCTGGGATAAACGAATTAAACAAAGAAGCTCTCCGTGTTCAAAGAAATCTTGATAAAAAATTATTTTCCAGAGAATTTAAGTATTGTACGATAACAGGTTATTGCCATACGGTGGGTGAATTTTTACTAGATAACTTTTCGACAACGCTTGTAGTAGATGTGCAAAGGTTAGGTGTGACAGGTGGTTTGATGTAACATCACACCATCTACCGCCGCACTGCCTGGGAAGCTGGTGTGACACACCGAGGGTAGCTACCATGCTAACGTTATATACCATACAAACACATGATACAATATCTACCAGCTATATGACAGTGTCAACACAGAAGCTGGTGTGTTACGCTGAAGGGTTGTTACATGTATTATAATCAGCTATGCAATGAATATACAGATACATGTACTTTTACTACTAGTATTTGACCCCGAAACCAGCTACTACGTGAGCACCTTGCAGTAGCCAGGGCCTTCGAAATCCTTAGTACATGTTTATGTTGTTGTCACGGTCTGTTGCGCCACAATACACGCCCCAAATGCGTCATTTCCCCACTATAAGTGTGTCCCTGTTCTCTCACGGCCGACCTGTAGCTTCACGCACGACCAAACAGAAAACCGACGCTCCGCTGGGCCTGCATGATGTCAGCACTCTGTTGGCATGGCGACCGGGACATTCGATTCGATCGTCTGCTATTAAAACAAAATGGCGGCGACAGGACTGCACCCAACTGCTATCTTCGTCTTCTTAGCTTCAACGCTGTCCAAGGTAAGTAATTCTGTAAGAATCGGTCAAAAAGAAGGGTTCTAAATTTTTAAATTTAGAACCCTTCTTTTTGACCGATTCTTAAGAGGAATTTTTGCAAATCACTGCATGGAATTGCTTTGAAATGATCTTTGTGGTTGTACATGCCAGTTCGGTGAAACCGTGTCGAATGTCAATGAAGTCAAAACATATCTGCTTGTCATTTAATGTTGCAGACTACCGTCACAAAATTATTACACAGATGCCTTATACAAGTATTATTGGCAAGAATAGCAAGTTCTGTGTAATTAGAGTATCATTTATATTTGCACGTGATACAACGGAGTAAGAAGCATGATAGATTTTACAAACAATGTTATCATTTGGCTTCATGTCTGATTAATGGCAATTTATTAAGCATTTTTTTCTTAAAGCCCTTACGTATCGTGATAAACGATTGATCGGAGAAAAGATCGCGGCGCCGTATCTTTGAGACACTCGTGTTCGGTTACATGATGACCTATCAGCTATGTTTAGATGACATTTGAAGCGTCCAAGAAATAGAGTTGAACATTGTTATTCTAATACTACAGTGTTATTGTAATACTACAAATGTTTGTAAGCTTATTTATCATATGTAATATTAGATATAATTTTTATTTTGTCTTTTTTTTAGGTTGTTTACGGCAATGAATACTGTCGGACATCCAGAGATGGCTACGTGACATATTACTCGTAAGTTTGGTTTTCTTTAGCAAAACCAACAGTGCATATATAGTCACACCTTACTTGAGGTAGAATTACAGAATGATAATTTTTCTTTAAAAGGCTTAAAGTTTTGGTCACAAAAATGGACAGAAAGGTTGCAGAAGATGGCTGGTAATATTTTTTTTGTTTGGCCAGTATAATGCCAGCCTCGGTACCGTCCGGATTTTGGCTCCGCTACGCTCGAATTTATTTTTTTCGTTTCATGCAAAGCGTAGAAGGTAACAGACAGTCTGACGCGTTCAGGCGTTACCGTCTCTGTGCTATAGTGTTTCCTCTCGGTCTTGGAATCCTTCTAGCATGACTACGCCATTGTGTTCACGTTTGGTTGCGGTCAAAGAACCTGCCTGATGCGTTGAGGCGATTATCGTTGCGGAATTTGCATCTCCGCAGTATAAAAGAGATATCAACATCGCACGTTCCGCTACAACGACGTTCAAAAGCTGCTATGGGAATCATATTGAGCCTTTCTTATTGTCAAATATTGTTCCACATCAACAGATAATCATATAAGTGCTAGCAATTCGTTAAAAGGGTTTTCCTACAATATATAGTGTGTAGATGTAGAGTAGCGCCCATCTCGGTTTCCTTAGCCCTTAGGCCACAAAGCAGTGCACGAACAAATATACCAATACTATAACTCTACTAAATACAAATGGTAAGGTTATTTTAGAAAATATTGAATGTGAACCGTACATGACATTGGAAATATGTATATCTTTTCAAGTAAGATTTGATTTTGAAGTATGATTTTATCAATTTTTGATTTTTCTTGCCCCAGTTGTTTTGGCTACTGCTGTGAGGGCGTGTGGTGGGAAGAAGAATGCTGCGTCATCCTTTCACAACTCTGGTACTTCTGGTTAGTAAGAGTACTGAGACGCTTAATATCTAATTGTCGTATGTGTGTGTGTGTGTCTGTGTATGCATATGTGTGTGTGCTGTGTGTGTGGTGTGTGTGTATGCATATGTGTGTGTGTGTGTGTGTGTGTGTGTGCGGTGTGTGTGTGTGTGTGTGTGTGTGTGTGCTTGTGTGTGCTTGTGTGTGTTTTTGTGTGTTTGCGTGTTTGCGTGTGTGCCTGCCTGTGTGTGTGTGCTTGTGTGTGTGTGTGTGTGTGCTTGTGTGTGTGTGTGTGTGTGTGTGTGCTTGTGTGTGTGTGTGTGTGTATTTGTGTGTGTTTGTGTGCGTGTGTGTATGCGTGCGTGTGCGCTATATTGTGCTTACTTTTCCTTGTATGTGCACATGTACATTATCAACATGTCATTGTGTGTCATATACATACATATCATTCTACATTGAGTCTAATAATATTTCCTACAGGATCGGCCTATTCTCCGGCGCCGTGGTCCTGCTCGCCCTGGTGTCCTTTTTCTGCTGGAGGCTGAAGAGGAAGTCACGTGTCGAGGCTGCTACGACAACGGATGTTACGGAGTCTGCTATTGGTGGGTATTTTTATGATGCTGACTGCAAAATAGATGGCTTTAAACAAAGTTGTTTCCATTGTTATTATAGTAGGCAAATATTAACGATAATGCTTAGGACAATATTGTGACGGGCAATGATGGCAGGTAAGTGTGGGAATGGTTGCTTAATAAAACAACAACGATACATAGAGTAAGTCTGATAATGGTGACCTAAAGCATCAAATACTTCCGAAAATAATATAATTAAGTTGGTAGAGCATAGGATATAGGGATTTCTTTTACACAACCAGTAATGTCTCTTACCTTGCTTACGTTTCGGTGTCAGACACCTTCCTCATCAAATACCAACCAACGACTACCATATTTATCGGGCATGTATTGTCATTGGATTTACAAACTACCCACGTTTTGTACAGTGAAACTTATCCTTTGTTTCTTCTACCACGTAGATCTCAGAAGCAGAGGCTCAATCCCAAACGACCAACCCGCGCACTTCATCCGACCTCCTCCATACGACCCCAAAAACTACTATAACGATCCTCCCCCTGCTTACCCCGGATCCCCCTCCCCACCCCCTATACCCTACTGCAACGACCCCCCTGTACCGCCTTCCCCTACCCCCTCGGGTGACTCCCGACCCCCCTCGGGCGCTTCCCCACCCCCACCGTACGTACACCCCACGGAAGTAAGTGGACACAACCTGCCTGGACAGACCGTACAAGAACGAAGTCACAGCGACGCCCCTACCTGATGGAAGTGGTACTGCAGCGGCGGACATAATTGAACTTGTATATATTTGTTAAAATTAAAAGTTCCCTTTGACTATATAATGGATCTCATAATGCGATAGGATAGCAAGAATAACGCCTTTAACCGTCCAAAAATCTCTATGTAAAGATGTTTGTTGTTACATGTATATAGAGTGTACAAGTCTTTTCTTGCCTATGTATGTAAAGTCCATATTATATTCTTGTTTTATGTGTTTGTATGTATTTGTCTTTGATATGGGCATTATATATATATTCCTGGTCCCATCTAATACTATCTTTGCCGAGTGTACATTCAAAAATAAAACTACCCTTCGTTTCACTGTAATAAAACTTTATTCACCAAAAATTTTATTCCAATACGTTTCACTGATTACACATTGTGCTAAGACCCATAACGAAAAATATTCACAACAATATAAAGAAAACCTTAACAAAGTATAAACAGGGGGTTCAAGTTTTGTTCTTTTTTTCACTGAGAAATTATAGCTATATTCTTCACCAATTGTCCAGACTATACGTTTTATAAAGAAAATCAATTGCAAGAGCTGTACAAGTTGAATTCAAATTACTGAGTACAGAAACAATTCTCATATATAATAATAATGACTAGACGCTATAGTAACGTGATAGTAATGTCAAAACCTACATATGAAAATATGGCACAATAGTTTCCTGAATTAACACCACACACCAAAAGAACGATATGTATGTATGTGACACAGAGTAAAAATTCTAAACGCTAAGACCTATAATAATTTTTAAGCAAGAGTATACTCTAAATGGCCTATTCCCACTGCTACAACCTATACAATCATACTTTACAAAGAGCTTAATATTATAATACCACCATTTTCTGTATTTGCCATAGGAGTTAACTGACAAATGAGTTTTAAACATCCATCGTCTGGCAAATGATTCAGCCATTTGCCCAAATTCTACTTTTCCCAAATCTAGAAAAAGTCGTTGAGCGGTCGGTCTACTTTTTGTTACTCATCGATTGTGATAGCTCTAACTATCTGGTGAAAGAATCACAGGTGTAAGAAAAACATTCGAAATAAATTCTCTACAACTCTGCAAAATCTTCCTCGTAGCGCATCGGTGTCGCTTTCTCTGTTTTAAACCTGACGTAACAGGCAGCCACAATCACTAGAACTATAAAAATCACTACCATGGCCACAATGGCCACTGCAGGGCCCCAGTACGGTATCTCAAAAGGCGGTTCGGTTGGTTCTGGAATCGTGGGCATCCAGAAATACACGCCATCATTCCCAACCATAAAATTTCCCAGCATGCCAGAGTTCGACAAACTCCCGAGAAGCACCGCGGCCGCCGCCGTCCCGTTGACGTCACTTCCGTTCACGTTCTTGTCCAGCACCAACCGGAAGTTGACGGTGAAGGTGACGTTTTCGACCTCGATGCCGCGAAAGATGGTGGCCAGCTCGCTGTTGGGGCCGGTGAAAGACTGCACAAGTAGCGCTGTCATCTCGTTCTGTAGTTGGGTGAAACGGCTGCCATCTGTTTCTCCGCTAGCGGTCAGGGAGCCGACAAGCTTTTGAACGGGCATGGCCGGCGCTGCAGGGGGCGGTTGTTTGTTTACTTGTTTATTTCCAGTTTGCACATAAAAAAACAACAATATGTGATAAATTACAATGATGAATAATGTGCGGGGCAACCCAAAAAACCTAGCCGCTTATCGAAGGGGTTACCCGTAAGTATCATTTCCAAAATTACTTTTTACAAACATGTATAATAAATATTGGAGAAACGAATGTTACAAAAATAAATCAAACTAGATACATAAGGATACAAAGATAGCAAAACTGACTAACTTAGCTAACTAATTAATTGATAAAGTAAGACAATCAAATAACATAATAATATAAAGTTAGTAAAACGAACTAACTAGCTATTAATAACTAATTAATTGATAAAGTAAGACAATCAAATAACAATAATTGCAAATAACAATAAGAAAAAAATCTAGTCAAATCTAAAGTTATTATGCATAAGACAAAATATAAGAAGAAGTTTATTGCAAATTCGTGCCCGGGGGCTAATTGCAAATTACAAACATAAAAGAACAATGAAACAGAGTATAAAATAACTCAAGTCTACATGATGAAAGGTAGTTATCTAGAGCTATAGCTATGTCTAAAACTATGTCTAATGGGTTTGACTTCTTTTTTTTTTAGACAATATAAACATAAGTACCAGTTGTTGCAGCGGCAGCTGTAGTGACGGCAGCAGCAGGGGCAGTTGTGGGGGCTTCTGTCATGACTGCCGGGGTCGTGTCGTTCTGAGACTGGGCAGAAGAGATGGCCAGCAGCAATACTGTAACAAACGAGAACCAAGAAAACTATATTTATCATATAGATTCTCATATCATTGTATCTTTTCATGCATGTTGCTTGTATTTGCAGTTAGCCTTCTGGTATGTTTTTGCAATAAACTTTCTACATGATTGTTTAGGAGCTACATTTAACCACCTGTAATGATGCAAAATATAAACGCTGTGGTGTGCGCATTAGATTCTAATGAGAGGGCATTGTATATTTTCTCAACTTCATGGCTAGAGGATGCATACAACAGCAGAAAGGCAAGATAGCCAGGCTATAAGATAGATATCGATAAACTTTTGTTTCAAACACAAATTGAAACAGCTGTAGTAGTTGTAAATGCACCGCATGGCATTTTCCTAGGCATGAAGCTGCCACGTTTCTATCTACCATGTCTTTGAAAACTTCCATGAGGTGTAGCCAAAACTAATTCCGGAGGATGGCATTCGTGGACTCACTAAATGTCTAGAATATTTTGTAGGGAGCCTAGATCAGGCTACTCCTGAGGCGTCGCCAAAAGGTTCGCCAAAAAGTAAGTCTTCGAAGGGAAAGTTTCTTCCAAAACCCAAGGAGCTTTAAATTCAAAATTAAAACTCCTAGGAACCTCCCTCCCCAAAATACATTTGGCGCAGTCCAAGGCTCATAGGCACAGTCCTTACAACTATATCATACTTAATCATCTGCAGATCAAAGAAGATGACCAGTCTTGAAACGGAGCCAAGATATGTCATCAGTTTTCATTTTCTTGGAGACAAATCTACTGCCGTAATTATGGTTATTGTCGGGTAGTTTTAGATTTATGATTGGTTACTGTCGGTGCCGACTGGTGTGTTACGCTGGTGTGTTACGTCGAATGGCGGTTATACCAGCTATACTGATACAGATACAGATACTTGGTGTCTGCAGGTGCCCCTACTTTATTTGTATGTACACACGCAACAACACCGCCTGTCTGTGGATGTCCCTCTACCAACAAAACCCACCCTGACATGTAAATACAAGCAGCCATAATCAAACAACAGGTAGCAGTTTCCGGACGAGATGCCACAGGGACAGTATTCTTACTAGTCAGAAAAACGTGCCTTGAGGTCATTCTATCCGTAAGCATACAAGTTGAAACAAGTAGAAAAGATGTCGACGAAGCGCTTCATGCTTGGATTTTTAGCCAAGCAGACCTGGTCACCTCTATGCTTACTCTTCTAGATAAGTTTATTGGGTTGTTTCCATGCAGAAATTTGATGCTAACGCCTAGAGCTGAAACCCTAAAACACTGTGCCTCCGGTATTACGTCCCCATCAGAAGTGATTAAGTAAATCCAAAAACTATGCCCGAGCCGGGCTAGAACCACGCACCAAACCATGTAAGAAAACAGTGGTGTCATTGACCTCTTGTAGTCCAGATATGAGCCAAGGATCACTAACTTAGACATGTAAGGACGCTCGTACCTTCTACATGTATCTCTCACAGGTGCAGGTGAATGTTAAAGCGTTCTTTTGTGCTTTAGCTGTGTCATGAATTACCCCAAACGCAAGAACGTTAACATAGCCACAGAATTTGAGGAAAAAAGCTAAACGCACATTTTTCGCTACTCTCATTTCGCGCAGGTATACAGTTACTCAACAAAAACAAGGATTCGTGTTGTTTATCCTTACCTAACGTGCCATAACAAGGCCTTAGGTGTGTTTGTTCAAAGAGACGCGAAATTCCTCATGCATAACTTCCCAATGTGGGTATAGGAAGTGTACATGCCAGGGTACACAAGCTACGGTCATGGAGAATTGGTGTGAAGCAGACTGCGTAATTCGTTAATCTGTAGACTTTGCTGTGATTGGAGCCCCATCTAACCGTCTTGAGTTACAAAATAACGATCCTGTTTCAAACATTACAGAGAGCTCTGTCCATTTTTGCTGCATAGGAAAGATCTTGTAGGGTCTTGTTCAAGATACGACTTATTATAGCAACTTTTATTCTTAGTGAAACTAAACAATGTGTGGTATGAAGCACTCTCTCTCTCTCTCTCTCTCTCTCTCTCTCTCCTCTTGTAAAGGAATTGTTGAACGCCCTGTCTGGTTTCTGTCTCTCTCCTTCCCTCTCCCGTTTCTCTGTCTCCCTTTCTGTGTTTCACTCACTCACTCTCTCACTCACTCACTCACTCACTCACTCACTCACTCACTCACTCACTCTCTCACTCACTCACTCACTCACTCACTCACTCACTCACTCACTCACTCACTCACTCACTCACTCACTCACTCACTCACTCACTCACTCACTCTTTATGTTTCTGATGTTCTCATTCACAGCTTTCCCAGGGGCAGTACACTATATATATCATGGTGTGGGTGTATCCTTACCGAGTACTATCATGATCAGCGTTGGCAGATTTCCAGATCGTCGATTCAGCACTGCGTCGGCCATGTTTAGTCCTGAGTTAAAAGAAAACAAAATCCATAGTATAAATCATCGATTGGTTACAAAGGACTAAGCACTATCAGTTTGGCTATGCGAAATATCTTGACGAAGCAGCTTCCATGTGTATGTAGGACTGAGTAAGCATTATTACAACGAAATGCAGTCAGGCGGATTAGGTAAACATATCAAATATCACATTAAAGTGCAATGCCCCCCTCCCCACGTCTCGCAATGACCTTGGTAGATTCCTTGATGATATCGTAAGGTAAGAAGAAACTTAAAACCAGGTTATACCAACCTACGCAGGTGTACAAAGGATTGGGGGAGTGAGGCAGGAAATGATACCTAACATGTGCCATTTGTCCTGTACTTTTGGTTTCTCAATATACATGACATTGTACTTTTTCTGAGCTACAAAAGACTTGTCAAATACTAAAAAAGTCGGGTTCATTGTGAAGCGACTTTGTAATGCTGAGCTGAAAAAGATTAAAAGAGATTAAAAGAGATACAAAGGAGTATACTGCCGAGATTGCATAACGTCTTGCTGTGTGATTGGCCTTATTAGCGGATTACGTGGGCCCAATCATTAGCCTTCTTTCTCACGCCCATAAGCTTTCGCCTTTGTTATGTACAAAGTGACTGGTCATTATCAGGTACAATTACGAGTTAACCGTCTATGTAAAACCAGGAACCAGTTGCTTCATTTTAAACAAACCTACCGAAACCAAGGAGGTTTAAAATCGTGTATTTAACCTCCTTGCCGAAACATAGCCTCTGCCAGGCTTTGGGAGGCGGCTGGAAAGAGTAGAAATCGCGATCGGCCAAGTAGAGAGATTATATGCCGGGGGAGTTGGGTGCGGCAAACAGTTCTCTCTACAGGACCAACTCCCTCGGCATGTTATCTCAGTCTCTATTTAGCCGATTTCTACTCTTTCCAGCCGCCTCCCGAAGCCTGATAGAGGATAAACATACGACGAGATTTGGTATTCATTCTGCTGTGTTTATTCAAGCGGAAAACAGCTGTTTCAATGGCAATTGTAGAGAGTACTAGTAGTTCTCGCCAAGCAGAGTTATAGGCTTCGTATTATTTTTGGTGTTTAAGGTGTTTCATCGTGTTTTCTATTTTTTTTTCTACTAGTAATTTTTTTTCCTGTGGCAAATTGTAACTGCCTAGCAAACGGATACCCCCCGGCATATTTTGAACTGTCTTTGAGGCCACCAAAAGATCTGCTTAGAGATATTAAGTGACGGTCGTGAATTGGTAAAATGCAAAAGCCAACATGGTATGTACTCTGATATGGTTCGTATAAAAGGACACATTCAATAAAATTGTTGTTTGTTTCCAAACTTATAGTCCATTTAAAGTGCCTGGATTTTCGTCTATACAAAGGGGAAATTGTTCAAAATAAGTAAACAAACTAAATTGGCCACACCCAAGTTAAGTGACACAATAATTAGTTGATGGGGTGGGGGGCATTTTCAACGTACTTTTCTTAGGACACATCCTAGTAGTTTCCAAACTCATACAGCAAGAAACGATCGGTATTGTGGCTTAGAAACGTGCGTTTCCTCAACGATTAAATAGCGGACGCTACTTATGTAACAATTTGAACGTAACATAATCCAATCGTATTTGTATTAACAGGTCATCTGGGTCTATAAGATAGCTGTACTTCACAAATTCATGTTTTAATGCACCCCTGTCGTACTTTTGAACGTCTGCCCGCATGTATGTATGCTGTTTTACATGTACATAGACTAGGATTGCGCGTCAAGTTAAGAGTTTAAGGTGTACGGGAATGTTAGAACGCCCTGTTCGGTCGTTGACCTGTCGCTTGTAACAAAGGTTTGTCGTTTAGTCGCTTCAGTGCTTTTGAACTCTTTCAAGGTTGTGAAGACACATGTTCACATATGTCGACCTATTCCATTCACAATGTAGTTATAAACTTCTGCAAAGACCACATAAATGTACAGTTGAGGTATGGGCAGGTAGAAAAAACTAGAAGTACGACTGCCTAGGGGTTTTTCAAATTCACGTTGTAAGTTTAGAACTGGTCCTACGAGTTGTTGACAAAGAAGACATTGTTTCGCATATCACAACTTTTTCAACCATTTCACACACCCATACAGCAAGAGTATCACAGTGTAACCCACCTGTTGTGCCGTGGATTCCTCGCCTGGTTGTTCTGTTTTGAGGCAGAGCCGCGGAGAGACGCACCAGTGAGTTTTTTTTTTGTGACCAGGTGAGCTTGCCCAGCCGACGCCTAACGGTCGAGTAGTTGGCGACCTTTGTGTGGTGGTGACAGGGAAGTGGTGTCAGGTTCCGCTGCTTATTGTGTGTGCCTGCGGAGCTTATGGAGAGGCTTTGGTGGAGCGTACCACTTTGTAGCTGGAACAGGGGAATTTTTTTATCTTTACCAAAATTAACAGTTCCCTCTTCTCCGAAAACATAAGGTGAATGACCTGAACCAGACGTCTGTTACCATGGTGACAGGAGAGTGGTGTCAGGTTCCCCTGCTTATTGTGTGTGCCTGCGGAGCTTATGGAGGGGCTTTGGTGGGGCGTACCATTATGTAGCTAAAAGAGGGGAATTTTTTATCTTCACCAAAATTAAAACAGTTCCCTCTTCTCCGAAAACATAAGGTCAATGACCTGAACCAGACGTCTGTTACCATGGTGACAGGAGAGTGGTGTCAGGTTCCCCTGCTTATTGTGTGTGCCTGCGGAGCTTATTGAGGGGATTTGGTGGGGCGTACCATTATGTAGCTAGAACAGGGGGATTTTTTTTTTGTTAACCAAAGGCAACAGTTTATTCTTCTCCGAAAACATAAGGTCAATGACCTGAACCAGACGTCTGTTACCATGGTGACAGGGAAGTGGTGTCAGGTTCCCCTGCTTATTGTGTGTGCCTGCGGAGCTTATTGAGGGGCTTTGGTGGGACGTACCATTATGTAGCTAGAAAAGGGGGATTTTTTATCAGTCTATACCCCGCTATTACTTGAATTAAAGGTCTCGGTGCCTCGAACAAAAACTGTTTTCAGATTTCAAATCTGATATTCCTGAGACGATTATTATGTGTACAGATTAAGTCAAGTTGTAGAAATTAAAATGCTTTGAAAAAAATGCTGGTGTGACCTGACATTGATTTTACGAAAGACTAGTAGAGGATAAGGAGATCGTAAAAGTGCTATATTATCATTTCGTATGGGTATGATATATTTATTTATTTTACACCAGTTGTACAAACTTACATTTTGTACCCTAAACAATCCATCGGAATCAGAAAATACTTTAAAAAGATTTTAGTTTATACAAAGGATTTAAGAGTTCTTTACGCGATGTAAACTCTAGAAGGTTTACAGAATTTTAGTTTGATGACGTAAGCTGCGATGCCAGCCACGCCTAGGACAGTCACGCCGCCAGCGGCCGCAGCTATAACTGCAGCGGGTGGGCCCTGTTCTTGGGCCGTTTGGAGCGTTTCAGTAGTTCTGTCTGACTTGCTGTTTTGGCCTGTAGTAGTCCTTCTTTCTCTCGTAGACTCATTTCTTCTAGTTGTAGGCGTTGAAGTGTCTTTCTTTGTCGTAGTTGTAGTCGTTGTAGTGTCCATATCTGTCCTTGTAGATGTTGTAGTGTCTATCCCTGTTGTTGTAGTCACTGTAGTGCTCCTGTCTGTCGTAGTAGGCGTTGTAGTTCTTATTGTTGTAGACGTTTTGGTGCCTCTATCTGTCGTTGTAGGTGTTGTAGTGCCCATCTCTGTTGTTGTATGCGTTGTAGTGTCCATATCTGTCGTATTAGGCGTTGTAGTTCCTATCCCTGTAGACGCTGTTGTGCCCATATCTGTCGTAGCAGGAGTTGTAGTGCCCATCTCTGTTGTAGTAGGTGTTGTAGTGCCCATCGATTGCATCGATGTAGGCGCTGTTGTGCCCATGTTTGTTGTTACAGGCGTTGTAGTGCCCATTTCTGTCTTTACAGGCGCTGTAGTGCCTATCTCTGTCGTTACAGGCGTTGTAGTGCCCATATCTGTCGTTGCAGGCGTTGTAGTGCTCATCTCTGTGGTTGTATGCCTTGTGGTGCCCATATCTGTTGTTGTAGTCGCTGCAGTGCCCATCTTTGTTGTTGTACGTGTTGTAGTGCCCATCTCTGCCGTAGAAGACGTTGTAGTGCCTATTGTTGTAGGCGTTGTGGGTGATGGTAAAGTGGACGTGGACCCTGTTGTATACACAGCGTGTGTTGTAGTCGGTGCTGTAGTAGCAACACTTGGTGTTATCACTGCTGTAGTTTGTGGAGTACTTGCCACAGTTGCTGGATCGGTATGTGCATCAGTAGCCACTGTGGTGAGGTAGGTGGGCGCCTGAGATGTTGTAGTTGTTACAACAGACGTTGCCATCGTTGGTGTTTGTGTTGTAGAAGCTGTCGTTTGAGGTGTAACAGGAATGCCAATAACGTTCGTGGTTCCAGCTACAGACGTCACCACCTGTGTAGTAGAAGTAGCACTTGTTGGAGAATCTTTGGCCGTTGCTGCAGTACCGATAATCAGCGGTGGTGGCGCTGTTACTGTAGAAGGGCTTACAGTAGATGTTCTACTCGTTGTTGTCGAGCCTAAGTACTGGTTCGGGCACTGGCAAAACGGGTTGTAGTCACTTCTTAGGCGCAGGCGAAGTTCGTACAGTTTGTCAAAGTGCACGGAGTGGCAGTGGTCGTCTAGTGCAGACTTCTTGCAGTCAGTCATGATAGCATACTCCCTGGATAAAACAAGAAAAAGATCAACGTAAGGTCGATATATTTCACTATTATATATATCATTACGTTTTTAATGTATTATCTAATGAAAACTGTTACATCTTAGAGGTGATTATAAAAGAGATCTTAGTGGTTTGTGACTTTAGTGTTAAAATAGCTGTACTTGTAATGGACCGCTAATAGTGCAATTCAGTTCCCATCACAAAGGATTGTTTCAAAATAATGTAATTTTTAAAGTTCAATAAAAACCAGAATGATGATTCTTATGAATAGACATCCCATTATTCCCGAAAAGCTGGGAAAAATTCAATGCAGTAAGAAAATTAATACAAGTAGAAGTAATAGTTACTCCCTGGAACAAGCAAAAAGTCATCGCTAGGTCGAAATTATATAATTGTAATGATTCTTTCCCAAGAAGCTGGAAAAGATTGAAGACTACAAGTAGAAAGCCTGTCATTGTGTGCTGTACTTTCTCTGCCAGCTGAACATACGTGACACTATGTGGGTAATCAAACCTACGTGACCTCAGCATATACGTCATCATGATTATTTCCGGGTCACTGACATTCGTCTGTGACCAAAGAAAGCGGTTCGCCCATTGGTGCTCGGGATGCACAGGCGCCAACAAACAGCCAATAGGAATGCACATTGGAAAAAGCTGCAAATTCAAACTTTTCACAGGCGAAGAAGCGGTAAGTGTGAGCTTGGATTGCCTTTTTGATTAGTTAGAGGAGGTTTGTTTTACCAAGAAACACCAGACAACAAAGTGTATCGTTGTAATCCCTCTGTAATGGAACATTTAGTGCCATTTTACGAGAAAACATGGCAATTTATGTCGTTTTGTGGCATGGAGTAACTGAGTTGATGGGGAGGGGGGCACCGGATTTGCTGACCAATGATTTCTCTCCCAATATTAAAGTACTGCCAAATAGAATCCACCCAAACCTTCTCAAAAGTGTTTTATTTTTCTGCACAGGAAGTTGAACAAGCATGGAGGAACTGTTATAGTTCATTGTTGAGGCTAGTACTTGCAATTGTGTAAGCTTACAGTGACTGCTTTTGCTTTAAGTAACCTAGACTTAGTTCAAAGAGGTGGTGTTTTGTGCCACATAAGTTATCTTACGTATGGCATCTAATACTGTAATATGATTATGTATGACTCATTTTTTGTTATGACTTATTGCAATATTCAATGTTGTAGAAATTGTCATGTTTTATGACTCCAACATTATGTCAATGTTTTAGCATTTGTATCATGTTTTTTGACTCCTTAACATTGTGTCAATATTTTGTGCTTTTTATCATGTTTTATGACTCCAAAACATAAACACAATCTCCATTTCGTTTATGTTTTGGAGTACTGCAGGACTCTAGGAGGACTAATTTTAGTGATTGTTGAATTGATTCAGATTCTTAACAAGCAAAGAAGCAAATAGGCAACCATTCTTTCTGTACAGTGTACTGGTACTTGATACAACTTCTTCATATCAAGAATTTCTCACAACACAACACAACTCAACACAACACAACACAACACAACACAACACAACACAACACAACACAACTCAACACAACACAACACAACACAACACAACTCAACACAACACAACACTGGTACTTGATACAACTTCTTCATATCAAGAATTTCTCACAACACAACACAACTCAACACAACTCAACACAACACAACACAACACAACACAACACTGGTACTTGATACAACTTCTTCATATCAAGAATTTCTCACAACTCAACTGAAACAAACACATGAGTGAAGTAGGAAGTAAGCAGGTACCTGCACAGCTGAGGGTGTGACTTATTGCTGAGGTAATATTCCATAAACTGCTCTATGCATGCAGCTGAGTCATTGGAATATTGCTCCTCGCATTCCACCCCTTCTCCATCTGTTCTCATCTGTTCTGGATGAAATGTTGTCCCGTTACAGTAACGGTCTGCAGCGTTAAAAGCTGTGGCTATGGTGACAAGGAAATTTTGGACCTGAAACAGGGAAGATAGTTTAATAGTTTAGTTAATCATAAAGATTATGAAATAACTAACTTTGTAGCAGTGGCAACAACTTTACTTTTTTGTTACAGTCATAACATTTTAAATGTTCACTAGAAAGGTAACATTTGCAAAGCAAATGCATAATGTTTACCTTCAAATAGATCTGCTCTGTTAATTCTTACTCAAACACATATGGTGACAGTAGTCTACTATTACATATCCCTCCTGCTATAAAATTGCAACATGATGTACTAGTAACCTAACTCTAGCTACCAGGTGACAGATGTCTGGTTGAGGTTGAAGAAGAGGAAACAGAGCAAAAACAATGTTTTCCTTTGGTAAACATAAATGTCTGAGTTTTTGCAACAACTTTACTTTTGTGTTACAGTTGTAATGTTTTAAATGTTTATCCCTCACCAACTCCCCTGGCATGTTATCTCTCTATTTGACCGATTCAGTCTACTCTTTCCAGCCGCCATCCGAAGCCTGGTAGATACTAGTACTACGGTTTTTGTGCAATGATTCCAGAATGTAGTTTTTTTAGGACGGTTGCAGGGAAACAACAAAAGCAGCAGAATAGTCACCATTGCATCTTCAAAGATGCCGACAACACAGTCATAGTACACATCTCTGGTGCAGTTCACAATCCGGGTCATATCAGGGTGTGTACTGTGTGGGGGAAAACAAGAAGTCAATTGACAATTTGAATTTAACATCCACTGCAGTTCAATGTGTTGTCACTAGAGGGACCAAAAACTACACCTACATTCATAGACTTTTATAGGTAGTTCTATCCCAAAGCCCTGTCCACACTTTCATGATAGAAATGCTAACCGCCATGCTATCATTGGTTGGACTGTTCATTACTGATGGTTTACATTGCTATCATTGGTTGAACTGTTAATTGCCATGCTATCATTGGTTGAAGTGTTAATATTGCATGCCATGCCATCATTGGTTGAACTGCTATTTGCCATGCTATCATTGGTTGAACTGTTAATTGCCATGCTATCATTGGTTGAACTGTTGAATGCCATGCCGTCATTGTTTGAATTGTTGATTGCCATGCTGTCATTGGTTGAACTGTTTTTTGCCATGCTATCATTGGTTGAAGTGTGTTGATTGCCATGCTATCATTGGTTGAACTGTTATTTGCCATACTATCATTGGTTGAAATGTTGATTGCCATGCTATCATTGGTTGAAGTGTTGATTGCCATGCTATCATTGGTTGAAGTGTGTTGATTGCCATGCTGTCATTGGTTGGACTGCTAACAGCCATGCTTTCATTGTTTCGATTGTTAATTGCCATGCTATCATTGGTTGGACTTTTAAATGCCATTGCCATAGTTACTCTCCAAGCAGCAGTTGGAGGTAGAATATTGGTCCATTTTCTGTTTTGTTAAAGAATCACAGGAGCTAGAAAACATTAAAAACTTTAGAAAATCTTCCACCCAACATCTGCTTGAAGATTCTACTCGTTTAGGGGTCTGTCAGCGACATCTCCATAAATGTTTGTTTAGCGCCCCTAGCGTGTGACGTGGGTAACTGCATTGTGTTTCAGACCCTGCAACGGTTCTTGTATGCCGTTTACTTGTGGGCCATTCACGGTTCAAGTGACGCAAAGGATCAGCACGCAACCGCACTCACATTATTCTTCTGCTTATATGTGCGTGTCAAAACGTACTGCAACCGAATACCCAAAGGCCACTTACAGTTCGCATTGTTTCTAACTCTCCCATAACTCAGCTAAGTAAGCCATATCATTATCAAGGTCAAAGCCACGCCTTAACCTCAACTTTGAACAGCAGGACGATTTCACATTTTTTCTCTATGCTTAGTTGTATCATGGTCTTTTAACGCCATGGCTGTATAGTACTATAATCCAGTATATGTTATATTAAGCACTTCTTTATAAGCATTTGCATGTGTATTTGTATTTGTATGCGCTTGAAATCGTTCTTATTTGAAAGGCTTGGTAAATCTGGTGGTATATAGTTCTTATAATACATACTTCTCATCTTACTAAGACATACTTAACTGTGAAAACAAAATGCGCTATTAACAACCATAACTTCGTTTCTTACATATACATTTACTCCTCTTAAGTTCAAGCTGTTACAGGTTTTGCCAGGCGATATGTATCAAAATCAGAACTCACACACAGTCGATGTCCGGGTTGGTGCACAAGGCATAGATGAACTCTGATTCGCACTCCTGGTTTCTCTTAACGACGTCATCCACAGAACACCTTCCCAGGGGCCTTGGGGTTTGGCGGGGTGTTGTTGGCGCCTGTGAATGGCTTACTCGTACCGACACTGTAGAAGAGAAATGACAATGTAGATATAGTACACAATGTAATTATTTAAATTACTTTCCTCTTAACATCCGAAAACCCACAAATTACAGAAAAAGTGGGATCTTTTGTCTTCCTCTGTCTTCAAAAAAGAAGTCAAACCCAGTAGTTTTTGCCAGTAGTTTCTTAGTAGTTATCAATAGTTCTATATGTACTAATTGTCTGTTTTTATACATTATTTCTTCTGTTTCTGCAATTAGTCCTCGGGCAAGAATTTGCAATAAACAATTACTATTAATAGTACACGTTAGGCCGTAACATCTGTTATGTAATAGTATGTTTATCTGAAGTGTAGCCGACACTGTTAACTGTTACCTGTTCCTATTTGTTTATGTTCTTGTTGTGAGGGCTAGCCCTTTATAATAGCCTCCGGCTAGTTTGGCAGTCCTGGCTGTATATATATATATATATGCATATATGTTTATACAGTCTAATAAATCAAATCAAAGAAGAGAAATAAGTAAGGGCCCGGTCACGTTGGTCGTGCGATCGTCATACGATCGAAAACCGATGGGATTCTTGGAACAGTCGTTGATTCAAGTTGTACAAAATTCAGCTGTTTTCCATGCAGCAACAACGCGGGCGTCAGACGCAATTAACGTTGGCACATACGAACTTCTGAGTGTTTTGGTCATGCATACTTTCCTATGTAAGGCGCGTACATTGCACACTTTCCTATGTACATGTTCGTAAGACAGTCTAAATAACCACGCGTTGAAGAGGCAGTGAGTAGTTTTAGTAAGACATACGATCGCACTTTGGTCTCTTTTACTCTACCATTTGACCGACGACGAATATGAACACTCACCTGCCTTTTTTAAATATTCCAACATGTAGTCACAAGACGTGGTGACGGCACACAATTTTTTTCAACTTATATTAATGCCGCCACCAACACGGGACAATAAAATACTCATTTTCACCTGAGCGAAGTGAGGAAAGTCGTGTAAAGTGCCTTTCCCAAGGGCACAAGCTCGGTGGCATGTCAGGACTCGAACCCGGGACCTCTTGGTTCCGAGTCGAGCACTCTACTCTACTCACCTGCCACTCACTCACTCTACTCACCTGCTAAAAAGGCGATCCCCAGCCATGAAAAGACTTGTCTTGATATCCTCGCCATGTTGTAAATGTAGTGTGTAGAATCTGTCCGTCACTCAGAAAACCTCCGCCGTTCTTGTACCGACACCTGAGCGGAACGATGTCACGGTTGCAAGGCTGTGTTAGAAGGCCTCTGAGGCTCCCCTGGGGTTTTCACGTATGCCCTGCCCGAAACTACACAGTCTAGTAGTACTGTTTCCCCAACCTACATGTGCAAAACGCACACTTCAAAAGGAGACATTTAAAACTTTACGTGCTTTTAACCCAGATGGATTAAAACAAAACAAAAACAGATTTTATACGACTATTTACAAACTTTGCTAGACCCCCTAAGTAGCCTACTTGTTGAAAACTTCGTCTCACATACCGCTGTTCTTAATCGACTGTGAAGCATTTGTTTTCCACGACAGAGCCCTGACAACTCCCCAACACACGTAGTATGTGTTTACGTGGTCTTTAAGCACTACCGTATTTCCGTTTACTTTAAGCAGGTGTCTTTCAAGGTCTTCACCATTTTATTGTTGTTTGAGCCCAAATAACTTTTTTTGTGGTAGACAAATAAGTTGTTTTCTTTACACCTTGTGGCAGTTGTTTGCGACGGTCTAAAGGGACGTACGAGAAAGGGTATTGATGTTGAAGATACTGGTGCATTACCGTATTTCCCTTTAGTCTGTCTCTTTCAAGTTCTTTACCATTTTATTGTTGTTTGAGCCCAAAATATCTTTTTTGTGGTAGACAAACAAGTTGTTTTCTTTACACCATGTGGCAGTTGTTTGCGATGGTCTAAAAGGACGAATAAGAAAGGGTATTGATGTTGAAGATACTGGTGCATTACCGTATTTCCCTTTAGTCTGTCTCTTTCAAGTTCTTTACCATTTTATTGTTGTTTGAGCCCAAAATACCTTTATGTTGTAGACAAATAAGTTGTTTTCCTTACACTCTGTGGCAGTTGTTTGCGATGGTCTAAAAGGACGAATAAGAAAGGGTATTGATGTTGGAGATACTGGTGTGTTTGCTTAGTAAACAGGTGGTTCATTTGTAGTGATAACAAACCACCAGCTAACACTTTACTCTGGTGACTCTTTTGGGAAAGCTGCTTTGTACTTAAGAAGAGCTGGTATGAGGAAATGATTTAAAAGAAAAGCTAATACAGTCGAGCATGCGGAAACTGTGTTTTAAAGAGCTGGTGCTTTAGTTTAAGGGATGTAAAACATGAAATTTGAAAGAGTAATAGACAGAACTTCTTTCGTTAGAGAAATAAGTTAGAAATCGAACCTTGTTTTGAAAAAAGACAATATATATTTAAGATGTGATATGATTTAATGATATTGCATAGTGTGCTGACAGCGATTTATTACGAAACATGTGCAAATTTTAGGAAGAAAAAAATGTATCTCAAAGTTATACACAGATATAATTGTAAAATTAAACCACAGCCAAAAAATGACAACAAATCCTAAAAAAAGGAAACTATCACAGCAAGGTAAAGTTTCAAAATATATAACTTTATTTGTACAGTTTTGACCTGGTAGTGGAAACATTAGTTACCACTGTGTCCATCTGATCTCTAGATCTAATACACAGAGTAACATCTAGAAGATGTTCTACCGAGTAAAGTACAAGAAATCTAAGCCTTTTAACTACTATAGGCAAGTTCAGGATTAGGCCACAATGTTTTAAAATCCAGTCAGTTCATGACGATCAACAGTTCAACCAATCATAGCATGGCCTTTAGCGGTTCGACCAATGATACAGAGGCTGCATTCCAGTCAAAGATTTGAATTCTTGACGGACTTGCTGCAACTCTCTCATTGGTTGAACCGCTAAATGCCATACTATGATTGGTTGAACTGTCGCTTGTGATGGTCGACAGTTACTGATGGTCTATTAAATTATTAATCCTGTCTGTTTTTCCGTCTAGAAAAAAATCCTTACAATTCTTCATTATTTGACAACCATCACCTGAACAAAATTTTAAGACTTTCTATACATACGTAAACAGTGGAATAAACTAAATCTAATTACTCTTATGTACAGTTTACTAATTCTGCATTCTAATCGGCACTTGTAAGCGCTGTTTTCGGTGTGAACATTCTAAATCTAATTTGACAAAATGAACTTGGGTCATAAAAGACAAGAACGGCTACTGGCAAAAAAAAAACGTAGAGAAAAAACTACCTGTTTTCTGTGATGTTATTACTACACAACTTACAATGATCACTTACCAGTAATACTTTAGTAAACGTATCCAGCCCTGAATTTAAACATATATACATCAGTTTGTACAAAGGCATGTAGCAAAGCTGCAGCGCCACCATACTGTATCAGGTAGAATTACAGTGTACTTTCCTGTGGTATTTTATGTGATGTTGAGAATTTCTATCAGATGAAAAAATGAAGCATGGCATCGTCATTTCACCATAGATAAGGCAATTCTATCGTTGTACAATGCCGTCAATTATGATTAAATTGAATGATACAGATGCTGGTAGTAGTTGTAGTTGTCACATAAAATTGATTCATAGATTTCATTTTAATATCGTACAAGCAAAGTCCTAAAATTTTCTTCGGCGACGTCTACCTATCAGGCCAGTCAACTTTGTTTCTAAATTGGAGGACATAAGAAAATGTAAAAAAAAATGAAGACTGTTAGCATTTACATTTATACCAGAGTCATCTGATATGTTTGAAACTTTCTACTTAGCCACTACCTGCCTCCGGAATCCTTCCATCAACACCATTTGTCCAAAAATATCTACTAGTTTATGTACATAAGTTTACAATTGCAAAGCACGTGAGTGATTTTTAAAGAATACTATGTACATCCAACAAGGAAGAATAATATTAAACATTTGCTCTGCAAATGTTACCACTAGAAAGCATTTGATATGTTCAGCCAAGGAATGTTGTCGTATGCTTCAAGAGAACTAGACAAGTACACTGTATGGATGTAGCTAGTACTGTATGTGCATATGTCACAGGGGAGACTGGAATCCAGAACAATGGACCTATACCATTATTACGTCACATTTTGTTTACCTGTTCTAAAGAACATTCTAGAACGGTCAGTTAAAGAATGAAGATCATTTCAAAGTAAGGTATGTCTGATTCTTGCTGCGTCTAGTTGTGTTGACACAGCATTACATGCCGCATGGGTGATTTAGTTGTGACATTAGACGAAAGTAGTACTGTATCTAAAGCCTTATATTACGGCTAACGCCACACAAACACACACCGTGCTACGCACCCCTGTACAATATAGACGTCGATTGACCGGCATTCATTGCGGTAAAGAAACTGTGACGTAATAATGGTATAGGTCCATTCCACTAGTAATCGCATGGGATCATACAGACCTGGAATATATGGGTCTAGCAGGACGAGGGCTAGTATATAGCTCCATCATCTCTTTGTAAGTTATGCCACTTTCGAGCTCTCCTTTATGTCTACCTTGCTGTGGTGGTGCCTGTCTGGTCTACGGTCGACGACTGCCCAGAAATACCCAGACATCGTGCATATACAGGGCGCTATATGGCTAGTACTGTATGTGCAACCCGAATGTATACCCGTCCAGTAAGACAGGGGCTAGGAATATGTCGTACGTCCTGTATGTTGTTATGATTTGTATTATGTATCAGTGGTTACCGCTACCGGCCTTGTTGGCTGCCTGGCTACCACTTGTCATGCACTGTTGCATCCCCCAAAAAATAAAATAAGATATAGCTCCATCATCTTTCAGTCAGTTTAGGCCATTTTTTTTACCTCTATGTCAACCTTGCTGTAGTCGTGGTTGCACGGCCGGGGCAGTACTATATGTGCTAGTCAAATAGGGCAGGTCAAGCATGACAATGGCTAGCATATACTAGTAGCTCCATCATCTATCAGTCAGTTTTTGCCATTTTTTTAGCTCTCCTCTATGTCAACTTTACTGTAGTCGTGTCTGTCCAGGGCTACAGTTGAGGACTGCCCAGTTGAGTGAACACTGTTTGGTCCTGTTCTTCAACTCAAGGCCATTAACTCATCGGTATTTTCGATGGATTCGCTCAGTCTTCATCAGATTTCTGACCCGAGTGCTGTAAACACGTGATTTGTACCCACGTATGACGTCGGCACTGGGCCAAAGTTTATCGGAAGTCGATACCGCCCCCCGTCTCGGTTGAGAGAAGGTTGAGAGAAGGTTCAGAAATTTTCGGTGAGTTAATTACCTTGAGTTGGAGAACAGTTTAATTCTCATCTATATTTCAGTTTAGGCCATTTTGGAGCTCTCCTCTCCTATGTCCACCTTGCTGTAGTCGTGTCTGTCCGGGGCAACGGTTGAGGACTGCCCAGTGTGAGTGATCACTGTTTAGGCCTGTTCTCAAACTCAAGGCCATTAATTCATCGGAATTTTCGATGGATTCGCTCGGTGTTCATCAGCTTTCTGACCCGAGTGCTGTAAACACGTGATTTGTACCCACGTGTGACGTCAGCACTGGGCCAAAGTTCGTCGGAAGTCGATACCGCCCCCCGTCTCGGTTGAGGGAAGGTTGGGAAGGTTCAGAGAAGGTTCAGAAATTTTCGGTGAGTTAGTTACCTTGAGTTGGAGAACAGTTTAATTCTCATCTATCTTTTAGTTTAGGCCATTTTGGAGCTCTCCTCCCCTATGTCGACCTTGCTGTAGTCATGCCTGTCCAGGGCTACTGTGTGAGTAATCATGTACAATGCACAATTGTCGTGCAAAAAGTCATCTCTGTATTTACGGGTCCAGCAGGACAAGGGCTAGCTCCATCCTCTCTTTTTCAGTTTATGCCGTCTTGGCGTTCTCTTCTATGTCGACCTTGCTGTAGTCATGCCTGTCCGGGGCGACAGTTGAGGACTGCCCGGTGTGTGTGATAACCGTCAGGGCAAGGTTCTTGGAGTTCGACCGCGGACCGCCGAACTGGTGACTGTCCTGCCATTTCTCGAACTGTCGCTTGATGGCGTTTTGAACCTACAGTTGGTGAAGATATTGGTTGCAGATGTGTTTTTTTTTAAACGTTTGGTCCAACACAAAGAAATCTCTCACCTAGTGGCTTCTTTGAAGTGTGACGTCAACACTGGTTCAAAGGTATCTGCGAGACGATGTCGCCCCCCGTTGTGGTAGTGAAGGGTGATGGGCCGTGCCGACATCGTCTACCAGATACATTTGAGTCTACTGAGGAAGACCAGAGTGACTGGTCGAAAGCTCTAGGTGAGATATTTCTTTGCGTTGGACCAAAAGTTTTAACTTTAAACATGTAACTACCAACACAGATGAACTTTCATGACAGTTGCAGATGTGTTGGTACTAGATAATAACGTGTGAGGTTATACCAATTCATTCTCTCTCATATAGTTCTCCACTGTAAATACCGTTACACTTACAAACTGTTAAAACGTACTATATTTATGTTTACCGAAGGAAAACATATTGTTTTTACTCTGTTTCTTCCTCCTCTTCTGTTCCAAACACTAACCTCTGACCTGACCAATGACATGATTGGTTGACGTCTGCCACCATGGTGACTGGTGTTGGGTTACATTATGTTGCAATTTCATGGTCTGCTCTGCTCCTGTCACCATATACTAGTAGTACATGTATGTGAATGTGTTTGAGTAATAATTAACAGGGCAGATCGACCATGTCTGAAGGTAAACATTATGCATTCGCTTTGCAAATGTTACTTCTCTATTCAACTTTATAACCCCTACTAGTAGTACGATAAGTCCTACCTCAGAGTTGGTGAAGCAGTAGATCACCGACACAAAGAAGCCCTGCAAGTAAAAAAAAATACATGTCACAATATAATATCATTATTGAAATGGAATGCATGCACAGGAATCCAAAAGGTCCATATTTTTACCTTCTGCTATAGTTGAACGGTTCCAAACATACGCTAGCTCAGGAAAAATTGAAATCAATGTGGACACCACATGAAATGATTTGTTCGTGCATGAGACATTGATATAGTGATAGTATTGTGATATGATTCAATTGTAATTTCACTGCGTTTTACAAGGAAAATTTAATTGAAAATCCACTATATACTGGTGCAGGTGTATTAGCGTTTTAGATTTATCTGCAATTTGCAGATTAGTTTTGTTATCATAACTCAAACCTTTCACATGGAAAAATTGCAACATTCATCCAAGCTGCTACAAACTCAGCTGTTCTCATGTTTCACTACAAAGCCTTTGCTATTGTATCAAAATAAAGGGGGCCCAGCTAATAGTTTTTTGGGCATTTTCTCAATGAGCATGTTTACTCCATTCAGAATTTTACTACTGGGGCTAAATTTTCACGTTTGTCGTAAAATTTTGTAATTTTTATGAGAGTAACATAGTTTGTAATGCTAGAATGCATTGTTATGTGGTCTTGTTTTCTTGTGCAGATTTAATTATTAGCGTTCCAGATTTATCTACAATTTGCAGATTAGTTGTTGTAAATCTGGACTCAATTCTAGACTCCAAGCGAGCCATCAGTCATCATCATATCCTCCGGCTTTATCTGATGATGAAGCAAACGGCGGGTCAATAAATATCTGTGCATGAAATCAACTCGACAAACAAGGTCACCTTGTGGAAAAACGATCTAGGGAACGATTGTTTGAACACATGGGACATATAAATAAGTTTATTTCAAATTTCTAATTCTACTAGAAGGCTAATTACAAATGACAAGGATAAAAGGATAGTGAAACAGAGTACAATATAACTTCAACATAGTAAAAGGTAATTGTCTTAAACTAAACTATGTTTGAAGGGTTTGACTTCTCTTTTGCAAACCATAAATACGCAATCATTTGATTAAAGTAATTTTGATAACCAGGAAATGGCTGTACATGTATACTTAAGTATTCGAGTTCCCTTTTTTCTCAATCTACCTAAGCTAGGTCCCAGCTGGAAACCAATGCATACAAATGTATTGGCTGCAAACTTTAGTACTTTTATTCAGTTGTTTTGACCTGTAGTAGATGAAGATTCCTTTTTTATTGTTTATTCGTTTGGCTGTAAAAAGACAAATTGTACAGCCAGGGCAGCCCAAGATTCCTTCCTTCCTTCCTTCCTTCCTTCCTTCCTTCCTTCCTTCATCCATTCATTTATTTATTCATTCACTTATTCATTCATTCCTAGTGGTGCCTAACCTGGAAGGACTGTAGGAATGTGTTGAACTAGATGAAGACGTGCCGTTGGAGCTGGTTGGGTGGATGAAGAACATAATGTAGATGATTCATTCATTCACTCACTCACTCACTCATTCATTCATTCATTCATTCAGTCATTCATTCCTATTGCCTTACCTGGAAGGACTGTAGGAAGGTGTTGAAGTATATGAAGACGAGGTAAGACGTGCCGTTGGAGCTGGTTGGGTGGATGAAGAACAGGATGTTGATGATCACATTCACTCATTCATCCATTTGTTCATTTATTCATTCATTCATTCCTAGTGCCTTACCTGGATGGACTGCAGGAAGGTGTTGAAGTAGATGAAGACAAGGTAAGAGGTGCCGTTGGAGCTGGTCGGGTGGATGAAGAACAGAATGTAGATGATTCATTCATTCACCCATTCATTCATTCACTCATTCATTCCTAGTGGTGCCTTACCTGGAAGGACTGTAGGAAGGTGTTGAAGTATAGATGAAGACGAGGTAAGAAGTGCCGTGGGAACTTGTCAGGTGGATGAAGAACAGAATGTAGATGATTCATTCATTCACCCACTCCCCCACCCATTCACTCATTCATTCATTCATTCATTTATTCGTTCATTCCTAGTGGTGTCTTACCTGGAAGGACTGTAGGAAGGTGTTGAAGTAGATGAAGACTAGGTAAGAGGTGCCGTTGGAGCTGGTCGGGTGGATGAAGAACAAGATGTAGATGGTTCATTCATTCATTCACTCACTCATTCACTCATTCATTCCTAGTGCCTTACCTGGAAGGACTGCAGGAAGGTGTTGAAGTAGATGAAGACGAGGTAAGAGGTGCCGTTGGAGCTGGTCGGGTGGATGAAGAACAGGATGTAAATGATGCCCAGCAGCGGCAGCAGAACCACCGCAGCTTTGAACGCCTTCAGGCTGGAAACAGTACAACGTAGGGCACATTATCATCAGTAGTAATAGTAGTAGTAGTAGTAAAGACTGAACGTGGTTCACCTGGCGTTTTTCTGTGGTACTGCAGTGGGTTTTGTATGTTTGTGTGTGTGTATGTGTGCAGCATAACTGTCGAAGCTGTGGATGGATCTGAATGATATTTGGTAGGTGAATAACGGTTGTGAAAACGAAGGCCAAATGAGGAAAGAAAAAACAATTCCCGCCAATAATATACTTACTTCTTCTTTCTGGAATAATTTGCGAACAGTAGAAAAATACTACTGAATCTGAATTAGTGTTAGTGTTATTATTGTTCTTTACTTATTTAACCAGGATATACATATCGTGTACTGGCGTTGCTCAAAGTTTCCTAGGCAAATAACCCTGACATTTTGAAATAATGACATAACTTCATAACAAATGATAGAAGGCAGAAAACAGCTTTGAACGCCTACAGGCTAGCAACACTACAACCTAGGTCCATATGTCATTGTCATAATTAGTAGGAGTAGTAGTAGTAACATAGTAGTAGTAGCTTATTGATTTATTTTATCATAAAACAGCTGGATAATCCATTCCGCTTGTCAATCGGAGATGATTCCCGATGGAGCCCAGCCATACATGTGTTAACTGTTACAAACAATAGGTGGATTGGAAAATAAGATAGCCGTATCCATCTAAAACAGTATCAAGGACACGAAGCAATTACAAAACACAACTCCTACAGTTTACAATGGTTAGAGTTCATATACAGATACATTGTAAATACATTAAAAGATCTAATGTCCCTTATTTTGAGTTCAAACACATAACGCACACGCCTCACGGCACAAAACATCGCAGTGACGTCAAACACACAGAACTGGTACGTCACCAAATGCGCGCTAGAAGCACAATAAGTCGTGGCGTCACGGTAAAAATGTATGTGGTGCACTATGCAAGACGAAAGTCATTCATCGACACAGGTTAGGACCATAAGGTGCGTCGAAGTCAAAAGGGCTGAAATGAGACTTGGTAGTTTCGATGTAAAAAGGGCGTGTCAAAAATACAGGATAAAAATGTCGTAACAAAAATTGGAATGAACGAGGAAAAATCTATTGCTGGGTGTTAGCGATGGCATGGCTTCGAAAGGCTCATAGATGCACTGAATTACGTACCCAAAAACTTCACTACTATCCAAAAATTTAATACCAGTGAAAGGAATTTGTATGGAACTTAATATATCCTTTTTTGTTTCTTTGCTTTACATTTAAGTCTTGTTGAGCTGGCTCAACGATGAATGAAACATATAGCACTCAACGAAGCTGTCGAATTCTGAAAATTACAGTAGGTTTTATGACTTCTTTATGTTGTACATTGTGGTGATGAACATAGAATTCTCTTGTATCGTTCAAGGACAGCTAGGTGACATTGTAATTTAATTACCATTGCTAATGAACGAGCCAATGGGCGTGCATGTATCAGCCTTTTAAAGCCATATGACAGACCGTTGTCCACAAATGTTCACTTCTTTGTTTTCGGTATAAGGAAGGACCACAAACCTTACGAGGTCCCTATCTGGAAGTGAATTACGTCGAAACATATCTACTGTGCCAAAGAACACCGAAAGTCGGGGACTCTCTGGATCGTTATCACGTCTGTGAAGCAAAAAATGTTTTCAACAAAAATATTGCATATTTTTTATAAAAATAGAGTGCGGAAAATCTCACCATGCGATACTGCAATACTCATTGCCAGTAGGTCCATTGTCTTAAGCTTAAGCTCTGAACACTTTTGTTTCAGTTGTAGAATAAGCAATATATCACACGACACATATATACTAGCCATATACAAGCTGAAACTGTTGTTTTGCATAATAGATATATCACAATAAAATAGACGTTGCATTTGCTACCAAGGACGTTGAAGCTCCTTGATACTACCTATTTATCTTTTACTTCCTACCAAGGAGGTTGTATCAAAGCTCCTACTGTATAAAGAAATCATTCAGTAGTATGTAATAAGAGCTAAACAAAAGTTCCAAACGAGGACTATGCGGCTCCTGATGTCTACTGGGGGACGACTGTGGTGTGATAGATGTAAGTTAGCTTGAGGAATGAATCTACTCTACTTATAACGATACTTTTACATTAAGTTCACCCTTTTTTTCTCATTTCTGGCAGGAAGACAAGAGAAACAGCTGGGGACAAGACTTAAGGCATTAGAAAAAAGCTTCCAACGCCAGATGGTCCTCCCTCAATTGCAGAAAGGCCGCAGGTACTATTTTACTTGTTTTTGTTAGTGCCTTCGGGAACAATGCCTAATTGCAAATTACTGTGTGGTCCCAATAGATCTGAAAACAGATGTACTGCGTAAATCATCAACAGCACAAGAAAAGTCTGAAGTCCCTACAGGCCTACCAGAAGCTCTATCTATAATTTACGAACGCAGCTGTCAGCACTGAAAAGGGAACAACACAGCCGCTCACCTGTAGTGCCCGGTCTCACCGGCAGGGTGCGCTTTTAGTTTTTGTACCAGGATGACCACGATCTTTCCGAGGATGAAGCAATTCGCCTGGAAAAGAAGTAATGTTAATTTCCACATGTGCGACATAAGACTTACCTTTTCTTCTCCTTTAGATATGGTATATAGTGTTCTTCATCGTTAAGTAACTCGTTAGACAATAAAATGTTAATACCTAAGCGTAGTATATGATGCAACTCATTCAAACTTACATTAAAGGCGCCTTCTTCAATGTAAGTGGCTTCGAAATTCAAAGTGGCTTCTAGCTCTGCTTGACTGTTCTTTAACAGTCAAGTAGCGATAGAAGTGCCCAACACTCCATGTCTTAAAAGGCCTCACTTCCAGTTCTTCCAGCTCTGTTTGGCGGTTATACTTTCGCCAATCAGATATAAATGGTTGATATATAACCCTTGTGTTTCTAGATCAGATTGACGAAGACATTTCTGTAGTCAATCAGCCACAGAAGTCATCCTTGTTCTATCAACTTTATTTGCAACCTTGTTAGCATTAGTATTATTTATTTATTTAGGGTACTGGGACTTCTGCCCACTGCTATGTCAACTCACTAAAATATTTATGTATTTTGTTTTGTTTTGTGGCGCAGATAAAACAAGTTTTAAAACTTGAGTGCAGCGTCACACGGTCCTTGTTATTGTATTATTGTATGTGTTGACGAATAATTAAATACATCAATAGATCATATATATAAGAGAGAGACAGAGAGACAGAGAGAGATATATGATGATATAGATGTATGATAAATAATAGAAATAAAAGCATCTGCGCTACCCCAAGTCACAATCTTCAGCCGGCATCAATCGAATCGTCAGCCAGGCGCATAGCGAGCTAAATATAGACCAGCACCTACCGGAACTTGGAGGGCATCAGTGTAATTACCGTAATTTAAGCATGTTCTAATTAGCAACAAGCTATTACACGTAAGGCTTTGGAGTGTGGTAATTATACCTCGGGGTGTGTATGCACGTGTTCCCTATTAAAACAGCGAGAAACTATGATGTGTATATTATATTGTGTGTTTATAGATTTCGTTCATTTTACACTAGGACACTGATTTTTCGCGGTTTTCTTTGAGTTTTTGGTCAACGTTGCATCATAATTTTGCCTGCTGCAGACGATATATTATCCGACATAACATTTTGAAACTACAGAAGGAGTGTTAACCTTATATACGCAACTACGACCTTATATGAGACGTTCTGCCGAAGTGCTACATAGCTATGTACAATACATAACGGTTTTCGTACCAGAAGTATGAAGAACGTAGGGCCGTGGAAGATGAAGTCATAGTAGTTGTTATTGACGTCAGCGATCCAGCATCTAGAAGAAAACATGAACACAGGTCAGACATTAGTAAGACATCAATTCGTTCATTGTTCTTATTGTTGTCACTATAGCCACATAACACTGATCGTGTCCCCACGCCATGAACGCAATGTTAATGGGTATAGATTGTCACAAAGAAATCAAAATACAGGCCTGCCTCAGTTTTTGGCTTGTCATTTAGTCTTTTAGAATATTAAGTTTATTGCACATGTATGCCTGAAGGTTGATTGCAAGTACATGTAAAAGATTTATAATTGTGATACATATAACGATATTAAGAACTAGTCCCTACATTATATATATATACGATGTTTTTAGTAAAGTGTTCATTGAACACGTTTTTCTTTTAGGTTTTCTTTGAAGGCAACTAAAGATTTACCAACTATTTTTATAATCTGTGGAAAACTTAATTTTGGTAGTAGAATTGTCTATAAGATTATTGCTGCGGTGTACGCATCATGTGTTTATAAGGAATCTATTACTGCAGCCGCCATTTACCCGAGAGTAGAACTGAGATATACAACAAGCTACTTGTCATAGTGCATTGCATTCAGGCGTGCGAAGTTAATGGTCCTTTCTCCCCTGCGGCTCTATTTTATTGATAGGAGAAGATTGTAGACGATAAAACCGAAGTAGCTGTTCAACTGTCTACTCCAATGAACCTCAATTGAACCGCACATACTTTGGTATTAAACCCTCTTAAGCAACTTTACTGCAAGTAAATATGCCATAGAAAGTAGCCAAAATCGCATTGTCTGGTGACATTGTAGCGAATTGTAGACGCTGTTTCGTTCGAATCACTGTCTGATTCCTCTGATACTATCTAATATACATCAGACGTCGTTTCGTTATGATATATGTCTTATGAACGAAAGCAACTGTAACATTGAATTACATTGAATGTTAGACGCCGTTGATTTTAGACCAATGTCTGATTCAAGTGATACCAACTAAAGAAAATCATACTTTGTTTCTTTATATATCTTATGAACGAAAGCAACTGTTATATTAAATTACGTTGAATGTTGTAGACGCCGTTGGTTTTAGACCAATGTCTGATTCAATTCCAACTAAAACCAATCAGCCTGCAATACGTTAATTCGATTTGAAGGCCGCCTTTATGGCTGGGCTGTTTCAATCACCATTTCAGGTCTGTGTTACACACCGAACGCCCTTGGCAAGGCTGTAAAACATATTAAATACCACCTATCTGTAACGATTGGTAAACGTAAACATTTAATCAGGACAATATATATAGTGTGGCGCACCCAAGCTATATACCGTATACAACTTGATGATAATTACAACATGAGACAAAATATGGACAGAGTGTTAAGATGATGTTAACGTTATCTTTATACAATTGGAATCTGTCGTGGAATCGTTTAGTTTCAGATAACTATAACTGTGTGATAGCGAGTGTCGCGATTTTAGATGACAGTAGAAGTTATATTTTGAGTAACAGATGTACATTAGCACTATCAGATAAATTGTTGATATTTAAAATTGAACGTTCGTGCCTAGAAAGCTGAATCCTAGAGATTGCAACAAGAGACAAAGTACTGATGATATCTCACGGAGACATCAAGTTGTCGATGTCAGATTAAATCATACATATACTAAACGTTCATGTGACTTTTTTCTGGTAACAACAAATCGGACATTAAAGACCTCTGGGAATTATTTTGAGGTTTTTGTGAAATTGAGGTTCACAGACCTCATGAAAGTAGCGTCGGTTTTCGTGAATGTATTGGGACCAATGGGGGATTGTTAGGAACTTTCAAGCTACATTGTTTACTACAGTGTGGCATCCGTTCTCCCCATAGATACTGCAGGTACAGGAATAAGTTAGTTAGGGTCATTGTGCAAATAACTGGGGATTAGAGAAAAGTGGCAATGGCTGCAACTGGTACAGAGGTCAGTGCATTAAGAGAATTTTGAGATAATGGACAATGTTCGTGTCATGTATCAGTCCTAATGCTGTCCCAAAGGTAAGCACGTCTTATTTTGTGCTGGATACGCAGTCAACTAGCATTACGTATTAGTCAAACGTCCTTGCGAATTGGTATAACAAAGATATGGTATGCATACCGCCTTTAGCTTTGCCTTGTATCCCACAATTAGATTACAGCCATAGGACCGCCTAATACTAAGTACTGGTAGTAGACGAAATGAGTGAAAGGCATCGCGAATACAGTCATGCGTGTAACATTTGAAAGCATAAAATCCATTCATTTTAGTTTAATGTCAACTTTGTGTTCACCAATAAAACACCCGATGTATGTGTATGGGTTGCAGTAGTAAAATAATGCGATAAGAGAGACTTTCTTACTGGTCGTTTTGCAGGAACAACTTGACAACAGCCCAAATCAGAACGATGACAATCGGGATGCCTGCAATGAAAGCAAGAAAATGATGCGATTAATTGGACGAAAAACATCAGATATTTTACTGTATCCGCTAGTCCCATAATTATAAGCCTTAGGGACAGTTTGTCTGTCCATAGTTAATTAGTCTTTAATTGGACCTTAATTAAACTGTAATATTCTGCTAGCGAATGCTATCATATAACAGTACTAAACGAAATAATACGAAATAACCAAACATTTTGAACTAGCCTTATTTCTAGATTTGCGTCCAATTGCAAACCTGTAAGCTGTGTATGCGGAATATGAAAACCCCATGGAAGATCATTTGGATTATTGAAATATACAGTAGTAAGCGTAGATTGGATTGCTCGAAGACGACCTAGCCTTAGAATTTACCCTTTAAGTAAACCAATTCACATATAGTCGTGACCTATATACCCTCCTGTACACTGTGAGCGTCTACCAGGCTTCGGGAGGCGACTCGAAATAGTAGAAATTGGCCGAATAGGGAGGTAACATGCCAGAAGAGTTGGTCCGCTAGAGAGTACAGTTCGGGTGCGGCAAAGTAAACTCTTACGGACAAACTCCCCTGGCATGTTATCTCTCTATTTGTCCAATTCCTAATCTTTACAGCCGCCTCCCGAAGCCTGATAGAGGCTACACCGTGAGCCTCTGACGTAGTTTGTTATTGTAATTTACAAACCAAGAACACCCTGATTGCAATTAGCTAGAACCTGTGGCTCCTACCAGCATGATATCTACTCAACCTAGCCGTGATGTGATCCTGTCAATTTCTGCAGATTGATTTCAGCCTTACGGTGGTGATGTATAGACAACCAATACCTCTCTAACAAAGCGTCCGGTAGGAGGAAAGGGAGATGGTCCTTGGGACAGGCACGTCATTTATTCAGTTATGCCGGAGTTTCGCGATTCCAAGCCAGGGCCGTACCAGGCTGTTTGAATGAACAAAAATCTAAAGAAAGATGTAATCTACAAGCAGATTCCATCGTGGCAAAAGACAGTATCAAATTGGCAAAGCAGTATCCATTGGCCAGAGAGGATCCAATACACCACCCAATCGGACCCTGTTTGACCCTGGCCAATTTGGTCTTTTGCCACCCCGGGATCTGCTTGGAGATTTAAAAAAATGCATATCAGGAATATCTACAAGTAATGCGTATTTAAATGGTTTGTGTGTTTCCCTCTTGTTTACATCATACTTTTCGTTCAGGCAAACTGTCCGGTTTGAAAATGTGACCCTTGCAATATAGAGGTTACCTGTCAGTGAATATTTCCATTAGGTTGGTACACCACTGTGTATTGCTGATAGTTTACAGAACTAAATTTCCCCCCAATAGAAGTAGAGCCATTCAGTATTGCTTCGAGGAATGTTGAAAAATGACTGTGTAAACGTGGGTAGGTAATTGCTGTACAAAGGACTCCAGTAGCTTGTAATATCTACCTTTATTAAAGATAGATTGCCCGAAACCTAAAGCTCGGATATTGCATTTTGCCCAGTATTTCATTTTTCAATTACTTTCCAACTATAGACAGCGAACGGCGCACAGTGGAAGATGTATTAGATTGAAAGAGCCCAGGGGTGCATGGGATTGTCTCTTTTTAACTGTCGTCTTTGCTATTATTGGGTTATATTATAGACTTACGAATAACTTGAAGGAGTAAGGCAATATTGAAATTTGTCTTGTAAAGTTTACTTTTTTCTTCAATTTGCTTTCCATGTGCAGACAGCGTTCTACATGCGTAACACACAGAAGAAGATTGATATGATTACGCCAAGACAAATTTTGATTACAACTATGGATACTGTCATATTGAGTTATATTGCAGACTTACTGAGTTGAGCGAGTAATGCACAGCAGCGTGATATTACTACAGCGTCTGACGTGTAGGGCTTTCAATAGAAGGTTGATTTGATTAACGTAGAGTACACTAAGGATTTTCTCTCGACTGTTGACATTATCAAGATTGAGTTTTATTGCAGACTGACGTCGAACTTGACCGAGTAACATATTACTGCGTCCCATGCGTTCAAATCTGATCCGCCGTCTGGGCAAATGTCTACAAAAAGCATCAAGCATATATATATATATACATGTATATACATATTGACTTGTGACAATCCTTACATGCTATACATAGGGATATATATTAAAGACTGTATGGATATTAGAAACTCCTTCAACGATTGTTTAAGTTAATACCTATCTCATATTAGCCACCCACTTTTGTATTAGGTTAGCCTTATGAAAATGTAGTTGACATGTACTTACTTAAGTTAGTAGATGCCATACTTTGTACACTGTACAATTGTTGCGCAATAAAGCTATCTTTATATAAGTCTAAACTTTATCGACAAACGGCATTAAAAGTACGTTAGCTGTGTTACTTACACCAGCCAATCAGAATGTAGATCCAGAACTTGACTTTTTCCGTGCCGTACGCATGCGCGATCATGATGTACAAGTACAGACCCTCCACGAACATCCAGAAGAAGTTGGTGACCTTGAAGTAGTTGAACAAGGTCACCACAGTCCGGCAAACCCACTGAGGAGAGGGAGGGAAGCCGAAAACATCCGGAGGTTAAATATATCAAGACGGTGACCCAGTGTTGATATCACACATCAAAGAAGCCGAGTGACTAGTCTCACTGTGTCAGTCTACTGAGGAAGACCAGAGTGACTGGTCGAAAGCTCTAGGTGAGAACATTTACCTTTGTATTGAAACAAGTTTGAACTTTAAACATATATCAAGACGGGACACGCCACAAACTATCTTCTACATTTGGGCCTCTGCTCACTGAATGATTTGTGTACAATCTACATTATTTAAGTATTTTTGATATGCACGTGTTGTACAGTCAACAGTCTGTTAAAGTAGAAGATAACAAAGGGGCTTCTTCATACTATTGAAACTTACGTCGTTTGAGGTGTGTCTTTTGGTCACCACACTCTTCATGATGAACCAGGTTGTGTTCTTCAGTATGAAGGTCAGAATCAGGTTGGTGTGGATGTTGTTCCGAGTACATCGAATGCTTCTGCAAGTTACCAAATGATACTTTGTTAAATTGTACGTTACTAAACGGTAATATAGATATTATGATAGATTGATAGATAGATTCTTTATTGACACAACAAAAAAGTACAGAGACTTTTGTATGGTCTTAACTAAAGATATAACAAAGCTAACTAAAGATCTAACAAAGCTAAATACATGTGTGGATAACGTCATCTTACATACAGAGTATATGTATGATGTAACAATAAAGGTTAACTATTCTCTAACATGTGTTCTCTAAGATCGAAACATTCTTTAATGTATTTTCCTATTTGAACACTGTATTGGTTATCTCCCCTGAGAATGTAGTTGTTTCTATCTATAGGATCTAACGTATTGAAATCAATTGAATATTATGAAACATGCAATATAGATATTGATTCGGCAGGTACTGTTGTGTAATGGATGTCTAAGCTCAACATAAGTATGTGCTCAGACATCCACTACTGTTGTACACGTACGGGACTTAAGTAGCTATGGTGTAATACTGCCTCTTAATGACATCAGAGCCTGCGATGAACCACGAGTCATTAAGAGTCAGTTTTGGCAAATGCACGAAACACTGAAGAATTTTCAATAAGCTATGGCACCTTCTAAAACCGCTTTTTAATGACACCCAAGGCTATGGAATATCACAGCGGGTGCAATGCTTAAGTGTTTTCGTTTGAACTTCTTTTCAGTGGCCTCAAGGCTTGGGAGCACTAAACGTTTCCTTGGCAAATACGCACAAACAGAAGTGTTTTGAATTAGTTATGGCACCTTTCTTAACCAATTCTTAATGACACCCGAGGCACCAAGCATTTCCTTTCGCAGAACACAGCGGGTATGTACCGTGCAATGCTTAAAGTGTTTTCTTCCAGACTTTCTCAGAGCCCCCCAGACTGAGCGGTACTAATGGTTTCCGTGGCAAATACGCAAAAACATAAATGTCTAAAATTAGCTATGATACATTTCAAAGCCAATTCTTAACGACACCCAAGGCAACACGCATTTCGCGGATCACAGAGGGTGTGCACCGTACACTGCTTAAGTGTTTTCGTTGAAACGTTGTCTCAGTGGCCCCAAGGCGTGGGAGTACTAAACGTTTCCTTGGCAAATACGGACAAACAGAAGGGTTTTAAATCAGCCATGGCACGTTTTAAAACCAGTTCTTAATGACACCCAAGGCTATGGTTACCCAGCATTTCCTTTCGCAGAACACAGCGGGTATGTACCGTACAAAGCTTAAAGTGTTTTCTTCCAGACTTTCTCAGAGCCCTCAGACTGAGCGGTACTAATCGTTTCCGTGGCAAATACGCACAAACATAAATGTCTTAACTTAGCTATGACACCTTTCAATACTAATTCTTAATGACACCCAAGGCACCAAGCATTTCCTCTCGCAGGACACAGTCGGTGTGTACCGTACAATACTTAAAGTGTTTTCTTCCAGACTTTCTCAGAGCCCTCCAGACTGAGCGGTACTAATCGTTTCCGTGGCAAATACGCAAAAACATAAAGTCTAAAATTAGCTATGATACCTTTCAAAGCCAATTCTTAATGACACCCAAGGCACCAAGCATTTCCTTTCGCAGAACACAGAGGGTGTGTACCGTACACTGCTTAAGCGTTTTCGTTGAAACTGTCTCAGTGGCCTCCAGGGCGTGGGAGTACTAAACGTTTCCTTGGCAAATACGGACAAACAGAAGGGTTTTAAATCAGCTATGGCACCTTTTAAAACCAGTTCTTAATGACATCCAAGGCTAGCCTAAAAGTGGCAATACTTCAATGTTTTCTTCCAAAACGTCTCAGTAGCACTTAAAGCTGAGCCGTACTAAACGTTTCCTTGGCTAAAAACACAGGAACATAAATGTACGGCCATCTCAGGAGTGGTCAGAATTAGCCATCTGTCATCCAAAACCGCTTTTAATGGCACCCGGTGATGTGTTGCAGTGGGAAGTACACATGCACACGAGTTTCCAATTTACGTTTTTGATTGCACCGAAGGCTATGCGGTTGTATCAAACGTTGCCATGGCAAATACACACGAAAACAGAAATGTTTTAATTAGCTATAGCACACGCTTGTTGATGACACCCCAGGCAGAAAATTAGACTTATTCTGAAGATGAAAGTTGCTATTTTTTCCATGACGGTGTACCAAACTCCCTGAGGGAACTGAGGAGAGCGTGTTTCAAGCATGATTAGATTGCACGCGTTTGATGTTCCATAACGCTGCATCCGCTTTCGTAACCTGCAGACAACATTTGATAGTCTTATGGGCGATAGTTTGTCAGGCAACACTGAGCTGAGCCTTGGAGGATTGGAGAAGTACTTAAAAACTTTGTAGTTACTCAATGCACTATTTAAGTATCATATGGATGAATTTACAGGGATTTTTCTAGAAAAATTTAGCATGAGGGAGCAGATCGCAAGCATGTGGCAAGGAACGAAGCGACCGAGGGGGGATTTTTTAATAAGAGTAGCCACTTAGGGTTCCATCTGAAAATTGGTATGAGGGAGCTGGCTGGTTACATGAGGGAGCAGCTCCCTTATTCCCCTGTTTAGAAAAAAACCCTGGTACTTAGTCAATGCACTATTTAAGTATCATGTGGATGAAGCATCAAAAATATGAGGGGAAATCCCCTTGTACAATGCATGAGAAATGGTGTTTTGTAGACAGCATTTTGTAGTCTTATGGGCGATAGTTTGTTAGGCAACACTGAGCTATGCCCTAGTAAGTGGAGAAGCACTTAAAGAGTTTGTAGTTAGTTGATGCACTATTTAAGTATCATATGGATGAAACATTAAAAATATGAGGGGACATCCCCTTGCACAGTGCATGGTGTCAGTTAATGCCAATGAATACAAAATGTAAATCTGGTAATGGATGATTCTGACACCTGATGCCACATTATAAGACTTATCTTCCCTGTAGTTTGCTGTTGTTCGCTAACCCATCCTCAGATTTATTCGTCTGGCTTACCTGTAACATTATCACTAGATAGCGAAAATATCACCAAGGATTAGATATGGAGACTTCAGTTGATTCGCCACTAGCTTTTAATATACTCAGGAAATCTATATACCGCCCTATAGCCTATCGCAACCATTACCAGATTTACCTGACATTCAGCCGTGTGAATTACACTTGCATTATGTACCTAGTGGCATCTATATATTCTCTCACTCGACTGGTCTGTGGTTTGCATCATATTGCGATGGTGAGATATCCTCAATATGTTCCCTGGATTTAGGGTCTTTTTCTTTATTTAGATAACCTTTAGCCAAATGACTAGTATTACACTCGACTCTAACATATGATATATGACATAACGTATGTAACATATGATAACATGTATTTCCTGTATAATGCTCCTAAAATAGATTACCGTGTAACTATATATTATTATATATGTTAAAACAAACTTACTTGAGATAGAGAAACAATACCAGCGCAATGGAGAGGCAGACCAAAGAGATGCTGTGTCCGATGTCGTTCAGCAACAGGGCTGCCTTAACGTGCCACCTTATCGGATTCTGTGAAGAATGAGAAATAAATTTCCAGTTTAGCTTTACTTTTAGCCTTCTAAATAACCGGTGCAGTGGCCAAGAGGGTAGAGTGCTCGCCTTGTATTCGGTAGGTTGTGAGTTCTATCCTCGAGTCATTCCAATGGTACATACTACTTTCTCTGCTCAGCATTCAGCATTAGTATGGTAGTTAAACACATATCGCTATCAGTGGACTAGCCACCTGCTTAAGTGATTGCAATACTGTGTGGCCCAAGGGCTATTGAACCAGCGATGGGCACCGCCTTATACACCACCTGGTGCAGGAAGGACTGTAACTTAGGTTTTCATGTTCAGATAGAATGGAAGGGTAATATAGACTTGCCATTTATAGTTGAACTGAACAGTACATGAACGATGCTGTACCCTACATGACCCATTTGATTAATCTCCAATAGTGCTATCTTTATCTCCTTACGACATTGACAATGCTGAATTGTCAGATCTTAAATTTCCTTTGTATTATGCAGCCTCCTAATCAGTACGTGAAATTCTGATGTTTGTTTTAGATGTAAATGTCCTCATCTTCGGCTATGTTATCTTAATTGAAACTTAATTAAGTGATAGTCCAGCCGACAAAATGTGACATTAATGGCACGGTTACATTCATCGTGAGATTTCAGTAGACTTTTCAAACAGGCTGTGACAGAACCAACTACAGACAGCAAAGTTAAACTGCCCTTTCTGTCAGAAGAAAGTTAACGTCTGCAGAAAATATGCATGACTAACCCAAGAGCGCACCCCGTTGGCGATCGTTCACTTACACTTACCTCAGTGTCGTTTTTTCTAACTTCTATTTCATGGCAGTTTCCATAGTCCGCTCGCTTGGCCCAAGTGCCGTTACTTTGGCACAGTTTTGTGACATTATCTGTAATAGAAAAACATCGAATAATGACATCGCCACATAGATGGTCTCTGTCTCCCATTTAAGGGTGTTTACATAGGCATGAGACTGTTAAGTGGTCAGTTAAGCGTTGAAAGTTTTGAAGGGTGGTCTTTAAGTCAGTGTTTAACGGTCTTCAAAGTCTGTAATGGTCCCTTTAAGATCTCTCAAAGAGGTTAACAATGCCCCCTCAATGATCTCACTGACCAATGTTTTAGTCAGTTGCCTACTTCGCCTATATTCAGGTCCTTAAGTGGTATATTATGGACTCTTCCATGTTGTAATGTATGTGTTTAGCTATTTTTTATGACGCCTTTCACAAATTTGTCAATGTCAGTGTCGTATGTAATCATGATGGAAAACACTTTGTCAAGCTGGTGTGTTACGCTGAGAAGTGGTTATACCAGATATACAAATACACATACAGAAGATCGTATAGTGTGCAGCATATATTTATGATGTTCCCCGAAGAAAGGATATACAGTATCACTCATTCACTCAATCTGTCCCATAGCTTATACAGTATACTGTTGCTGAAATTGTACGTATGCTTTTTCATATAATATCATATAAACATGACAAAAAGCTACCTTGATGCGAAACTGTGAACGAGAGCCAAAAAAAAAAACATGAATAGCAAAGTTCTTTTATCACAACCATTTATTTTTCAAGCCAACGTTTCGATGACCTTCTGTCATCTTCATCAGGACAATTCTGACGGGTTTACTGTGGACTGACACTAGATGTTACTTGGTGCATAGTGCACTAAAGGTGTTACATAGTTCACAGTGCACTTAAGGTAGTTTTTTCTGTTTACAATGCGTTCCGGAACGTAGTGTAATTGTGACATACATACTAGGCATTGTTACATCATAGGGAAATGTGCGGTTCCAAATGTAAAGTGTTTCTATCTATAATATAAGATTTGTTAACTGACAATACTGAGCTATCACAGTCCCAAATAGAAATTATTAAAAGTCTTGTTACATATGTATAGTTAGTAATCATAAAAGAACATGTTTGAACTTGTAGTGCAGTCTTTATCCATATGTATTACAGGTATAACGTTAAATGTTGCTGCAACCTACTTGTGGGTTATCGTGCCAAATATCTATAAACGTGTCGACGATACAAATTGTATTGGCACGAAAACTGCAATTTGGCAATACAGAAAAGTCACTGATAAGTGTTTTTTTTTAAACATGTTTGACTTACTCCATTTATTGTTAGGGGGCGATGGCCGTGTAATTAAACTGTGCAGAACCGAAATATTTATCTAGCAGAACGGTGAATTTGTTACGGCATTAATGTAGCTAGCACGTTGAAACTGTTAGAGAATATTCCTACAGTTGAATTTTGTGAACAAAATCCTTCAAAATAAGCACTAATTCATTCTTGTTGTTGAGGCATCAAAAGGCAGTTAGCACACAGATTTTTTGTACTTTAAACCAGAATGTTTGGTCAACGGGACTATTCAGACTTCCAGGAAATATTCAGGGCTCCCGTGACCTTCAAGTTCACCTTCAATGCCTGTGACAGACTTTTTGACCTTTTGTTTGTGCTTGTCCATCCGCCAAGTGCTGTCAACCTACGGAGCCCGGCCAACAGATACATAAACCTATCTTGGGCGTTATCTTCCATAGCCTCCTTCTGTCATTTCTCTGTATCTGTATAGCCGCCTTTCAGCATAACACACCAGCTTCGCAGGCACGCGACGCGGCGGCAGCTGGCTACGTCACACCGATCGACTTGTTACACCTAGCCCTTGGACATCTAACTCTAGACATTGTTTAAATCTCTAATGACAATGCCCCTACTGTACTTGGTGACAGCGAGTTCCACTCTGCATTGGCTCCCACGGTAGCATACAGAGCTTGGGACTAAGGCTAACATAAGCCAACAGTCAAAACCAGAACCAGATATATGGAAATTTCGACCCACCGGTGTTGTCATATCTGTGCCCCCTCAACTCTGATGGACAGGGCATGCGCACTAGAGTCCCCGCTGGACTGGGTGGCCAGCACGTGATGTTGTCAAACGTCGCATTGCACAATTCTGTGAATTCACAAATTTTAGTTCATACATTGTCATTGTAACTACAGCAAAGTGAACTCGACTTCTTCACGCTACGATATGGTTGAAAGATAGGAACAGATATGTTTCATAATCGAAGGTGTTTCTAAGTTCATTAGAAAGTTTGTAGTGCTTATATGTATGAAGTAGGGAAACATGGGTTGTATCAGACTATAAAATTCAGCTCAGTTTTCTTGCATTGAATTTGAAATCAATACATTTCATATTGTATGAAATGCACCTACATCAGGGCAAATGGCGTTATGGACAATCAAGTATACACATAATAATACATTATACAGTAGAATCCTTACAGTCAGAATAATCTCAAATAAACTATTTACACCTTACTTACTTTCAGTATCGCCTGTGGGTTCACGTGATCTAGGTAATTTGTTCTTTCAATTGCCAGGAAGACTGCAGTAGGTGAGTCGAATATCCCATGTACTTTTTGATTTCACATGTACACAGATAGATTCAGCTCTGTAGTGCGTTAACTACCAATGCAGATGGAGCGTTAGCCTGAACTTACTTTTGCTTGGTTCATACGTTCCTGCATGTTCCAATTTACACATCAAAGTTCTCAAGGAGACAAGGTCGTCCCAGGCTCTCTGTTCCTCCTCAGACATCTGAGTTGACGCCTGCTCCGACACCCGGCATAGCAGAAGAACCTAAACGGAAACAAAAAAGAAATGGCAATGATGATGTGAACTATGATGCTTTTCAAGTAGCTAGCTAGTGGTTCGAGTTAAATTGCAATTGTTAGGTGTATATGTGACAGTTTGATAACCATCTGCCTACGCGACTGTGAGCTGATGTGTTGGGTCTAATCGCAGCTATACGGCGCATACAGATACACACAGAAAGTTCAAGCCGTGTGTTCAAAGGAAATCAAACTCTACTACTGGATAAATAAAAGAGATAACTTACGAACGTTTAGAGTGACATCCTCATTTAGTGACGCTGAAGAAGAATGATGGATGTCACTCAAAACGTCCGGAAATTATCTCCGTTATTTATCCAGTAGTAGAGTTTGATTTTCTTTGAGTATTGTTTACCTGGATGTCATCAACGTTAAAAGCCGTGTGATTCCCGTGAGACTTGTGGCCCAATAGGCCGGAACGAACCCTTGCTTCATCGTGTATAAAACTTATCTAGCTGAAACTTACCAAATGAAAATCTATACTAGGTTGTCCTTCACCGACATAGAGTCGGTAGTTGATGTTTTTCCATTAACATCATAAAGCCAACGGCGATACGTACCCAGCCAAAAAGGCCTTGGGACGGTATCCATTTAATACACATTACGTGAAAAGGCGACTGAAAGCCTTTTTTGTCCCACTTAAAATGATGACGCATTCGCTCGCCGTACTCTCTACATGCACACATGACGTGTGGCCAGTAGCAAAAATCAAGGATTGTTTTTTTTCTAAAACTATCGTAGATGGAAACTCTCTGCAACCAAGTACAGAGAGAACAGTAGGGACATCAGTAGAAAGCTTTCAGCATCGCTTACAGTAAGATGTGCAATTGTTAGGTGTAAATGTGACAGTTTGATAACCATCTGCCTACGCGTGTCTGTGAGTTGATGTGTTAGGTCTAATGGCAGCTATACCACCTGGCTATACAATGCAGAGCATACAGATACACACAGAAACGCAGTATGATTCCGGTCAAATCCTCGCCCCAATAGGCCGGAACGAACCCATGCTTTATCGTGTATAAGACTTTTCTAGCGGAAACCTACCAAATGAAAATCTATACTAGGTTGTCCTCCACTGAAATACAGTCGGTCGTTGATGTTTTTCCATTAACATCATAAAAGCAACAGCGATAAGTAGCCAGCCAGAAGGTCAAGGAGCGGCATCCATTTAATACACATTACGTGAAAAGGCGGTTGAGAGCCTTTTTTTGTCCCACTTGAAACGATCTCACATTTTGTCCCACTTGAAACGATCTCACATATTCTACGTATACATACACCTGTTGGACCATTAGTAAAAATGCTGTACCGTATTCCAACCTGAAATTAAAAAAAATCGCCATACTTGCATTCCAATCAAACGCAAATTAAAAGCTTCATGATTACCAGACGAGAATGCGCCGTGATAGATCTGACACAGTGTCATCCGGTACATCAGTGCATCACAAACCGATGCTCTGTAAAGGGCATCTTTTCAGCGGATCGTCAGAAGGTGATGAATGGGTTAATCATGTGAAGCAGGCCGGCCACACCATACTAATGAGAAAGTAATCCGGACAAATCCCGCGGATAACGACATAGCAGCCTCCGGGATCATCTCCTGCCAGTTACGCAAGGCGAGGGAGCGATTGCGTGAGAGATTTATAGGGGAAGGCCAAGGTCAAGTTGAGATGCGCACGGGAAGTGCATACAATTGTCACTTTGGACGGACAGTTGCAAAGTGCGGAGTAATGGTTAGGGTTTTTGCCCTAAAATCAAAGTCAATTCCCGCGGGCTAACTGCAAACTGACAAGAACAATGTGTACAGAATGTATTGAAGAATTCTAGAAAACCATATGCTAAGTTAAACATAAGGCTCTACGTTATACTAAGGTAAAATCTTTACTTAAATTTACTAATAACGTATGTACATGTGACAGAGAGCATAAATAATACATAGACATGTATGGCAAGTAACCATTCTATGTGACTATTCTGTATAGGTAGATAAAGAAATGAGAGTTCTGAATGAATAAAAAATGACTGAAATGGGGCAGACCTATCCCTGAGCTCATTTCCTACAGAACACTCATTAAGCCAAAGCAAAGTACTTTTTTTTCACCTGACTGAACTCCTGGAATTGATGTTAAGTGTCCTTCTCAAGGGCACAATACGTATCGTGGCCTGCCTGATAGGTCAATAACCTCAACCCCAAGGCACAATAATGTGACCTGCTGGGATTCAAACCCCGGACCATTAGAGTCTACCAGCCACAAACTCAAGGCTACTTCGATACGATAGACTGAAGATTGATAAGGGATAATAAAAGTAAAGCTTCTCTTCTAAGTTACCGTGTAATGAACATGTTATATTGTGACCTACCTGGATTCAAACCCAGGATCATTCAAGTCTAACGGTCCTACAATCAAGGCCACCTAGCCACGATAGACTGAAGATTGATAAGGGATGATAGAAGTAAAGCTCCTCTTCCTCTCTTCAAAGTTACCGTGTAATGAACATGTTATATTGTGACCTACCTGGATTCAAACCCAGGACCATTAGAACCTAACAGCTATTTATTTATTTATTTTATTTATTTATTTATTAGAATTTTCCAGACAACTGGATGGGAGGACAAAACAGGTGAATATACACCTTTGCTAGTTGTCCTCCCAAACTCAAGGCCACCTGGCCACGATAGACTGAAGAATGGCAGGGGATGACAAAAGTAAATCTCCTCTTCTTCTCTTCAAAGTGACCGTGCAATGAACATCTTATATGAGCTTTTCTGAATCCTTGGGGTGGTCGTTGACCTTAAGAGCAGAGATCAGAAAGGATTGCAGTGGATTAGCACACGACCTTGCTAGGGACAGCGCGCTAATCCGCAAATGGATGTTGCTTCACACTTGGATGCGACCTGTCGAAAGGAGTTATCCTGATAAAGCGTGGGATGCCGGGTTGTAATGAACTGTGTATGAGCACTGCACCTCATTTCGTGACAGCCCGAAGAAAATCATCACGTTGGTTAAAGAAATGAATAACATGAATCTTTTATTTAGGTTTTTAGAGCACGTACTGTTATAATGAACGGATGCATATGATATTTTCGTGGTTCCTGTGCATGCAAAGCAAACCTACGCTCTTTCTAGAGGACGTTAAAAGCAGAATAGTATGTGTATGATGAGTTTAGGCGTCATATATAGGGCTATATATCAATGAATGTCTAGGCGTTCCTCCAATGATTGTAAGAACTTATTCCCATCAAATAATAAACCACGCACTCATGTATTAGGTAGGTTACCATTATGGATTAATGTACTAATAGATGCCATACTCTGTACCCTATATACTATTGTTGTGTGCGATAACGTCATTACATACCTGCCCGTAACGAAATCCAACATGTGCATCTATAGAGAAGAATAAGAGTGTCCTTGGCAGCAAACGCAAGCTGTAACGATGCCGCCTTACACTACCACTTCCAACCGTCTGCGCGCTGTCCTGACTTGGGAATTTGACTATTTAACTCGAACCACTAACTCGAACCAGACTTATCTTACTGTAAGCGTTGCTGAAAGCTATCTAATGATGCCCCTACTGCACTGTACTGTACTCTACTGTACCTGGTTGCAGCGAGTTCCAATCTACGATAGTTTTAGGGGAAAACAATCCTGGGTTGAAAACTCTGTCGATGGCCTCAGTTTACAATCGTGATCACAATACTTAATCAATTAGTGATTTTGAATTATTAAATATGCGTTATATTCGAGGGAATAGCTCCGAAGGCATTTTCAATAGCGTTGATGTAGTGATTTGTGGCATGTCCAACTCAATTACCCTCTCCACCTTAATTCTTTCCAAAGGGCCTGATCACATACGTAGTACGGTCACCATACGACCACAAACGGATGTCATCTTTGGCTTAGTCGTGCAGATGTCGTAAACAATTCGGCACCAGAAAAGTATTTCTAAGTTTGGTTCCTTCACGCCCTACTTAAAAACATAACGGCATCAAAATGTTATTTATCTGTTAAAAAATATTGTTTTGGCTGTTGAACACACACAGTCAGGGCAGCCTCACTAGCCTGGGGTCTCCATGCCGATAAAACAAGTTAACTGACATTACAAGAACATATGATATGAGCAGCTTAATTGTTAATAGATAACATTATTCTATGTAATAGAAACTTTGCGATTGAATCTGTGGTGGAATCTATGTGATGAGGTCAGGGTCAACATCTTACGACAACCTACAAAGAAAACAAATTTTGCCATAAATCGAGCAGTAAGTACAACAATCCCTTCTTATATAACAGAAGGCAGTAATTGTGTTAAAGACGTAGTGCTTGCTTTGATGGTTAGACACGGCCGTTTGAGGTCCTATATGATGAAATACAACCTTTATCTCGCACGACAGTTGCTTCGCTCGGCGTGTAAGCCGATGCAAACGCTATAAAACTAGTACAAATCCGCAGGTGACACTTCTTGTTTTCATAAATCCATAGAACATACGCGCACCACATGTATCATTGTGACGTCCATGTGCTTATCTTTAAAAGCAAGCGCCAATTGAGCTGAAAGGCGTCCGACTTAAAGTGATGTATTCTCATTCTAGTGTTGCTTTGGGACCAAAACCGTGCTGTGCATTAATTTTGTTCTGTAAGCAAATTCAAACACATAGATGACATACAGCTGTAACTATATATCATTATATATACCTCCACAGCAAATCCATTTTTCATCCTTTGCGTTATTTTATGTCTGGTTAAAGTATTTTTATGAAATAGTTGAGAGATTTTTATGGTAAAACAGTATTAGTAACACGTAGTCTTAAATGAAGACAAAACGGAAAGTTGGGACAGATTCGGGTTGCCATAATCCAATGATTTTTAACCATAAGGTTACGAGGACCTTTCGCCCAATTGGGAACCACGTTGTACATACGCAAGACCAATTCTACATCTATGTATCGTTACATAACATGATATAACATAACATGCTATAGCGTATGGAAACATTGTTTCCACTTAGGGAAAACCTTCGTTAGAGGTCAATCAAATTGAAATTACTATCGGTGAAGGTTAGACATCCAGGTAATAAGATACGCCAAAAAGCAGTTACTCAAGCAACCGGATATGATTTTGGAAACGGTCAGACGTTTCAGCTAGTATCCACTAGGTTTAGTCACAGAGCTTTCTCCTCTGGTCTCTCAGTCACTGGCGAAAGCTAGTTGATGCTAGCTGAAACGTCTGACCGTTTCCAAAATCATATCCAGTCGCTTGAGTAATTGCTTTTTGGTGAAATTACTCTATTTTTCATTTTGATACAAAGAATTCAGGCAGTTAGCCTGGGTTCCATCCTGGTTAGTTTACGTCCGCTCCCACAGTCGCTACCACCAACTGTGGGAGCGGACGTAAACTAACCAGGATGGAACCCAGGCTACCAGGCAGTTGCAATAACAGTAAATTTACGTCAAATCCTTTGTGGATTGTTGTTGATTGCTGATAGCTGAGGACGCAGTGCCTAAATTCCTTCCACGTGGGTTCTTTCCTTTTTCTTTTCGCAGTAATGAGACATGTAACAAGCTCGATTTATTAGCTAATCTAGGCCAAAGGTTGGATGTAAAACCTGCGGATTAATTGCATCCTTCGGGACGTTTTCGTTGGAACAGTGTAAAAGGGTCATCACGCATTTTCAATTGAGTTAACTGCATTTTTCTTTCATACAAGTATACTATGAAAAAGGGACGTCTAACAAAACTCAACCTCACGGTGCCGTCATATCACGCAATTTTGATACTGTCTGGTTTTGAAGTAGGCTTTAACAGAACCAACCGTTGACAAGGATCTAACTAAAGACGGTCTTTTCGGTAAAAAGACAACCGAGTTGTTTACGACACACGTATGACTACCTCATGAGTGCCTTTAGTTTGTGATCAAAGGACGATCAGACACTAACCTTCTACTGAATTATGTCTGATTATGAAGTAAGTTTAAGCTGTAATTTCCAACACAACAAATTGGACTCAACCAGATTTTCGACTGTACAACTCCAGTCTTTGTCAAGGAATGAGCAATCCACCGCTTGGGTGAGTGCAGTTTGTTGTGTTGGAAATTACAGTTTAAACTTGCTTCATAATGATTTCTACCAACACTGATGAACTTTCAAGATAATTATTTCTGATGTTTCCTAGTATGCTCTATGCTTGTTGAAAACAATCATGGAAGTCGTACTGATTCTAAGGCTAATTTTGTGTCACTTGTGGTTACGGCGTTGTCTTGGGATGCTTTGTTACGCTAACGAACCCAATCGCCACAAATTAAAGACCCCCAATGGAGAATCAAATGATGCCCAAAGTCTTGGATAATTGATCCAATATTACCATGGGAAAATCTTTTGAGTATAAACATGATCAGCATCTGATTTATTAGCAAGATCCAACATTTCATTTGCACCATCGTATTTTTGCGACGAATCTTACCGTATGGGGTCAAAACTGACCCCATAATGTTTTGCACGAATTTTAGTTTTCTTGTGACTCTTTTCTTGTGATTTTTATATATGTAAAGTTTCATTAATCTATAGCAATATGATCTGACAAAGAAAGTTTTTTACATTTGACATGTCCTCACCTGCATTGTACTGTTACTAGTGTTAGTATTAAATAGAGTACCGACATAAAATCACAGCGGTTGACACAAGAAAGCATCGTCCTTCTGATTGTACGTCTTGTTGTTTTTCTCAGGGTGCATAATTTACATGTTCACTCAGTTGTAGTAGATTGTATGTGGGGAAATGTTATTCTATCCTAACAGAAAAGTGGCAAGTTTTGCAAAAATGACAGATCCGGAAGGTGCCTGGTTAACAATTTTTGTGGATTGGTTTCAACATTTGTCTTTGTTATTGGCCCTTTCTTAATAAGAGCGTGGCATAGCGTACAAGCATAAACATTGTTACATTTGAACAAAACATTGTACATTTGGACACTGTTACATCTGTACAAAAACATGTACCAAAACATTGTTACATGCGTAGCGTAGCATAAATGGAAAATATTGTTACAGTCATCAAGACATTCGACAATGCCAAGAAACAAATAGCAACCAGAATATATCTACAATTCTTACTGTCACCTTGAATAAAAAATACGTTAATGTTACTTTCATATGTATGTGTGGAGAGGGCCTCTATAAGTACACATATTTTTGCCCAATCTTCTAAAAAATATACGCGAATGAAATAAAGCAATATAATACAAGCATACAGTGCAATAAGGATTCACTTACCAGTAGAATTCCAAAAGCAGCCTTAGTTCCCATCGCAGCTGCTCCTCTGGCCGCGCCTCCAACGACTAGATATCCCTGGCATCCGCGAGCGCCAACAACCCGCGCCTGGCACAGACCCAACCGGCAGCTACGTAACGACGACTACCTGTGTGTGATAGGGCGAAACGCAACAGTGATGATTCCCGTATCTCCGCACGCAGTGCAGTGGTAGCTATAACATCCGCGTCGGCCTTAAGCAGCGCTAGTCTGTTGTCACGTGGTGACAATGTATTACTGCCAACCAGCACGTCGGCTGAGCGCACTTCGCCTGGGGAAGCTCTGATTTTTACCTCCATGAAAAATGGAGGTATTGTTTTTGGCGGCGTCTGTCTGTGTGTGTGTGTGTCTGTGTGTCTGTGTGTCTGTGTGTGTTTCCGCAACTTTGTAGTCAGCATAACTTCATAACGCCTTTATGGATTGTGATGATATTTGGTATCTGGTATCTTAGGAAGACAAAGGTCAAGGTCAAATATGGGCCTCCTGGTGGATGACCTTGGTACTGCAGCAGAACTTCCGGTTTTTGTATCTTTGGTCCTGAACATGCTATGGTCTTGAATTTTTGGTGACAGATAGCTTTTCCTGTCAGGAATATGTGGTGTGCGTTTGGTCCCCCTAGCAGCTTGATCAGGAACTGCAGGGGACTTTCGGGCGAAATATTTGAAAGCCAATAAGTCCAGATAGGAACAGCGTATTTTCATCATTTTTGGTGTGTTGTTATCTGACAGAGAGATGTACATAATTAACTGCAAATTATGCAAATGAGGACTTTATTTGCATAACTAATGAGGAAATTCTATAATTACAGTGTTTTACATTATAGAACTTTCATACATGTAATGTATGTAACCTATGGCAGATGGAACATCAACAGATACTAATTATGCAAATGGTGACCTAATTTGCATAATTAATGCAAAAAAATCTATGATTTCTCAATGGTGAATGATGGGAATGTCATACTTGGGACATCTTTAAGTTAATCAAAAGTTAACATCACGATGCATATATTATGTTAATGCAGAGGTCATTTGCGTAATTAAAGAACAAATTTACATTTACATATCAAGCCCATATTTCATGGAGGTATGAGATCTCGGAACTCTTGTTCACGGTTGTAGTTGAATGTTTGATCAACACTGGATTAGAAGTTTGCCCGTTGCAGACGATATCTTTTCCGACATAACATTTGGAAACTACAGACGGGATGTTAACCTTATATACAAGAATACGACCTTATATGAGACGTTCTGCCAAAGTGCTATGCACAAAACACTACGGTTCGGCCCAGGCGCAGTACGTTCTGTCGAAGTGCTAACGTAACATTAGTCACGTGGTGGCTATGTATTACTGCCAGACCACTGAGCATGAAACATCGCCCGCCTAGGCCGTTTCACGGAGCTGGTTCTAGCTGATTTACCGCGTGCATTAGGGACTGAGGGAGAGGGTACGCGGTGCTAACACACCTCCAGGCTACGGTGACAGAAACTACGGCTTCTGCTATCACGTTTTCGCGCGGTTCGGAGGAGATAGAGAGGCGTTGGACCTTGAGAGAATGAATAGTTTGCTTGATTCGATTGGCGGAAAGCGGAATCGCCACGGGCGATGTAATGTCATCACTGCAGCATAAGGGATATTGTGTCGTATATATGATGTTGTAAATGGTGAATTTAAGGCACTCTTTAACGGATATCACGCCCTGTGTCATTCAACATTTTACTCACCATATTTGAAAAAATAAACAGGAGCCCCCTTTTGTCTTTTTTTGAACTGTTAATGGACAGGCACAATGAGCAATTTATGCATTAGCCATTGGCTACCCCGCACTATAGTGATTGAAAACCTGGGTGGAAATAGGCATGCCTTCAAGGACCAGTTATCAACCGAGGATATTAAGGTGTTCAAAAAGACGTTACGTCCCCAAAACAACTGTAGCGTTCCTCAATATATAACCCGTACAGTAAGAAGAGAGTTGGGCATGGGCGTGACATTTAGTTCAGTGATATGTAACCAGCTACCGCCGTGCCGCGTGTCTGCGACGCTATGGTGTGTTAAGTTACGTCCAAGAAAATGTGCTAACAAACAATAATCAGTTCAGAGAAAAGTTAACTTTTTTTCAAAACTTTTAAGTTACGTCCAAGAAAATGTGCTAACAAGCAATAATCAGTTCAGAGAAAAGTTAACTTTTTTTTCATAAAGTTGGTGTCCTCAAGCGCGGGGTGAACGACATATTCCCAGGGAGGTAATCTGCCTAGACAAATTATCCCCACAAGATTATACGGGAAACCACCCAGTATGTATTTCAACCGTTTAGGCATTTAGTACTTTGGTTTGTTACGAGTCAAATACCCTGAAGTAACGAGGAGGATTCGGGAGATACCAATTAAGTGATTTTTATGATTGATGACAGCCCCTCGGGGTGTGCGTGATTCCCTTGGCACAAACTTAGAACCTTCTTCAGCGTGTGAGTAGGCACAGCAGTGAGGATTTGTTCATTTTGTTAGAAACTTGGAGATTGATAACAACAAGGTGCTGGCAGCAGGGGGTATGAGCCTCGTTCAACAGACGTTCTTGGTGCGGTTGGCGTTTTTTTTGTAGGGGGAGGGGAGCGCTGATTTTGTTTCTCAGTTAGGTCGGTGTTTTTTTGCCAGTTGCACTATTTTATGATCGCTCGTAGGCCTTCCCATGCCTTCTCTTTTCTCCTTACACACACACACACACACACACACACACACACACACACACACACACACACACACAGACACGCACAGACACACACACACACACCCTGGAAGGCCTGCAAAGGAGGACAACATAGTTCCTCTGTTTTACAGAGGCCGTGCTTTGTCAAGAGATAAATGCAGCTTATAGGATAACGAAATAAAACATTATGTAACATCACAGATGTTCATTGAGCACTCTACGGTGAATTTGATGGATTTATAAATCAACTTATATTGCCGCCTCTTCTGAACTCCTGTTACCGCTACACGTATCGTAATGAATTTTTCTGCCACTTCGTAAATGTTTGCATTAGCGGATTAAGTACGTTGAAATGCAGGGACAAAAACATATGACTTCTTAATACGACGGTAACCTTAGCTTTGTGGTACCCAGGTGTCTCACGGCATGTTCTCTTCATCTTGTTAAGCTGCATAACCAGATGTAGCATCAACATACAGCGTATAATTTCATACGAATGTATATCAAGTTGCCATTTGCGATGAAGATATAATGCCATTGACGCAAATTCTGTCACCAGAGCCTCCAAAGTCGCGTTTGCAAAAGGAGTTAGTCAAAATATTTTCCTTTCATGACTGTTTTACTTTGTTTGCTTGGAACCGGATATTGCTGTTATGTTTGGTAGACGTGCTAAACTTGCACATTTGCTTAAACGTGTGTCGTGTGTGTTTTATGTACTGTATGTTTTGTTTACGTACATTGTAATCCCTCAATTTCCTTACTCTAATCTTCCAAAGAAGAGCCAAAGATGAAAAGTTCGCTGAGTAATATGAATTGTAAAATCTGACAACCTATATGCCAATTTATAACCATAGCGCGCGCAATCTTTGAAAATTGGCTTATTATGTAACGATTATGTACATATTGTTACAAGAATCCATTCATTATGGTAATCCCGTACCCATAGAATCTTAAGCCTTTTATGACGCTAAAGTTTGACGCTATAGATGGAATCAGAGGGGTTGACTTATATTCTTTGATAAGTGGATTACTATAACAATGATACAGCCATTGTCATATGTCTTCGATAATGCCAAAGTTGCGTTATCTGTATCTGTATCTGTATAGCCGGTATAACCGCCTTTCGGCGTAACACACCAGCTTCTGTATCTGTATAGCCGGTATAACCGCCTTTCGGCGTAACACACCAGCTTCGCAGGCACGCGGCGCGGCGGCAGCTGGCTATATTACACCGATCGACTTGTTACACCTAACCCTTGAACTTCTAGCTCTAGACATTGTTTAAAGCTATCTATTGACAATGCCCCTTCTGTACTTGGTGACAGTGAGTTCCACTCTGCGATAGTTCTAGGAAAGAATGAATTCTTGAACACCTCAATCCTCGGTTGATTACTCTGGTACTTGAATGCGTGGCTATTTCTTGTTCTCTTCTGGGCTGTGTTCTCTTCTGGGCTTCTTATCTAGTAACTACCCGAAAATTAGTATGTAATGGCCGTAAAATAGGCAAATCAGTAACAGGCAGGCTTGGTTGTAGTAATATTGGATTACACGTATTACAATAAATATGCTACAAGATCCGATACAGGCCATCTATAATACTTAAGTTGTTATCTGAAAAGTACCATAACATCTGCAGGTGAAGGCCGTACGATCCATTGAGACTTAGAGGATTCATTGCAATCTGTGATAACACAATGATAGTATATAAAGATGACTAAAGAATCGCAGAGGCTATATTGTAACATCTAAAGGCTAAATTATACTAGATTGATAAACGTATATACTAAATTCTAATAAGCTATAAATTCAATAGACCCACCAGTTACAACGCTTATTATGTTGTTATCTAGAATGCGAAAGCCAGAAAACAAGGCAGTATCCAATAGGCAAGGCAGTATCCAATAGCCAAGACAGTATCCAATAGGCAAGACAGTATCCAATAGCCAAGGCAGTATCCAAAAGGCAAAACAGCATCTACTAGGCAAGACAGTATCCAATAAGGAAGACAGTATCCAATAGGCAAGACAGTATCCAATAGCCAAGGCAGTATCCAAAAGGCAAAACAGCATCTACTAGGCAAGACAGTATCCAATAAGGAACACAGTATCCAAGCAAGACAGTATCCAATAGGCAAGGCAGTATCCAATAGCCAAGGCAGTATCCAAAAGGCAAAACAGCATCTACTAGGCAAGACAGTATCCAATAAGGAACACAGTATCCAAGCAAGACAGTATCCAATAGGCAAGACAGTACCCAATAGGCAAGGCAGTATGCAATAGGCAAGGCAGTATGCAATAGGCAAGGCAGTATCCAATAGGCAAGACAGTTTTCAATAGGCAAGGCAGTATCCAATAGGCTACCAGAGGTAATGGCCTTGTATTAGGCAGAGACAGAGTAGAATTAGAGACCGAACCATTTCATCCGCATTGATTCTGCAATCTTCTCTCAATTAACCTTTAACCTCCCGATGGTCATGCTATGTTTTCCTCAAGTTCGTTCTCCCTACAGGTCATGACCTCTCATATATCTCTTATAATAGGACATGGCCAACAATCACCCTGTAGGGGATAAGAACAAATAGGTTTTTACTGTTTCTAGATGAGTGATGTAGACTTTTGATTTGGTTAAGGTCAGTACTGACAGCAGGGGGAGTGGCAGACTTGTGTAGTACTTTCTTGTAAACTGCCCCTATGACTGCCAGCTACGGGACAGAGTTAGGGCCTACTACTTTCTTGTAAACTGCCCCTATGACTGCCAGCTACGGGACTTGGTGTTAGTTAGGGCGCAGTCTCGTTCGTCCTACGATAGTCTTACCATCACAGACTTTCTTGTCGTTCCCGTGTCATGAGAAATACAGACCTCTTATTACGGAAAAGGTTGCGATTGAGACGAGATACTTACTCACCTTGTATGACCACAGGTTTAGAAACGGGTTGTAGATGCTCAAGTTGGACCTCTACCGCTGCTACCCACCACATAAAATGACACCAATTCTGCGGCCAAATCCTTGGCAAACAGGAGACTAATCTTTCTAGTAAATGATGCCTTAGCGTAAAAGAGGGAGCTGATTGGTCTTGCGATCTTGGTGGAATTTAATACTTCTACTATTGTTCCGGAGCTAGACTATTGTTTACTTGCGGCAATGTGCGGGTAAATAGCACTTCGCTTGTTCACTCAGCGGGGGGAGGGGTGCAAATTTTGCGGCTTTTCATAATCCGCTTCTTAATTGGCTCAGTTTTTGCTGCTGCTTCCTCTTCCTTTTATATCGTACCGATTACGAATTAGGTTGGTAATTGACAGAATGTTTAAAACTTTCTAGAAAAAACATTTGATTTGACAAAATGATACAATGTTACATGTTATCTTTGCATTTTCGAACGCCCATTTTCTGTTGTGTTATAAATTCTATTCTTTATATGTCAGTGGTGAGGCTAACATGAGCCATTTGCTACAGTTGTCAACTATTGTGTCTTGTATGTAATTTTCTTGTTGTTTAGTAGGCTTCCTAGCTGTCCTACATACCTAAAAGCAAGACCGTGTATTCTCGGCGAGCTTAAGTCCCTTATTGGTCGAAATGACATCAAACGTTATATAATTACAGATAACTGCCGCATTAGAAGAGCAGATTACTGGTATCCGTGGTTAGAAATGAAACTGGCACAGCGTTGATACCGGCAATAAAAGACATTGGCAAATTCAACATGATTGTCGTAATACGCAGCAATCTGGTTTTGGGACCGGTCGAGGTTACATGAAAATTATATTGTTTTGACACGTTAACGTTACACAAGCAATGTTAGTGCATGGGAGATGGAGGATACATTCATTTAACGCAATATCCAATGCCCAATAGTCTTTCTGTTTTCAGTACATTTTTCCATTCATCGTATTGCAAGCAGGTTCTTAGAGAACCAGGCCCCGATACAGATAAAAAGACAATTGAATTTTGCAGAATTTTCCAAAGCTCTTTAGGTAGTCTTTTCCTAAACTAAAAACGAAAGTCATTCATTTTACAGATGTTACAAGTATCTGTGACATGGACATTGTATATCTAAATGCCACGTGGAAAACGATTCTTTTTACCTTACTCCGCAGTGACGTCGAATTGCGTTCACTCCGTTGATACACCGCCTAGGATAAGATACAGTAGTAGTAGCGTGCGTAGTCCAGTGGTTAGTGATCCTGCCTCTGGACTAAGAGGTTGGGAGTTCGAATCCCGGCTGATGTCGCTCACCCGACATGTACGCTACTGTTTAGGGTCGCAGTCCTTCGGACGGGACGTTAACCGTGGTCCACTGTTCATTGTGCTTGTCGAAAAGAGCTAGGGGAATTTCCCCGGTACAATGAACCTGTAAATACTGTACATAGCGGCTGTCTTCTCTGTCACGACCAGTGGAAGATTAGCTCTTCAATGAGCTAAACTGGATCGAAATCACTATCACAATCACTATCACTATCACTATACATATACGTTACCGACTCCCGACTCACTGACATCCCCGGGCTAGAATAAACACCAACCCAGCATGGTCCACTAGCTCTCATTGGAAACGCTATCAGATCCAGTTAAGAATCCAGGACATCGTAATTAGAAAGGTTATCACCATGGAGACTAATTGTAAATACCGGCTTTTATATCACTGTACAGCGGATGTCCACTACATGTGGTCGATAGGCTGTACTATGAAGACCCCTGCAGCTGCTTGCGTTTGAATTTATCATTCAATGGGTAGGAAATTTATAGAACAGGTGGTGACATACTTAGCTGTTTGGACATAATGTGTTTTGAGACAAAATGAACATTTTAAGAATTCTTGCTTCTCCATTTCTATGATGTGTTTTTTTTTCATAAAGAATTTAACTTGAATCTTATGAAATAGGAATCAACACCAATGGTCGGTGTTCCTCAGGATCGAAGGACCCTGTTATCCTCCGAAAGGGTGACGTCAGTTCCGGGTCAAAGGTGGTTCGAAGTCGGTACCGACCACCCGTCTCTGTTCAATTGTTTCTTTTGATCGTTTGAGTTGATGGTTCTGCATCAGATTTGTTTTACTCTACCTTTAATAGCTTCACCGATAGCACAATTTCCCTTGGTATTTTGTTTATTACAGTAGTATGTTTCTTGGGTAACACATTTCGTTCTTTCCAGGAGGATACCCGTGGTGGCAATGACAATGATATAAAGGCAGAACAGTAAACAAATAAGATACCTAGAAGATAATGTATGACTCACTTCAAGGCGTTCAGACATGAAGGCCTTGGTTCACATGCTTACGGGTATTATTCATGAGTTTGTGTCTTTTTGAAGGCCTGAAATGTTTCTCGGCTATCTAGATCAATGTTTTCTTGGGAATACGCCTTTAGCGGTGGAATTAGACTCCTGAAAAATACATGTACCTTGTTGGTATACAAATGCTTTTTTCTATGACAAACTTGTAGTGTTATACCAATAGTTGAGTTGTATTGAATTTGAACCTTTTTTTATGAGCAATCTGTATATGTATACCGAATAACCTAAACGTTGTACGAAGGCAAAACCAGTGTTATGACGGTTATGCTGGCTAATCAATTCTGTAGGAGTATTTCCTTTACGCATTCAAGAAAAAAGCCTCAAGACAACCATAGGTTTAACAGCGGAAGCCATGCCTACTAGGCAAAGCAGGCGTACTGGTGTGTTGATGTACTGGTGCTGGTGTATCAATCCATCTTAGTTACACTGCCTAAACAATTCAGATGCAGCCACGTACACGTAAACACACCTTTCAATTTTAAATCCCATTTGACTTAATGGCTTGTAGGGGCCTTATCATTAAATAGCATTCTGACGTAACAAGTCGCCGGTCGCTTGCCAAGCTAATGCCCTGGTTAAAGGGCCGTCATATTGTCCTTGGGCCGGACTCGTTGATCCCCAGAAGGTCACCGAATTCCAAATTTGCCAGAGAGTCGACCACATGCATTGCATCTGAAGCTATACACTGTTATATAGAAACTGGATAGGTGACTTTTAGAAAATGTACATGTTTAAAAAATCGTAGTGATCTCGAGGCATTGATAACGTCGCTGCCAAAAATGTTGTTTTAGAGCTCGCGCGATCGCTACTTGTTTTCGGACCTAGGTTACTGTTGTAGCTAGTGGAAAGTGGTCAAGAAGCAAGGTAAGGCAAGTGGGCACGAGGTCGAGAAAGCACAGGTTCGATTCCCTGCTTCCTGACTGGAAGTTATGTCCTCGAGAAAGGTACTTTCCTTACTCCACCCAGGCGTAACTTAGTAAGGCAGTTAAGGCAGAGGGATGGAATCTTCTTTCCAAAACCTTGCCAGTGGATTAACAACCCACTGCCTCTACGTCGTAAAAGATAAGGCTATGGCACTATACTACCTCTTTTTACCTTTTTTGTGACGGCTTCTATACACCACTTGGCCAATTCGGATGCAGCTGCTTAAATCTCCCTTTCAAATCCATTTATCACAAATAAACGGCCCGCACGCCTGCCACTCTGCAGTTTACAGTATCGGACATCAGTGTCAAACTCCACTGCCCGCAAACGACATTATAGAGATTGGAGGCCCGAAACCACGTCATACCATGGTCATACTAGTCCTGAAAGCCCATTAAATTCGCCAGCGTGAAAGAAGCTACTGCAGCACGATGGGTTTAGTAATAGGAACTACTTAACCACTTAATCTTGCCTCGTATATATGCCGCGACCTTAATTTGCACTCTATGTAACTATAACTGTATAGAGGATGAAGCACACTTTGTTTTAGAATGTGCGGTATACAATGACATCCGGAAATCCTTTATTAGCTCCTTACAGTTAGAAAAGAAATTTGCATACTTGCCGAAAATAGAATTGTTCAAACATATTATGACATCCAAGCGCTATGATATAATTGAAAAACTATGTAAATTTATTCATACATGTTTCAAAAAGAGAGAAGAGATCCTGTAGGTAGATCCTGTAGATAGAGAAATAGCACACGAATGTAACAATTGCTCCTTCTATTCTTATTACCAAGTTATTTAACTTAAGTGCATTTGGCCCGTGTAGGGCATGAACATGCAATAAAGTTCATTGTCATTGTCATTGTCATTATGTGAGGTCGTTGGAATGCCGTTTTACATTGGGTTGAATATGCGATCGATAAGGTTTTACCAAGATTAAGTACAAGGTGTAGATGAAGTACTTTCCTGGTCTTGTATGACCGACGAAATGCTTACTACTAAGGTTTTACTAGTATTGTGGCAACCGGCTCATGGAAGGGGAAGCACTGATCGGCCATACTTTTTGAACCCAGAACCTTTAGAGTCAACGACCTTAACCGCATGTTCAAGGGTTAGGTGTAACAAGTTGTTCGGTGTAATGTAGCCACCTGCCGCCGCGCCGCGTGCCTGCGAAGCTGGTGTGTTACGCCGAAGGGCGGTTATACCGGCTATACTACTGATACAGAAGCTGGTGTAATACGCCGAAGGGCGGTTATACCAGCTATACAGATACAGATACAGAAGCTGGTGTGTTACACCGAAGGGCGGTTATACCGGCTACACAGATACAGAAGCTGATGTGTTATACCGGCTTTACCGATACAAATACAGATACAGTACCATAAGACTACATTGCCACTTCAATCACGTTGCTGACTTACAGCTCTAATTCCACAGCTTCCTGTAATTATTGGCAAATCGATAGACCGTAGCATTCCCCTCGTCGGGACACTGCCGACGAGGCAAAAACAAATTACATAATAGCGCCATAAACCATGCCAAATATTGTCGTTTGGGTATATTCCAGTTTTCCTTTGTGTTGGGAATAAGAGCTCAATTCCGTCACAGAATGGATTCTGCTAACACAGATGTATGTTTCACTGCGTGAGTTTCAACGCATTTGACATTTAGAAAGCTTAAAGATGAATTAGCTCACTGTTGCTTTTGCTCAAGATGAAATGAATTTCTGATAGTTGGCAGTTTTAGAGT